CTACTCTTGATTTACCCTATTCTCTGCAGAGTTAATACTGATTATCTGTACACTCTGAATGCTCTCCCAACTCTTTTCTTTTTATATTTGATGTAGTTTTTCCTTATTTTCTTCAATCTCTTTTCACTTAGTGTTGCTATCCCTCTCTACCTCCACCTAACTCATCCAGAACAGAGCCTCCACATATTTCTATATCTGCTACACTACACACTTTACACTATTATTATTATTATTATTGCCATTTATATAGCGCCAACAGATTCCGTAGCGCTTTACAATATTTTGAGAGGGGGGATGTAACAATAAATAGGACAATTACAAGAAAACTTACAGGAACAATAGGTTGAAGAGGACCCTGCTCAAACGAGCTTACAGACTATAGGAGGTAGGGTATTAGAAACATTAGGACATGAAATATCAAGTAGGAGTGAAGCAGAGCTGGAGGAGAGAGCAAAGCACTGTCCCATAGGAGAGAGCAGGAGACAGGTATGTAAGGTAGAGATTACTCTGGGGGGCCATAAGCTTTCCTGAAGTGATGGGTTTTAAGGCCCTTCTTAAATGATTGAAGACTAGGGGAGAGTCTGATGGCAGTAGGCAAGCTATTCCATAGGAGAGGAGCTGCCCGCGAGAGGTCCTGCAAGCGCGAGTTGGCCGTACGGGTGCGAGCAGCGGTCAGGAGGTGGTCACGGGCAGAGCGGAGGGTACGAGGAGGGGCATATCTATGGATTAGTGAAGAGATATAAGTGAGGCTAGAATTGTTCAGTGCTTTAAATGTATGGGTTAGCACTTTGAATTGACTCCTATAGCATACAGGGAGCCAATGTAAGGACTGGCAGAGGGGTGAGGTGTGAGAGGACCGACTAGAGAGGAAAATCAGTCTAGCTGCAGCATTCATTACAGACTGTAGCGGGGCAATACGGCTTTTGGGGAGACCAATCAGGAGAGGGTTACAGTAATCCATGCGGGAAATTACTAGAGCATGGACAAGCTCCTTGGTAGCATCTTGCGTAAGAAAGGGGCGAATGCTGGCTATGTTTTTGAGTTGGAACCTACAGGACTTGGCAACAAACTGGATGTGAGACTCAAAGGTGAGACCAGAGTCAAGTATGACACCAAGACAGCGTGCTTGCAGGGATGGACTTATGTGGATATCACTGACTTGAAGGGAGAGCGAGAGAGGAGGATCAGTATTAGGAGGAGGAAAGACAAGGAGTTCAGTTTTAGAGAGGTTAAGTTTCAGAAAGCGTGAGGACATCCAGTCAGAGATGGAAGAAAGGCAAGCAGTGACACGTTGCAGGACGGCAGGGGAGAGGTCCGGGGAGGAGAGGTATATCTGAGTGTCATCAGCTTACAGGTGGTAGTGGAATCCAAAAGAGGCAATAAGTTTACCAAGAGAGACAGTATAAAGAGAAAATAGAAGGGGACCAGGACGAGGGGAGGAGGTGTCCTTGGAAAAGGAGACACTGAATGAGCGTTGGGAGAGATAGGAGGAAAACCAAGAGAGGACAGAGTCACAGAGACCGAGCGATTGAAGAGTTTGAAGGAGGAGAGCATGATCAACGGTGTCAAAGGTAGCAGAGAGGTCAAGGAGAATTAATATGGAGTAGTGACCTTTGGATTTAGCGGAGATTAGGTCATTAGTCACTTTGATAAGAGCAGTCTCAGTAGAGTGGAGAGGGCGGAAGCCAGACTGAAGAGGGTCAAGGAGAGAGTTGGAATTAAGGAAGCGAGACACACGGGTAAAGACAAATCTTTCCAAAAGCTTTGATGAGAAAGGGAGCAGGGATATGGGACGATAGTTAGAAGGGGAGGATGGGTCAAGAGATGTTTTTTTCAGGATAGGTATTACAGTGGCATGTTTAAGGTCAGCAGGAACAGTGCCAGAAGAGAGAGAGCAGTTAAAGATGTGTGTTAGGGTAGGCACAAGACAAGGGGAGAGAGATCTGATGAGGTGAGATGGGACAGGATCGAGTGGGCAAGTGGTGGGGCGAGAGGAATGGAGAAGCACAGCCACCTCTTGTTCAGTAGCCGGGTAGAAAGTCTGGAGGGTAGGGAAAGCAAAATTTACATGTGGTTGAGAAAGAGAACGGCAAGGAGGGGAGAATTGTTTCCTTAGCTGTTCAATCTTGTCGGTAAAGTAGCATGCAAAGCTATCAGCTGTAAGGTTAGTTTGGGGGTGCCACAGCAGGGCGGAGAAGGGAATTAAAGGTGTCAAAGAGACGTCTGGGATTGCAGGAGCATGAACTAATGAGAGAGGAAAAGTATGACTGTTTGGTGAGAGCGAGGGCTGCGCTGTATGAAAGCAACATGAATCTATAATGGAGAAAGTCTTCCTGGGTGCGGGACTTCCTCCAGGAGCGTTCAGCACAACGGGAGCAACTCTGCAGATAGCGTGTTGATTTATTATGCCAAGGTTGGGGTCGTGTCCTCCTCGAGGTGCATGTTTGGAGCGGGGCTGCAGCGTTCAAGGCAGATGTGAGGGTAGTGTTATATGTGGAGATGGCCAGTGAGGGACAGGAGAGGGAAGGGATGGATAGCAGTTGTGAATCAATGTCAGCACTACAAATCATTATTGCTAGTTTGCTTATTCTGTGTATTGACCTTTGGCTTCTTTTCTGATTCTGAATCTACACTGCTTGGACTGACCTTTTATTTGCCTCATCTTGCCTTTGGAATTCCCTTACCTGTTTTGGATGCATTTGAAATTGGGAGACTCTTTCTCTTGTGATAGTTCCTTTGCTATTTTTGCATATTAAGCCCATTTACCACAAACTGTTACACCCAGAGAAGCTTGCAGCAGTCAGGAAAGATATTCTATAATTCTCGAATTCCCTATTACTCAGTCCCCAGCTCCATCTCCCTCCTCTGCCCTAAGTTGACTCATACAAACTATACAATATGATGCTTTTACTCTGCTTCTGTCTTCTCGCCCTAGTTGAACAAAATTGATTTAGGTAGCATAGAACTTTGTAATACACTTCCTTTTAGACAGCTTTGAGAGGCTGTCTCAGTAAGGGAACAATCTGGGAACAAAATATCAGGAATTTGTGGGTGAACTCAGTCCTCTAAAAATTCAATGTTTTGTTTTCTGTTGTTAGGAGGAAATTTTATTCAGGTGTAATATATATTCTTATTATTCATGTGTTGTAGATGAGAGGACTACATTTTTTTATGCTTATGTCATCTTGATAATGACTCAAACATCATGTTTATTGTACGTAGCACGTTTCGAGATTGCCCTTAACCATACACTAAGAAATTAGATTAGTAAAAAGTTGGTTAAAAATAGTTTTTACCCAACAAAATCACTAACACTTGAGCAGCGTTATTGTAAATAATTTTTTTTTATCTTACATATTAAATGCCAGTATCATATTGTACAATCTATTGACTTATCAGTCGAAGACCCTAACTTCAAAACCTGTCTTACTCAAATCCACTGTTATGCTGACAGACCTGATTTGCTGTTTTTCTTGTCAGAGTGCTCAGTAAAATAAAAATTGCCTGTTTATGATTGCTACAGTACAACATCTTTTAAATGGACAATGTAAGCAGTATAATCATTTCATCCCAATTGGTTATAGTGCTTGGAGCCCCCTGGCACTGTTCTTACATTCAGTGTCAACCATTTTTGAGCAATCTAACACTGAGTGAAGGTCCCAGGCTTCCCATAGTCCTGACCCCACAGGAGGAATGGCTAAGGCAGAGATTACACACTTCCTTTTAATAATACCAAATCATACCAAGAATGGCACCTTGATAGACTGAATGTGGTCAGCAGACACTCCCAGCTAATCACAACCGCCGATTACTGTGCAGGCTAATGTTTCCCCCTTTATTAACCCAAACAGCACAGAGACGTTTAAATAAAGCATTAGTACTAAAAAATGTTGAATGCCAAATGGAAGTACATTGCCAGATTACTCCAGACACTATAACCACTTCAACGAGATGAAGCTGTTATTGTTTTTACGATGTCCCTTTAAAAGCAGCGGGTAAACTACATTTTTAAACCATTTGGTTACAATTTATATTTGAGCTTGAATTAAGTCCAGGGACAATTAGATGACCATCAATTGCTGTAGCTATTCATCTTGCTATGGTACATACATCATTTTTTTGCCATTATTACTATATATTATATTGCCATTACTACTAAATTATCATTATATTATATTGCCATTACTATTAAATTATTATTACTATTATTTGCCATTTTATATTATATTGCCATTATTAAAAAATTATTATTTGCCATTATCATATTATATGCCATTATTATTGTTAGAATATTGCCATTATTATTATTATTTGCCATTATTATTGTTAGAATATTGCCATTATTATTATTATATTATATTGCCATTATTATACAATTATTTGCCATTATCATATTCTTTGCCATTATTATATTATATAGCCATTATTATTATTATATTATATAGCCAGTATTATATTATATAGCCATTATTATTATTATTATTATATAGCCATTATTATATTATATAGCCATTATTATTATTATATTATATAGCCATTATTATATTATATAGCCATTATTATTATTATTATATTATATAGCCATTATTATATTATATAGCCATTATTATTATTATTATATTATATAGCCATTATTATTATTATTATATTATATAGCCATTATTATTATTATATTATATAGCCATTATTATTTGTTATTATTATACACTGTTGTATTAACTGGTAACACACTATGGATAATATAATAAAATACCCTGACCCCCAGCCCCGGTCGCACAGAATGCCCAGCTAGTAATAGCAATCTCGATATACTTTTTCTCTCTGCCTTCTGTCGCTGTGACTCAGGTCACGTGTCCCCCCCGTCACGTGACCCGCCCCTGGTTGCTATGCGGCCCCCTCCTCCCTGCAGCTGTTGCTAAGCCAGGCGGACACGGTCTTTGCCTATTGGGCATTTCGTCGGCCTGACGTCACCGGAGGAGATCAGTTTGGGGGCGGGGTTAGGGGGCGCCGCCATGCTAATGAGGTTGCGGGGATGGGTTGCGGGTAGTGCGGTGAGGAGGCAGCTGGTGTTCGCAGCCCACATGCTGCCTGGGAGTGCTGAGGGGCGGCGGTGACCGTGCTGCTGGTCGGGAGCCGAGCGAGGTAAGTGTCCCCGGACCCCATGTACCCCAGTATTAACCCTCCCGGGGCCGGGCGCCACCGCTCAGGTCCTACCCTGGGTCTCACTGCTCCTCTTCTAAACCAAGGGTGCATCAAGCCGCTAGACCCCCAGCTGCTCCACCGGGCAAAGCATTCTAGTAGAGTTCTAGTAGGACAGCTGGGCATCCTGAATGTGATAAACACATTATCTGTGTATAGCCTCTCTTTCCATTCATTGGGAAGATCGTCTACAGCCCCTCACTGTGTGTTCATGTTCAACACATTGCATTGAAGGAAAGACCAATCATCCTATATTCTCTTTATTTATAAAACCTACATGGAGCGTTTTATGCCTGATTAAATGGTGATCGTGCTGCCTTTTTATTTATTTTTTGATGAGACCTTTATGATCCAGCAATGTATGTGTGTGTGTTTTTCTTCTTCTTCTTCTTCAAACATCCCTGCAGTATTTCTAATGCATTAGTAGTAAAATAAGCAGCTCTGGTTATAGCATGTATGTTGTTGCAAAATAACAAGCCATTTTGGTGTGTGGTGTTCTAAACTCAGATACACGCTGGGTATTTTTACTCTGCAGACAGTGCAGAGCAATGGTTCTAGAATGTTGCTCGGCTGGAACCATGTACACTATTCTACAACAGCAACATTTTAATCATCGGATGGCTTTGAAAGCGTTGGAACATCATTTTGTAGAAAGCCATAGCACTGCTTGCTAGTTTGCTTTGTTGCCTTTGAAGTTGCTGTCAAAACCAGCTCGTATTGGCTGCGTTTCGCTAGATTTATTAGACCATCTAGCCTTCTCATATAATGGTATAAATGAGTGTATGTATGTGTAATAAATATATATTACACACACTCATCAGTCCTCCACCGCCATCTCCTGATGTCTGTTTGTTTATGGTGGTAGGAACTGCCAAGCTAGTTGTGTTTGGGGTGACAGATTCGAGATTTGGAATGTGAGTTCAGGGATTTCCTTAAGATCTAATTTCAGTCCGCAGAGAATTGCATTCCTTCCCTTCCCTGCCAGTGATGTGAGGGAAAGATATGTGATACTGGAAGGCAGTCTTTTCTTACATCCATCTGCTTCTGTAGCATTTAGCCTTTGTTTTAAATCTGATGTCAAATACAGTAGAATGCAAATTTAATGTGGCCCAGAGCTTTATAACTTATTTAATCTCTGGATGGTTTAAAGGAGAAATGTAATAATGATGTTGAAGCATAAGTTACATTGTGGCAGGATTGTTTTTTTGGACATTATTCACACAAAAAAAGTAAATCGTGGCATACTCAAAACCAAATTGTAAAAGTCAGTACAAAATAGCATTTTTACAAGTTAGCTATTTTGGCCCAAATGTAAAATTAGATTTTTATTTTACTACACTTCACCTGGGGTTAACATTTCAAGTCCCACACCACTCACCACTGCAAGCTTGAATGGTCCATGGTACACTCACCGCGGCTGAATTTCTACTTGCCAATGCAAATATTGAAGTTTTACCTCAAGAGCAGGAATTTTTTTTTATTATTATTATTTTTTTTTATTTTTTTTGCAAAAGAGCAAAGGACAGTATATCAAGTATTCATACAATGCAGCAAAGTTCACAGGGTATGTAAAACAGTACCTTAGTTATGACCACAAGAACACCGTATGTACAAAAAGAGACACGTGAAGAGTAAAGTACGGTAACATATATTTGCCATTGCAACTAACTCTGAATCAAGATACTGTTCGGAGCAGAATAGTTCCTCAGGCGAATTCAGAGAGAAACAAAAAGAAAAGATGAGATCCAACAGGAAAGCGTAATATTTAGGTAAGAATTAAGCAAGAAAGAAAAAGGTTGGGGATGAATAGGGTAGGGATGGAACCGTGACCCAACATAGAAGATCCTAACCAGGAGATATAACTTGGTGAAAACTCGTGACATCCTAGGTCAATTGTCACCCATAAGGAGAAAACTGAAGGGTTGAGTGCCAAAGGATGTCTAAGATGGCTGTACTTTATCCTTGTGACAGCCCTTGGATGGTTTGATAAATATTCCAGCCATAGTTACCACACAGTGTGTTGTTTTTTTTTGTTTTTTTCCCTTAGATGTTCTACTGAAGCAAGCATAGACTCCTATGCTTTAATATATTCCACTCTAGAAAGAATAGAGTAGACGGTGTCTATGACAACTTACAAAACAGAAGAATGAGAGATTTGGCTGCGTTCAGCAAAAAGCGAAGAATCCATTTTATTTATACCTGGAAATAGGAAGGGAGTACAATGCAGGAGTACATTCTTGGATCAGAAAGGTACAGGGCCGTCCAGGATTTCTGTGGTAGTCTATACCCTCCTCCAAAAAGGATGCAATGTCTGGGTACAACCACCAAATATGAAGAGACGTCCCGATTTCCGTACCACATCGCCATTCGTGGTTGAAGATGTGAGGAAAATCCTGTGAAGCTTATCTGGAGTTTCATACCATTGTGAAAGGATTTTGTAATTTGACCTGAAATTTAAAACTTAAAGAACTTTGCAGTGTTATTCACTAAAGTTTTGAATTCAAAGTGAATTTTAAATTTAAGTCCAAAGGAGCCAAATTGGAGGCGTAGCTGACAGATAATTTTTCCAGTTTGGAATTCACTTTGAACTCTTACGTTTGTAAATAACCCTGTTTGATTCAGGAGCAAGATATCTGACCACTGGTTTTCTGTCTGAGAACAAAGTTTCTAACATTTCCTTCCACTGTCTCTTAAAAACCCTCATATTTGAATGAGTGAAGATGAACAACTGATATATAGAGAGGGGATGCTCCTGTATATTGGCTCACCCCCCACATATGTGTTTTAAAGGATGAAAAATCTGTATCTAGCTTAGATTTGTTAGGTATTGAGTTATAGTGTTAGATATGAATAAAGTGAATCCTTTTTTTTTCAAATGGGTAGGCTGTTAGAAATTAGTAAGGTCCTCCAGTCTCCTCGCCAAGAGCAATTGCATCACTGCCTCGGGGGCCAGAAAGAGAGGCACCATTTAGAAAGACCCTCAGCCAGCTCAGGTTTGTAGGTAAGCGTAATTAAAGGACTAGGCATTGGTGCCACTTCAGTGCACTTTCGGAGGCAGAACCAGGTACGTAACATTGCAGACGGAGAACAGGACTTTTCAGTTGCATGTGTTTAAACAGCCTTTTGTCTGATGTTTTGTATGTATGCATTGTTCAGATGTACACACTATGGTGGAATTTATCAAGGCCAAGCAGGTGCTTTCTGAGGGCAAAGCACATCTATAGGTTTCCATGCTAATTTCTCCTTATGTGGCACTTTACCCCTGCATGCCTTTGCTATGTCTACCCATATACATATTTTCTTTGTAGTTTGGTGCTACCAAGCAAATGGTATTTATGATGTTAAAGGGTATGTTACTCTTTTATGTGGTACATTTATGGTTTACCAAACAATTACAAATAAGCTATATTTTATAAATCTTAGCATTGCATACTATGCTAATTTCCAGGTAAGTTCTATCCAGTTTCATAGTAATCCACTAAAAAGATTCAAGTCCCCAAGTTCAGCTTTTCTCACTCCTGTTCATCCTTGGTTTTTACTGTAAAGAACCCTTTAGGCGAAAGACATTCTTCAAGTCTAAATGGATAATATCTTTAGACTTTAATAAATGGGTTACCAGAAAGGGGGGGGGGTGTGTGTGTGTGTGTGTGTGTGTGTGTAAACGGCACTCAAGGATTTTTCGGTTTTTCCTTCTCTTATGGTTCAGCCACCAGAGCACCAGGTATATTTTTTATTTGTTGGAGTGCAGGGGTTTTCTATATTATTATTATTATATCTATGTATGTTTAGATTACTTTTTTTATTTATTTATAATGTAAGGGTTAAAGGAACCCTAGAGGGTCAGGAGTAAAAATCTTCCTCTCCTGCTATTTAATTTTTGTAGGGTTTAGAGGGATCCCTATATTCAAAGTTTTCTACCTAGTATCCTGGTGTAGTCCCAGTGTAAACCTATCTATCACCATTCCTTGACATCTTCCATGAAAGAGTTGGGCAAAGAAGAGAGCAGACCTGTAGGAGTAGATGGCCATCCTCGTCACAGGGTGCTGGTCCATCTATCAAAGGGATGGGCCAACTCAATCCAGCAGACCACGCACATCGCTCTGCTGCAAGGTCTTTGTGCCCAGTTCCCTTTAACATTTTGAAATCTGCTGGAAGATTTCAAAATGCAGTACATGTCCTCGCGACCTATATTTGATGGAACAGTACCCCAAAACGCAGGACTGCCCCGGCAACTGCGGGACTGTTGGCACCTATTGTGTAAGCTGAGCTATGCCCTGCAGGGTGACATGAGCTAAACCCTGCATTGCCACGTTTTTTTGTGCTCAGAGCTGCAGCATCCAGGATGCAGAGGAGGAGGTGACATACATTTAGGTAGACCACAGGTAAGGTGTCAAACTGTTTGCAAACAGACTGCTTACCCTTGAACACCAGTGCACTCTTGGGGCACCATAAACGTTAGTGTGCTGTAGTGTTCTATAGTCACCAGAACAACTACAGCTTAATGTGCTCTTTCGTCTCGTTTTACATGCACCTACTAAGGAATGATTCCGCCATTTAAAAATCCAGACCAATTGAGGAATCAACTTTGGACTTTGTACAGATCTTATCCATTGTATTTCATTTAAGTACCGATTTTTAGATTTAGTGCCACCTGTCTCCCATACAATAACAGCAGTGGTTATGGTACTTGGATTGTTCCTTTCAAGATTTCTAGCTTTCTAAATAGCAAGACTCTTCCACTTCCATTATTAAAGGAACACAATTCAGTAGATATACCCCCTAGGGAAACATGCTTGCATTTAACTTTGTGTTTTTCCTTTGATCTATATCTCTCGACTGAAGCCCTTCCGTGTACCCTAGCCCAAATAGTCTCATCTCTCCTGCCTGTTTCCTGGGAGTATTGCTGCTACCCCTTCCCCACCCCCCTCTTGTATGCTACTGCATTTTGGAGAGAAACTGTGACTCCTACACAAAGAGACACATTTGGAATGAATGCTAGCTTTTATGCTCTGCTTGGTCTTTTCAGCCAATAGTAATACAGCCTGAATTTAAAACCTGATCCTTGACGGTTCCTCTAAAAGAAACGGTCAAACTATATAATTTTTTTTTTTTTTTTTGCCTGCATCCGTCTCAGTCAATAGATCTGCTCAGCGTCCTCATGGGAAAAAATATTAGGTTAATAATGAGTGATTAGAATTTGTAATTAACAGTATGCTAAGTAGATGTGTCCCATCAATATGTAAAGTAGTGTGGGTTGTGTATGTATGTGTGTATATATGTACAATTTATTTATTTTTTTAAATACAAGATTTTTCTCTCTCCCCCACTCTATTCTGGTTTACACTTGTCACAAGCCTTTTGATTTCCACAATTATGTATTGCTTGTTTCCTAGCTACTTGGCTCAGTGTCAGCATCAGGATTAAATTCCCTTGGGCTCTGCGTGCAGTTTATTGGCTCAAACTCAGACAGGCATTGTGTGAAGTATTGGTTGGCTTGTTCTGGTGTTATGTCATCCAGGATGTTTGAGTGTTGTGCAGTGGCCTTTGGCTTTTTTTTTTTTAAATATTCCCCTCACAAACCGAGAGATTTGTATGTATTTATGTATTTGTCTGTTATTAGATTTGATGTGTCTATAGGAAACGATATGGAATATAAACTGGGTGAAGTGTCTTTCACATAAAATGATAGCTTCCTAATCTACAGAACATGAATTTTTGAAATCTTGTGATGCTAGCCAGGCCTTTAAAAGGCTCCAATATGATCTCCAGAGGTGAATTTCTACCAGCTAGGGATAAATGTTCATTTGCCAATGGCTAGTGAATGGAAGTTTTGATAATAATTTAAACCAGCTATTGGTCTTGATGGACTAAATATGGGTGAAAAAGATCTTTTCTGGTTAGCAGTTTATTACCTGCCCTGATATTTAACAGTACAAAAAAGTATCTGCTTGTCTAGTTACTGACCACAAATGTGTAGTGTCCGTATGAGACTTTACAAGCCGTGAATGCACATACTAAGGGTAGAAACATTGAATTGCTTTTATTTATTTATTTATTTATGTATTTTTTTTATTTTTTTTTAAGTGAGTGTTAACATTTGCCCATTTGTAAGCTTCTGCTTGTTGGAGGGCAATTATAAGCTGAGCATGATGAGGGAGGGTTAGCGGAAATAAAATGTATAAGGATATTGTGATAAAATAACATGAATATGGTAAAATGTTTGTGTAACTGATGACTTAAAGGTAGGAAGACAATGTAACAGAACAGCTGGAAATGCTAGCAGAATGCTTGGTTCTATAGGGAGAGGTATTAGCAGTAGAAAGAGAGAAGTGCTCATGCCATTGTACAGAACACTGTTGAGACCTCACTTGGAGTATTGTACGCAGTACTGGAGACCGTATCTTCAGAAGGATATTGATACTCTAGAAAGAGTTCAGAGAAGGGCTACTAAACTGGTTCATGGATTGCAGGATAAAACTTACCAGGAAAGGTTAAAGGATCTTAACATGTATAGCTTGGAGGAAAGACGAGACAGGGGGGATATGATAGAAACATTTAAATACATAAAGGGAATCAACACAGTAAAGGAGGAGACTATATTTAAAAGAAGAAAAACTACCACAACAAGAGGACATAGTCTTAAATTAGAGGGACAAAGGTTTAAAAATAATATCAGGAAGTATTACTTTACTGAGAGGGTAGTGGATGCATGGAATAGCCTTCCAGCTGAAGTGGTAGAGGTTAACACAGTAAAGGAGTTTAAGCATGCGTGGGATAGGTATAAGGCTATCCTAACTATAAGATAAGGCTAGGGACTAATGAAAGTATTTCAAAAATTGGGCAGACTAGATGGATTCTTATCTGCCGTCACATTCTATGTTATGTTTTGGTTTGGTTTCAGCATACTTGATTAAAAGCCTGACTAATCACTGATTTATGGAAAACATTTAGCTTTGAAGTCGTGAATTACTCACGTGACTTCTAACTACCAAAATTAAAATCCTAGTCAAATAACTCCGGATAAAATAAATGAATCTAATTGGCCTACGTATGTACAAAATATATTTATATTTAACTTATAAATATTTTATTTATTAAAGATGTATGTGTATATACATATCAGCTAAGTATATTTATAGGATATTGAACAAAATGAGTACAAGTAAATAATGACAAACTTAAAAGATGGCAATATGGTTGTGTATATAATGCAACACTTTTGCACTGTAGCTATCTTGTGTGGTTAGACTACTGGAATGCTTTGTGCTATGTATTTCAGTATTTGTACTGATGTGCAGATTTCAGCATTAGACAAACTTCTAAAAAGTACAGAAACGCCAATTAGTGAAGTTGGTAAATTACCGCAAAAACAGACTTCTAGAATAGTTGTTTCCTATTTGTGGGTTTATTTTCAATGTTTGTCTGCTTTGTTTCATGTCAGGTGGCAAAAAATAAGTATTTTGAAAGCCCAGCCCTACCATGCTAGAGTCATGTAACTGTGCTGTGTATATTACACTGATACAATGCCTACGTGACGGTGCAGACAATACTTGTTTGTTCTATTTGTTTCCAATATAAATACTGTGTATATGAAAATATTCACATATGCTTTGTGTTTAAAACAATAGTTACAGTACCAAAGTCTCTTTTCAGCGAAGTAAAATGTATCTGTCCTTTTTAAATGTCACTGGTTAGGACATCATGGTAGATTCAGAATGAGATTTGAATTGAGACATAAATCTCCCCCTCCCTCCTGAAAAGGCCAGTGTCTGCCGTATTGTGTAATTGTCTCTATATGCCCTTTTCTGTGCCTCAGAAAATGACATAGGCCACAATTTCCTATTGCCTGTTAGTCATTGGCAAGTAGAACTTCAGGCTAAGCAACAAGACTCCCCAGCACTGCAAAAGGAAGAATAGGGCACTAACCATTTAAAGGAACACTCTAAGCACCATGACCACTACATCACGCTCATTGAGATGAACAGAGTGGGAAGTGGCACCACAGGAGCCCACAAGATGTCAAACTATTCTTAAGTGGTGTAACTTCTTACAATGGGGGATAAGAGGGAGGGGGAACTCATGGCACCATAACCACTACATTGTGCTTTAAAGAAGTAACTGTTCATCTATTTAGAGTTGTATGACAAATAGGTAGGTATAGGGTGTTTGGCATATTATGTGGTGTAAGGTTTTAAAGCTTGCTTTGGATGGTGAACAAGAAATGACCTATAAAATCAAATGTCGACGGGCCAACATGAGCTTCCTGTCACTTTAGTTTGCACTGTCAATAAGGGCTTTTGCATTCAAGTTTAAATGAATAGGTTTGGTGGTTCTTGTGTATTCAAATATCTTTGGGAGCTAAGAATTTTCTATCTTAAAATCCTGTTCTATTTTATAAATTTGTTTTGGGTAAACTTGGTTTGCTTTTGCATGTAACAAAATCTCTTTACATACAGCAATTCTAAACCTTTTCTCAGATATAAATATTCAGTATTTCTTTGGTTCTATAATATTCTCTAAGTTATTTAGTTGTTTTGGGCATTATTGTATATGATGTATTTGGCAAGTAGCCTTGTCCATGACAATGTACTTCACACACTTTGCTCGGTACAAAACATTCAAAGAAGTATCTCCCCTCCCATGGGGTCATATTGGGGTTTTGGATACTTCTGGCTAAACTGACTTATTAATTTAATAAAAGTAATAAACTCAAAGCACACCTTGTAATATTGCATTGAAAAGATTTTAATTAAAGAACAAGCTGAATACACCCGTAAATATAAAGTTTTACTTTTCTTATGTGATTTATGGACCTGGAGGGGAACAGGTTATTGATTACTTATAAAGCACCCTGCACTTTGATGGCTGCATGTTACACATTCAAATCCACATCTATAGAGAGCTAGCTATATCTTGTACGTATATATTTTATTTACCTGTCAGGTGGAAATCCTAATTTTATGGGGAAACACTAATTTAAAGAGAAGACAATCTTTGACATCATTAAACTTACCTGTAATTCAGTGCTGGGGCACACTCCTCTCAACAGGCCGATTTTCCTTGGGTGAAATCATTCATACTGATGATCAATGTCCAATCAAATGCTTCTTTTAGAGCAGCATTGAGAACAGGAAAAGACATGTCCCCATGATTTGCCAAACCATCATTATTCACCAAAACAAATATCTAAAAGTGTTGGTAGATTCTGTAAATGAATCTTACTCAGAAGTCATACAGTCACGAATCGGCAAAGAAATTGCAAAATGTAAACAGTTATTTGTCTTATGCCAATTACTGTGTATATATAAACTTCTTACATGAATGTATTCTGCCTGCACCTGTAACACTTATGTCTTTTTTTGCAGATAAGCTATCCTTTTGGATTCAGTAGACAAGAACACTAAACACAATATTTTGGAAAGTGAACTCCAGGATCAATCATGTCTATTATGGACCATAATCCTACCACTGGGGTAGTCACAGTTATTGTCATACTTATTGCTATCGCAGCCCTTGGTGCCTTAATTCTGGGTTGCTGGTGTTACCTACGCTTGCAGAAGATCAGTCAGTCGGAGGATGAAGAAAGTATTGTGGGGGAAGGCGAAACCAAAGAACCTTTTCTTTTGGTTCAGTATTCGGCAAAAGGTCCTCGAGTTGAGAAAAAGACCAAGCTAACTGCTAATGGCACAGATGGACACAATTTTCAGGCAAATTAGGAGTCTATCCAGCCGAGATGCTTCCAAAAAGAACGGATACTGTGAAAATAATAGAACCACCTCGATGTTGGAAGTTCTCTAGCCCTGGCTTTCAGACTTCGTCTGGAAGCCACTTACACCGCATGGCTAAAGTACTCTCCTGCGATCCTTGCTCTCGATAACGTTTTCCTTGTATTTTTCAAACCTTAATCTATATCTCCCCTAAAATGTGAACTGTTCCCAGTCACATGAACAGTGTAAATATGTCATTTTTATTTTTTACTTGATCTTGTGAAGTAACATTTCTGATCTAATGAAAACCACATGTTCAGAAATTGTCAACTAAGTAACGGAAGCAAGATCTTAAACACAGATTGGCACTTAGTTTTATTTAATAGTTGGTTGAATAGTGGTTTTTAACACTAGGTTATACTTCCTCTTCCTTAGAGGATGAGGAGCTACATGATTTTTACCATATTGTCTTTAATTGTGTTTTGTTTTTTCTAACTGCATTGAACCTGCCATGTTTTCACTTGTAAAAAGAGCCAATGATCTGGAACATGTCTTGTAAATTTTAAATGTGCCAAGAGGTTCTCCACATTTAACTGGCAGATGAGCAGTTATCTGGATGTATTTTTCTAATAATGAAATGCTATTTTAGATTTTCAGTAAAACATTTATTTATATGTTTTCAGATAAGTTATAACTGTGGATACAAAATTTAGACATTTTAGTGGGTATACTTACTCCCTGTTACAAACTGTCTTTTTATGACTGTGTGATAAAATGAGGGTTCAAATTCCCTTAGCTTACGTATATACTCTTCTTTAAGTAAGAGGTTGTTTTAAAAAGTCTATTTAAAGTTGGAGTGAATTTTGAGTATCTTTTTACTCGATGACCTGCTTGATAGACTACAATTAATACAAAAAAAAAAACGTAAGTGGCTGTAATAATCACTTTTTTTGTTAAAAAAAAAAAAAAAACAGTTGCCAATTATTCCTGAAAGTCTGGTTTAATCCTGTACAAGTTCTCAGATATTTTGTGTGGTTTCCATGGGAAAGGGTTCATGAAACATAAGTGTTTCAATTATAAGTATATTCATGGAATTGACCGTGATAGAACATTTTGCATAACGCAGACTGTAGCCTGATCAGTGATATTTAATTTTAGGAGTAGACTTTTTTTTTTTTTACAGTTTCTTTAACACAATCTATGACTTGGTATCAGAATTGTATTTACTATTCTAATTATGCATAGTCCATATCACATTCTCCTCTTTGGCAAAAGGCATTTTTTGGAACATTTAGAACAAGTCAGGTTTGAGTGTTTTAAACATAGATCTCCACTATCGATGCACTGCAACCCAGTTTTCTTTGGATGTCTTAACTCCCTAAGGATCAATGATGGGAATGTTAGGCAGTCTTGACAACTTTAGTCACGCAAATTGAAGAGTGGCAGACATTAGAAAGTAATCAGTTGGCTATATAGTGTGCTCCTAAGTGAAAAATGGTATGTCATAAATTTACTAAAATCCTTTATTACACAATTATTAAATGTAAAAAGGCATCACTGAATTTTCTCAGGGAGTTAAATGGTCAAAGACTACTAGATATTAAAAGCAAGCAGCAGTTCAATAAGTTTTCCCACTTCTGGAACAAATTTGCTTTTACTTTAAAGGTTACATTTTAAGCTCCATAATAACTTAAGCTCATGGAAGTAGTTATGGTTGCTGATGTTTCTATGCCCTCGCTCTCATATTTCATTATTAAACTCCTATCCACCATTGGTTTAATGGTGAATCTGGATCCATGAGTATCCACAGCTTTGCTTTCTGACCGGATAGGTAAGGCAGAGTTGTTCTGCCTAATACCACACCAAATCATACCAGCAGCAGTGAGCAAGCAGTCAGTGCTGCAGGCAAACTGATTCACCATTAAACCTTTTGGAATCTGTTTAATTGTGAAACTCCAGTTTAGAGGGATATGATGCCTTTGGTGTCCCCTGTGTTTTAAATGGCAATTTTCAGTAAATATGTGGTTGCGAGGTATTTAATCAGGAGAACCGCACATAAAACCTATTGTTTATATTACTTATTTCATGTATTGTTTAATGGACCACAACAGTTTTGGAATTGCCAGCCACTAAAATCTAATTTTAATTCAGTACATAGGTATGCATTAAAATTGCAAACATAATCATCTCTGAATAGTCTGGTTTCTGCAGAGAAATATAGTGGTTGCCTTATTGGTTCTCAGTAATAGGAAGTTATGTCAAAGGCAAATGTCTAAAGATTTTTCTTTAACAAAACGTAATTACAATGGCCAGATCATAGGACGCAAAGGCGGCTCTAAACGCTCATAAAGGGAATAGGCTGTTTTGGCATCCTGGGACGGGAGACACTTTTGAACAGAATAAAACTTTTTTTTTTTTTATATAAGTTAACAGAATGAACTAAACGCCATTTGACTTTGGTTGAGCAAGCCTTAATCTAGAACAGTTCCATTTCAAGCAATCATGTATTTTCAGTTGTAAAGTAAACATAATTGTGACTGAGGAAACTAACCAGAACTGATTATGTGCCATATTAAGACTTGTAAAATAAATAAAGCCATAACAATAAACTAAATTGAAATTAATATTGCGGTTTGTTTTATTTTAATCCACATGGAAGGAATGTTTACATTTTCAGATTCTGTACAGGATAGGGCTGATGCTGGCATAAAAGTAGTGGGCCTCTACAAGCAGAGGCTCAATTTTACATAAGACCCCATGTGCATTTCTTCCATAAGAATTGCTGATGGGTAAAAAATACTTAGATTTTTAACAAATGCCATTAAAACTACTTAAAAAGTAGGGATGCCACTCCAGAGAAAGGATGCAATCCAGCTCTCCGAAAAGTAGGGATGTTTTTGGATGTATATTAAAACAAAACTTAGAAAAGTATTAGGAAAACCTAATTCTGCATCAACTCCTAGAGATGCACTGAATCAACGTTCAGTGCCTTCATGCAGAGTGTGGAGAAGCTGAACATAGGTTTTGCACGATGTGCAGCACTGGACTATGAAGCACCTCTAGTGACTGCTGCCTGGTAATACCTAATGGCAATGTAAACACTGTTTTTTCTCTGAAAAAGCAGTGTTTACATTGTAAAGTCTTCAGTGACAGTTGGACAGCAGAACTATATGAAGTTGTGGTGGCTAGTGTCCCTTTATTTTTTTTAGCTGCCTCCTAGATTCAAAGCAAATGTCAAGCCCTGATTTTAAAGTACCTATTCTACCATATGAAAAGTTTGTGACTGATGCTCAGTGTATACAGGACCTGTTCATGCATTATCACCTAGTTACACACAGTAACTAGTAAGTATAGTGTGTGTGTGTTTACATACATCAGAACAAATACATTTCTAATTGGCTTCCAAAATCATTCTATTGCAGCAAAATAAATCTCTCAACATGAGTCGTCAAAGTGAATTCCAAATTAACTGGTCAAAAAAGCTTAACTGGAAACATGGCTGTTTGAGAATTTTTCCTGTTTGGTTCTTTTTTGGCGCTAAATTTAAAATTCATGATGATTCTCACTTTAGTGAATAGGTATGTCTTTATACAGACACTATCTTAGCTGCAGATGTGTTTTATATAAAGGGACTCTCCACTCCCCTATATCACTTCAGCTTACTAAAGTACTTTAGGGGTTCATGGGTTTCTCTAGCCTCCAGTACCTCTTCTGCTGTTAGGAGTGGTCATAGAGCAAGCAAACTATGCTCTGCATTTCAGCTTGAAACCAAGATATCTTCACTTCTGTGCCAGGGACTAGTTGCATCCCTAGCACAAGTGACAGGCAGACTGTAAGTCTATTCCAGACTGCCTGTTAGTTCTGTGCAAAATTGAGATTCTTCACTTGCAGGCAGCACTGAGCGCATACACCTAAGTGAAGTCCTGTTGCCAGACCAGAAGTCTTCCATTTTCAACTGTAAAATATTCCATCTACCCATGACAGTGAATACGCTCTCCCTCCACCATTCAATACTTTTATATGCGAAGCCAATTGGTTTGCGGTGCTCCTATTGAAGGTGCATTTATGCTTCTCTATAAGAAGTATTTGACTGGACTGTAACAACTCAGAAGAGAAGTTGAAGTTCCGAAAAGAGTCGTGGAAATGGCCTGGTACTGCATTTCATGTATATTTTATACCATTTAAAGAATCCATGAAAAATGGGGGACCAAAGAAATATTCCTATTCACAGTAAAATAAAACAATTGGAGTAACCCATTAATTGTAGGTCCCCTCTGGCTTATGTGATAAAATGACTGATTTCAAGAGTAGTGGCACTTGTATAAACACCTCACCAATGCCTCCCACACGTCAGACATGAGTGTTTCCTTCCCCACTAGCTTTAAACTATTAAGTGGAAGTGAGTACTTTCACAGTGAAGCATTGAATTTGCAGAGTACAGCATTTGCCATCGGTCCCCAGTTAGAAGCATTTTGGATTGATAACGGTATTGAAGATCTCACTGTGGTGAATCAGGCTGGCTATCAAAGACTGACTGCATTAGGAAAATAGTGAGTTACATAGTTTTACTAATAAAAAAAGAAGGGAGTATGCAAAAATGAACGCATTAAAAGTAGTCTAACGTTGAACTATTACCTTAATTTCTTTCACCCAACTAAATACTTGTTAACCTTGAAATAATTATTTTCCTTTTCTAAAAAGGAACATTATTAGGAAAAAGAACGTGTTTTTAAGAATGTTACTTCCAAATGATATTAAGTTTAATGAGCAGGTGTTATTTAACTGGAGATTTGATAAGTGGGATAAAAGTACATTTTGAGAATTAGAGATCTTTTCATTTATTTTTCAGTATAGTCAGATCATCGATTTCTCTGGACTTTCCAGTGGATTCATGAACTGTAATATGTGAAACCTTAAACAACACGTATCTCCTTTCTCTAAAGACCTGCACACAAAAAATAGAAGAAATCCTTTCCCATTATATCAGACAAATTTACAAATTTTATAAAATATAGTTTACTTTTATCAATGGAATAAAATACTCGCTGTCAGCAGAAAGCATACCTGAAACAGTTGATATTAAAGGAGCAGAGGGGTGAAAAATAAAGCATCAGTAATGTTGTAATTTAAATAAAATCAAACTTTCAACACAAGTTTTATTTCTAACACCATTATTTGCCCAGTTAATAAATTAAACATACAATGTATGCCACATTACATTTAAACAACCTAGAATGTTACAAAACATTACATACAGCAGATCCTCCAGGGCAATTTTGCTCAGCACCACCGACCCACGCTTCTAATAAAAGGAAGATTATTAAGAGGAAGCCTGAAATTAGTAGATTGTGTAGTTTCATAGCACCAGGTGAAAAGTCCATGCAAAGAAATGTGGGAACTTTGCACCCAGGACCAGTAGACCAAGTAAGCCAGTTTAAATCTCTCCTCTAAATCAGAATAGAAATTGAACATAAACATTTTATTGCAATAATCTATTTTTTTTTTAAAATGAAGAAAAAAAAACAAAACTAGTTACAGAAAAAAAAAAAAAATTAGATATAAATCTAATTTCCAAATTTCTAAAACCAAAAACTTAATCTGCTCTTCTTTCGATGGCTTTTTTCCCCCCCCAAGCATCAAAGTGCTGTTTGAGATTCCAGATCTTTCTTTAGTAACAGCATTTCTTTTCCAGAACAGGCCTACTTCCATCGTCCAAGGCTAAGCTACCACCCTCTTCCTCAGGTACTGGATTTAATTTGCCTTTTGCCTCCAGTGATGCCATAAGGATCTTGAGCAGAGCATTCTCAGAGAGAAGCCTTTCTGAAGCAATTGCAAGCTCCTTCAGTTTATCAGCCAGTGTTCCAACTTCCCTTGTTTTTTGTTCATAGAGAGCTTGTAATTGTCCTTTATGAATCTCCAGGGCATTGTTGTGTTGTTCCAGTCTGTGTTTCTGCTCTTTCAACATACGCACATCCCTTTTCGCCTCTGAAATCTGTCCTGCCAGCTGATGTTGGGCCTTGTGCAGAACCTCGATTTCTGTCCTAAGTCGAAGGATCTCCCTTTCCAAATAGGAAATGTGATCGTCTTTATACTGCAGGTAGTGTTCGGGACAAGATGAAGGTGTACAACTTGTTGTAGAAGGCAGCGTGGCATGATGTAAAATGAATTTCAAGAGATTTGAAAGAGTAATCTGTTTATCATCTGGATACTTTACACTTTGGTCTTTCCTAGAAACAAAAGTATGGTTTAGAAGTAGGAGAAACTACTACAAATCTAACAGTGTACATTTACACAAATACACCCACAAAAACAATCCGCAAAGATTTATGAAAACGTCCAAAACAACCAACGATAAATGAGTGAGGGATCGGTGCAAAAAAATTAAATAAAATGTATATGTAACATTTAGATGTTCTTATAATATTTTTTTGGGCACCGATATCTTTCCCTCACTCATTTATTGTGAAATGATTGAAAGATGTGGCATTTATTGCAGTGATGTACACATAAATGGTGACATTACAAATTTAGATCTATTGGAACATTTCCTGAGTGAGGTGTGGGTAAGTGCGCAGCTCAAATTATACACAGGATTTATTAGCACCAGAGCCTTCTACTTGTTCAATTGGTAAGTAAATTAGAGTGGACAGAAACAAATCAAAAAACATCTTTATAAAAACAGCACATGTGTATGTTTGGAAACTACTGAAGCAAATAAACCTTCCTGCTTTCATTTTTAGAAATGCTATATAAAGCACTTTTTTTTTTTAAATCACAATCCTGGTTATTCAAGCAGAACTTCACTGCCCACTTCCTTAATTGTTTAAAAATATACCCACCATCACATCAAGGGTTGGCAAATGTTGTAGTGGAAAACAGGTTATTTTCCTTATTTGTGCAATACCAGATTCAGCATGAATACAATAGAAGGTATATTTTGATTAGAAACAATTTACACATTTCTTACAACAGAGACTTTAAATAAAAAAAAAAAAAAAACTGTATTTGATGATCCTATTTTCTGATAAGTCAAGTTATTTGACAGTTGAGTACCGGGCACCGTTTTAATTTTGTGTATTAAAGGTCAACTAATACTTGTGATCACCAGTGAATTCATGGCAGCAAAAAAAAAATTAAAAAAAAAATCTTCAGAACGGGTTAAAACTCACCTTATTTTCAGCTCTCCATAGGTCTGCTGGCGCTGGCCCCGTCCCCTTGGGGACATCAAAACTGCAGTTTTTAGCCAATCCAATGGTTTCCCATTGGATTTGACACCTCAGGACATATAAATTTAGGATTCTAAAATATGCTCTATGTAAACCAATTGTGTCTTCTTTAAACTTTTATGCCACAATTTGCAAGTTCTAGCTACCACCTGGGTTTTGCAAAAACTATGGGAATGTCACACTTGGAAAATGGCCTAATTTGTCCCATATCTCAAGGAAAATAAATATGAATGAGAATATCTAGGTCTTGATGCCCTCTGGAGCCTATTAGCATTGGTCCCGAACTTGCTTAAACGTGTGGATTTCAATGATAGCATTATTTCCCATAAACTTCTGCACAAAAGCTAGTATTGAAGGCGAACTGGTGAAAGTGTCAACATGGAACACAGAGCTAGAAGATGGTCACCAAAACTGACAGCAATGCTACCTGTATACCATCACCTGCTAATGTGTATTAAAAAAAAAAAAGCTATGGTCAGTAGTGACCGTTTTCAGGTTTCCTTTATCTCTTTCAATGTGCTAAGTTATAATTAAATGAAATTAATGAAGTTAAAATTAAATGATCTTTCCCCTCCAGATTATAGACTGTGCACAACAGGGTTATACTATGTTTTGACAGGAAAGTCTAGTTGGCACCTAGATTGTGCCACGCAAATCAAGCTCTGAATTTCAGGTGCCAATTTCAAATTTTCCAGGGTTTTGGAGGATATAAATTCCCAGCTGCAACTACCTGTTTTCCAGGTACTTTTAGTTCTGTTGCAGTGAGCCCTCACCAGCCTTCCAGCATACTCAATGGCTATTAAGACATTTGTTGTGTTCTCTCCCCCCCCCCCCCAGTTTAATTTTTTATATATATATATATATATATATATATATATATATATATATATATATATAAAAAAATACCAAGAGCTCCTGCACTCACGCTCCAATTACCCTTGTAGCCTGGGTGCTAGCAAATTATGGCCGTCCATACAAAAATCCAACAAGTAGCTGCACTCACGGTAAATAAAAAAACAAAATTTATTAGAAATGAGTTAAATCATCAATGACCAACGTTTCAGTCCGACAAGGACTTTCCTCAGGATCAAAAAAGATGAAAAAAAAAAAAAAAATTCTCATCTTTTTTGATCCTGAGGAAAGTCCTTGTCGTTCTGAAACGTTGGTCATTGATGTTTTAACTCATTTCTAATAAATTTTGTTTTTTTATTTACCGTGAGTGCAGCTACTTGTTGGATTTTTATATTATATATATATATATATTTTATTATTATTTTTTTTTTTGCTCTTTTTTTGTAGTATTTGTGGCAAAATCAAAAGCATTTGATTTGTCCCACTTAGTTAGTTAGTCTATGCCAAACAGATCCAAGAACATTTGTTCCAAAAAAAGCCTCCGATGAAGCTACAACAACAGATGTCCTCTTTTTATCATTGTTCCAAAATAGGTTGCAGCAAACCTTTCTTTTTGGATATTAGAGTGGCTGCCGTTCAAATCAGCTCTTTCTCATGAGCTGGCAACAAATTATGCTCCTAAAAGCAGGAAGGGAAACACTGGGATGTGATAGATTCTAGTTCTGACTTTTAGTCCACTGACTATTCTTCTGAAGACTCAGCAATCTTCGCTGGCCAACATAACTATTTCCCAATAGAAAGCCTGTACAAACTTATTAAAGAAGTGCAAAGTTCGGATGGAAAACGAGGAGGACTCAAACAAACATAAAAAGCTTAAGTCATTTTTATTCCATCTTAATTTAAGGGATCTGATGCTGAGGGAATGGAAATATCCTTCTTAAAAAGCCATTATTTCAAAGCACTTTAAGACTATATTTGCCATCAAAGAAGTAACCGAAAAAAATTGGAAGGGCTTCCTAAAGTGGATGTACCTCAGTCGGGAAAGCAAACCCTACCTGTAGGAGATTCTAGTAAACTTCAAAACACAATGGATAAAAGCAGAATCCTTGTTACATAAGCGGTTTTCTACAAATGCAGCTCAACGTAAAGGCCTTATTGCATGAGCATTGGTAGCCAAGGCCCAATGTATCTGACTAGATTACCAAGAAAACCAATCAAAAGAAGACCCGTTAAAGATTCTACAAAAAAACATTACAATGGCTTCCTTTCCAATTTGATGTTTGAAGTTCTAAAACTGGCATCCAAAGCTATAAACCTCCCCACTGTGGCTAGAAATGCAGTTTGGCTCAGAAACTGGTTGGTGGACTTTGCTTTAAAGCATCCCCTTTGTGATCTACCTTTTGAACAGGGTAAACTCTTTGGGTCTTACCTGGATGATCTCTTAAAACAGATGTCAGAAGAGAAAGGCCTTGCCTGAAAACCAAAAAAAAAAAGGAAAAGTGGAAAAATACATTCTTCTATAGAAACAAGTCTCCCTACAGAGATTTGTTTCTTCTTGATGTGGGCCTACAAAAGCAGAGAGACCAGTTTGATTATAGAAACAAAGAAAAGAATGTTCAGGATTGCAGATTTTAACGCCAGAGCTGTAGGAGGAAGACTTCTTGCATTCTCTTCCCAGTGGGAGGAAGCAACAACAAACAACTGGGTCCTTACTATTATAAGAGTGCAAACTCTGTTAAAGAAAAATGTACTATAATAACTGCCTCCCGCAGAAAAGTTTTCATGAACCTTCTCGGGGCATTTTCTAGTTCAAGAGCCAGACCGGTCAATCAGTTCATTGTGATGAAAAAAATTCCATATTCCATGCAATCAGCAACATACATTCAAGAAGGGGCTTGGCTAAGATCTCTAGGCCTTAAATATGCATATCTACATATTGCTATTGCAAAGAAAAGCAAAGAGTTCCTCAGATTCTGCATCAAATGGGAAGAATAATTTCAGCATTACCAATTCAGGGCCCTGCGGTTTGGTATATCCTTAGCCCCTTGGGTATTTACCAAGATTTTGGTAGTCATAACAGCTATCCTACCCATATGTAGATGACTGGCTTCTAATAGCATCCTCAAAACAACATCTCTTAAAAGACAGCCTATGTATGCCTAAGCGCAGATGAATTTTAAATAGAGGAAAAACAGAATTGGTGCCCATGAGGTTTTTGGTTCTCATCGTAAACTCAGTTTACGTGAAGGTATTGCTTTAAAAAAAAAAAAAATCTTCAGGTCCATTTTGGTTCTACCAACAAAAAAGGCCTATAACTTAAGACACACAACGAGGCTGTTGGGCCTCCTTACAATTACAATTCTGGCCATCAGCAAGTCCAAGGTAACAATGAGGCTTTTAAAGAGAAATATTCTGGCAGAATGGGACAGAAGAACTTCTTCCCTTGACTAATTGATGAAAATTTGGACATCCACCATAAGAAGCCTCTATTGGTGGATGTCATCCCAAAATGAAGGATTACCTTATTGCCTCAATATTCGGTTGGGGAGCCCATCTGGAGTAACATGTGACAAAAAGACAACAGTACTTCAGGATGCCCGGAAGTAAAATTACAGAGAACTCAAAGCGACCTGAATGGCTCTTCAAAGTTGTATAAAACAGCTACAAGACACATCGTGTTTAGGCGAGACAATCCCAGAAAGAAATTCCATCCACAATTGCTTTTAAAAAAAAAAAACCCTCCCTTCCACAAATTACAGTCATTACATTCCTCAAAGTGGGTACCTACTGGAGTGTTTCTTCCTTTTTTCCACATCCAACAAGTGTTCCCTTATCCTCTCCCTCGAATCTCACTGTCCACCCTACATACTGTATATCAAACAATTTTGTAGAAAAACAACTAAATCATGTTCTTACTACAGCATTGTAAATAGTTTTCTAAACTCTGCCTGTACTGTGAGATTTACACTCACTTTCCACAGATAAACAATTGTAAATTCTATGACGACATTTACACATTCCTGTATTATCAAGCAATCTTTTATCAAGATTGCCAAGATTATTTAACAGATAAAAATGTGAGAGAGACAAAATAACGCAAGGAGAACAAAAACATTGAAATCTAAACTTAAAGGAACACTATAGGGTCAGGAACTCAAACATGTATTCCCGACCCTTTAGTGCAAGACCCACCATTTAGGTGGCTTGCCCTCCTCCCCCTTAGCCCCGTCAGAATGGGTTAAAACTCCTTATTTTCAGCTACACGGGTCCGCTGGCGCGGGCCCCCCCCTTGGCGACATCATAATTGCATATTTTTAGCTACAAATTGTAAGGCGGCAGGGCCAAACACTGTTTTGGCCAATCAGCATCTCCTCATAAAGATGCTCTATGAGCGTTGAGATGCTGAACAGCAGTGCTGCCTAATGTGCAGCACTGAGTCAGGAAGCAACTCCAGTTGTCATCTAAGGAGTGGACACTTGGAGGTGTCCCTAGGGACAATGTAAACACTGCCTTTTCTCTGTAAAGGCAGTGTTTGCATTAAAATGCCTGAAGGCAATGATCATACTCACCAGAACAACTACATTAAGCTGTAGTTGTTCTGGTGACTATAGTGTCCCTTTAAGGCTTTTGGAGGAAAATAAAAAAGTTGATGTAATGGGATATGTATTAAAGGTATAATCCATTTCAGTGTCACCAATGATCCCCCAGAATGACCCATATTCAAACAGGCAATTCAATGCCTTCATAAATTCATGTTGGGTTTGTATTTAAGTCTTTGTAAAATGATACAATTCAAATGTTGTAAGGCTTCTTTTTGGTATTTTACAGTATTCATAATAACCATATCTCCTCTTTTAGGCGCATTTTTTATTATTTCAGTATGGGTCTGAGATCATCAATCTCGATGATCCTAGCCAAGGAGTTGTAGCTTCCCTGCTGATACTGGCGCTGCAAAAGAGCAAAGGTAAATAAAATATATTTTTTATTCCCTGCAGGTGGGGGCCAGGGACCCTAACAGCCAACAGGGCACTAAAGCCTTAGAAATACACATTTGTATTCCTTACGCTATAGTGTTCCTTTAAACTTACTGTCCTTTCTGAGGCTTCAAATCTGGTGGTTAAAAAATTGTCCAATAGAGGATGTAGGGCAAAGGTAGACAACCTTCGGAACTCAGATGTTAACTAAATCTCCCATAATGCTTTGCGATCATTATGGTTGTAAGAACATTCTGGGAGACGTAGGCCAGAACATCTGGAGTGGCGAAGGTAACATACCCATGACATAGGACACCGTGAACATCTGTACAATTGATAACCTAACGCAAGTTTACAGAAATATTTTTCATTAAAAAAAAACAGGTTGGCCACCATTGGAAGCATATAGATTCAGTATAGTGATCAGATAATTAGTGCGTTGCCCAGTGAGGATGAGAAAATGGCCATCTTGGTTTGCAAATTGCAGAAAAAGATGGGACATCCAATCCCTATGTATCACAGGACTTCTTGTGAGTGCAGGCATTAAAAGTTAATTAGTCCCCTATATAAACCAAGAGATGCCAGGTTGATTATTTTATCTACTTGATAAAGCCTTGCAAGGTGAAACGCGTTGTAGATATATATTTTATCTTTTTTGTACCAATAAAGAAATCTTTTTATACCCTCTATACCTGGCATCCTGATTTTACCATCTCAAGCGAGGACTAAAGAATCCTAGCTAGGGAATATACCACCAGCGCCCTATTCATCATGCAGTAAGCCTGCTCAAAGAAATGTGAACATCTACTCTACAGAAAATGGTTTTAAAATTATTTGATACAGTGAGCACTATATTTTCTATTTTCTACTTTCTCGGTCCGGAATTGTTAACATTGGAAATATCTGGAGAAACTATCTACCACACATATCCCAGAAGTGGGGATCATTCCACTTCACGCTATTCACACACCAGAGCTGGATATAGCTCTGGTAAATGTGAGTAGAATAAAATCCATAAAGTACTGTATACACATCTCACTATATACTGTACCATTGGAGTCTTTTGTCTTATGTCTTACATGTAGCTTTGGAATGACAAGAACCCAACCTTAAAGAACGTTTAATTTCATCCAGTTTGGCTGTTCCTTTTAAAACTTTTATAATTTTTTTTTTTTTTACTATTTTTTTTTATTCTTTTATTTGTATTTTATGTGTTTTATTGGGAATTTTATCCTTGTTAATATTTTTGTATATTCCAATTTCTATTTGGCGGCACCTTACTCCCTTTTTAATGTATTTTTCTGTAAACTGTGGGGTATTAAGAGGGAACCTCTTCCACTTTAATGTGTGCTGCCTTACAATAGAATACTTAGTTTTTTCTGACTTTATTTAGCGCTGATCCTTTTGTAAAAAAAATTCCATTAAAAGTTAACCAGTATTTTGTGTATTTAAAAGGATGTTGGGGGGGGAGCTGACCGCCATGAAGACAAGTAAAAAAGTTCTTATTAACCTGGTTTTACAAAAAATGTGCAAAGTTCGTGATGCCACACCAATGTACTCGTATGTTTAACACTATTCGCACCAGCTATTGTGGCGGCGCAAATCTGTCTGCGTACAATATGCACAAATAAAATAAAGAATTAAAAAAAAAAAAAAAGGATGTTGGGTATGGCTATGAAAATGCGTTCCCTAGTAACACACTATGTCCTGATTACAGCTATGAATATCATGTAGAGAAAATATCCTCTTGTGGGGGTATCGAGGACCCTAGCATTGAATGTAAAAAAATTAAAAATAAAAAATGTAATTTAAAAAAAAAAAAAGTGTACCCCCAAATACCTCTAAAAAAAATGTTTTTTTAATTCCACCCTAGAGACAGCCAGCATTACATGATACTGTAGGCACAAAAATTTATATAAACCAGCAAAGGCATATCCATCTGTACCAAATATATATGCCATTTAATTAGAATGTGAATAAACCCAGGTTCCACATGGAAAATGAACAAAGGAGGAAAAGGAGGAGGAATAACCAATACAAAAAAAAATACTACAAACTGAAACAGGCAAAGTTCTTCCAGTCTTGCACAGTAATTATTAAAAGGTATACTGCAGCACCAATACTACTGCAAGGCATTTAAAACGGTTTGCCTTCATTAATATGCTGAATTGTTTTGCATTTTCAAATCTTTACAGTTGTATAGAAAAAAAAAAAAAAATGAAAAAAAAGTTTCCAGCATTCTCCAAATCATTTTATTTTTGTTTACAAAAACTGCAATAATTTGAGCATACAAACAAATGCAGACTATTAATGAGACCAAAATCTATAAAATGCATTAAAACTGTATTACTGTATTGTTGCCCTGTTTGTCCCTTAAAATATGTAGTCAGCTAAAAACTGTATCAAATTGGAAGTCACAAACAAATGAAGGATAGCTTGAACTTTATGTAACTGGCACAGTTTCATTGTATTCATCCTTTATTATTAATATTAATTGGTTTTTAAAATCAAACTTACCTATTCTGAGGAAATAGCAAGATTGTTGGAACACGATCAACCATAAACTCCCACGGTAGATCATTATGTGCAATGTTAATCCTTGAAAAACCAAACACACAAAGTCAATATCAAAAAACTACATACAATTTTAAAAGGTTTTAAAGTTAACTTATATACATATATGACGGGGGGCTACACGTGAAATATTCCAGCAGGGAGATTTACTGTGAACTGAAAAGCTGGAATGCAGGAAAATGAAGTATTGAAGCTTAATTTTCAGCTGGTAAAAAGCTCTTACCTGCGAGCTATCTAAAACTGAACTGAAAACTCCAAAAGTCTCTTTTTTAATAAAAACCAAACTAATCCATGTCATTTTTAACAATTAAATATCAATTAGGAGCCACAAGTATTATTGAAAATCAATGCAAGTTGGGAAGAATTCTACACCCCATTCTGTGATCCTGAGATAAAAGTAGACTCTAGGTAAACTCTGGACATGTCACAGACATAAAAGTAGCCCGCCCACAGGAGGAAAATAAAATAGGGAGGGTGTGGGGGCAGGATTTTCCGCGAGGCAAACAAAGCATTTGCCTAGGCGGCACTTTCAGGGGGACGCCGCCCTAAGTGCCCAGACAAGTGCTTTGTTTGCCCAACGACCTGGGGGGCAGCAAGGGGTGGCCGGCTGGTTCGCAGTGTAGACGGGCGGCGAGGGAGCGCAGTCCTTGAAGCTCTTCCTGCTCCCTTGTGCGCCCTTCTAGGAGGTGGGGAGCCCAAATATGACGTCACGCCGGCCCCAGCGGCGTGTGAGGGAGCAGAGCAGGAAAAGCTCAGTTCCCTTGCCACCTCTATTAAGCACCCACCCAGCCGAGCCCGCAGAAGCCAGCAGCCCCAGGAGTCTGTCCGCCCAGCCAGGAGCTCACCAACGGTGAGTGTATGAGAAAGTGTGTGCACGTCTGTCAGCGGGAGCGCGCACCTCTGTCAATGAGAATGTGTGTGTGTGTGTCCTGGAGCGCGCGTGTGTGTGTGCGCCTGTCAGAGTGTGTCAAATCAGTGAGGAAGTTTGTGTCCGTGTGTCTTTCAGTGAGTGTATGTGTATCTGAGAGTGTGTGCCTGTCAGTGAAAGTGTGGGTTGTTTAAACAGTGTGTGTGCCAATGACTGTACCTGTCAGTGAGTATGTCAGTGCATGTGCCACTGGGGGCGTGCGTCTGTCAGTCAAAAAAGTGGCCCTGACACTGTGTGTGGGTGTATTTACATGAGACCATAGCATCCTTTACAGACATGCAAGCAGAAGGTGATGGCCTATTTGTGCAAGAAGATTCTGTTTCCCACCAGCCATCACAAGAGCTAACAGATATAAAATGTCAAAACCATGGGAACTGGAAATTAATCATTATTCGTTATGTAGTTTCCTTTCGCATACATGATACAAAGTAGTCTTTCCAAATATTAAACGGAAAAAAAAATAGAATTGCAAAGGTCTCTGTGCTACTGACATTTGGACAGAGTGTCAGTAGCAGGCAAATAATCAACCACTCACCACTTAGGAGTGGAACTGCTCTGTAAACCCTGGTTCACTACATTTCATCTCAATAAAGTGGTCTGGGTGCATTGGCCCTGTCGTTTTTCTCTTGCAATGTAAAACATTGCCATTTTGTAGATACAGCAATGTTTACATTGCACAGCTAAGCATAGCTCTAGTCTCATTACTTTGGACAAGAGGACAAAGACGGGACAAACTACAAGGAGACAACACGGGAGGGGGAGCAGGCTGCTGCAATTCAGAGAGTATCTGAAACAAGGTTAACAATGCTTTTTTAAATATTTCATTAAGGGGGCCGTGAATCTAAACCCAAATACAAACATGTATTCCTAATGCTATAGTGTTCTACATCGCCAATGATCTAGTGTTCCTTTAAGGAAGAAAGCGCAATCCAAGTCAAGTGTGCACACCACATGCACAACTTGGAGAAAATTAAGGCAGGTAGCCCATGGTTGACAATTTACAAGTTGCTGAAGTTATAACTCAGTGACTTATGACTTGGTGTAAATACAGCGCTAAAACAGGATTGTTTCACACATACACTAGTTTCACAGTTTGGAGTCATTATTTGCAGGTTATGATTCTTAAATATGTTGTTCCTTAAATATGTTGTTCCTTAAATTGCAGTGTTTTTCTTGGGTCGTAAAGGTTTTTACGCTGAATGCTGTATTATCAATTTTGTTGGGCTATGTACCAACTCAGTAGAGTGAAGTATTTAGCGCATACATGCCGGTTCTAGTAATCCTATGTACATGCACATATTTGCGTTCTAATTTTAACCTTTTTGGAAATGTTCGTGTTCATTACTTCACGTCAGCAAGGGTAAAAGGAAGAAGCACATTCTAAAAATGCCAGATGTTCTCAATTACCAACGATAAAGCATATGTTCTCCGTTCAACACGCATTATTTCCTGGTTATTATATTATGTGCTTTAAAAAAAAAAGCACAAAGAAGCTGCATGAAAAATGTAAAGTCAGTAATTTTGTTTTCATCTAATTAATGTTATTGTTGTATTAATTATGCTGGCTGTGATCACATGCATTCTACTTCAAATTGAAAGGTATTTAAAACATTATAATAAATCTTAACAGAGACACTTTGTTAGTGACCTGCTTTGGTAGTACAGATTCAAACCTACTGCTTACAGAAGGAAAAGAGAAACGTAACATTTCTATCAAAAAATATTGATAAATCATTGGTGACAGAAAAAGGTAAAATACTACTTATGTGTTTATTTTCACAGTGAAAATTTCAGGAAGATAGATCAGATAGAGAAGTGTGTGTTAAAGAAATAATTGCATGTAAAGTTTCTAGAAACATACAGCGTTATTCAGCAAAGTGAGAATACAAAGTGAATTTCAAATAAAATTAGGCAAATCAGAAAATTCCCCAAGTCAGATAAGCTTCCAGTTCGGCAAAATTGTTGTGAAATTTGAAATTCACTTTGAATTTTCACATAAATAATCTTGATTTTAGAGGTTTCCAGAACAGAACCAATGCACACGTTATGGCCGCAATGCAACAATTTTTGTGCAGATTTATGCTGTTCACCTAGCAAGAGGTTTTGTGCTAAATAGTTGCTTTACTGGTAAAGATGTGGCATTCTCTGTCTGAAGAAGTTCTTATTAGATTCTATAGAGAATTAAAATTAATAAAAAATACGGTACATTTTTTTTTAAAAAGGCCCTGGATGGTTTTTTTTGCAGAAACCAAATAATTTATATGTATGTAAACAGGTTGTTGATCCAAAGAGAAATCTGATTGCCATTATGGAGTCAAAATTGATTTTTTTTCTTCCTTTTTGTGACATAACTGGAAATGATTACAATAGGGTTATAATAGATCTTTTAGATTAACAGCATAAAAGAATGAGCTCTAAGGTTGAACTTGAATGACTTTGTCAACTATGTAAGATGGCATACATTAGTAGACTGTTCTGGAATGTGGAAATGTAAAAAACATCTACTTATACAAGCGACGAAAGTGACAGCCCAATCTATTTGTCCTGACACAAAATGTAAAAAGTTTGGGGACCCTGTTTAGACCTGGATTTTGGAAACAATATTTCACTAAACTCTGAATTTCCCCAGATTAATTCTGCAAGAAAAAAAAGAAAAAAGGGGGAGGCTAAATTAGCGAATCTGGAAAAATATTCCAAGTCCGCTATAGTTACAAAAGGCTATTTTTTCTATTAGGATTTAATTTGCAAAATTTAGTTTAGAATCTCACCCTGTGCCCTCCCCCATAGTGTGTGAGATGTGTTTCAGCTGTATATGTGCGCTCGCTGGCTGTCCTACTCTTCAACCCTTAAGCCAAATCAGGCTCCAATACATGGAGCATATACCTTAGACCACTTTGGTAATTCTGCTCCTCACAGTGTCAGAGTGCATGCTGGGAGTCTGCAATTTACTCTGACAGAGCATGCCGGAACCACGGATTCGTGGCCTACTGAGGTTTGCAGGTTATAGGAGTATAGCGATCACACACAGCCCCCAAAAACCATCCTCTTTCTAGTAACCCTGCCGCTTGCCACAGCAGGGCTAAACGACAAAAAACCAAACCAAAAACTGCCTGTCCAGCGACCAGAACTACATGTACTGGGCATCGAGTGATACAAATTCAACATGCTTGGTGCTCATGGGACCAATTCATACAACATCTAGCGTACTCACTCATTCACTAAACAGCGGTTTCAGGGGTGAGAGAGATCTCTCAGTGTTAAGCGGTCATAATAATCAGTTTTGCCTCAGACCTGAGGAAGTAAGGGAAAAATCTTGAAAGCCTGCCTTTAAAAATGAGGTGTTTCTCCAATAGAAAAAGGGAAAAATAAAAACACTACCCACTAAATACAAAATTTATGCTTGCTTGATGAATTAAATTTATTTCGATATAACGACTTGACTAGAAGCACCCATTATAAAAATACTGCAAGTTTTGTCATTTCGGCATTATACATTACATTGTTTTATACTCTAATTATTCATCCTATCTTTTTGTGACACAGTTCCTTCTGTTTTCTGACGTTTGGAATGCTCTCTTTGAGATGTAGCATAGTTTTTATATGGACTATACTGGAAGCCACTGCATAAAAACCACTATTTTTCAGAAAGTCTATAAAAGTGTGTTTTACAAAAGGCACTGTTATATTATGTCAGACTTCACTGAATACACAGAAGTCCTTCTGCACCTGGCAGGATGTGCATCTACAGAACCATTAGTGCACAGCTTAAGGAAGTTTTAAAAAAAAAAAGTCATGTGTGGGTGCTTGTGATATCACTTCAGTAGCTCCTAAACGTGTTCTCTCATAACAGCCTACCAACATTTGCCAGATTAACTGTATGTTACCCAATGATTGTTACATGAATAGGTCTTCCATACACTGCATGGCATCCTGATGGACAGCTACATGCAGATGATGTAAACTGCATCACACAATACTGTACTTGTCATGAAGGTCCACACTAGGAGATGTGGCATAGGGCTACTTTTGACAACCTTAGAAACAATCTGTCATTCTATGACGGCAGCTAAGCAGGAAGGTTAAAGGGACACTATAGTCACCTGAACAACATTAGCTTAATGAAGCAGTTTTGGTGTATAGAACATGCCCCTGCAGCCTCACTGCTCAATCCTCTGCCATTTTGGAGTTAAATCCCTTTGTTTATGAACCCTAGTCACACCTCCCTGCATGTGACTTGCAGCGCCTTCCATAAACACTTCCTGTAAAGAGAGCCCTATTTAGGCTTTCTTTATTGCAAGTTCTGTTTAATTAAGATTTTCTTATCCCCTGCTATGTTAATAGCTTGCTAGACCCTGCAAGAGCCTCCTGTATGTGATTAAAGTTCAATTTAGAGATTGAGATACAATTAGTTAAGATAAATTACATCTGTTTGAAAGTGAAACCAGTTTTTTTTTCATGCAGGCTCTGTCAGTCATAGCCAGGGGAGGTGTGGCTAGGGCTGCATAAACAGAAACAAAGTGATTTAACTCCTAAATGACAGTGAATTGAGCAGTGAAATTGCAGGGGAATGCTCTATATATATATATATATTATATATTTATTATATTATATATTTATTAGTAACCAAGACCACTTTGTCTCATAGAAAATCGGAATTAATTCAATGGTTTCCTATGGGGGAAGTTTGAATGATTGTGGCGCTCTCTTGTGCAGAGAGAGAGTCTTGGTTCTTGAAAAAGGTAAATAAGACTTTATTTGTTAAGTTATTATTGCAGATGGGAAAGCCTGAATAAGAGTACTGACAGGACTACAATAGTGTTAAAAATACAGATTTTCATTCCTAACGCTATAGTGTTCCTTTAAAGTTATTTCTGCATAATCCCCAAATATTGTGTACACCATCATGGTAAAATGTTTCACTGACATTTCCAAGCCTTTTCTGCCTTACCTTGCAACAATGATGCTATCTGTAGCAAGGAGTTGAGTAAGTCGAAGAAAAAGGTGATTCAGAGATGCACAGAAGCCACACCAGGATGTATAATATAGCAAAAGAACATCCTGTAAATTAAATAAACACCATGTAAAATTGTAACACCATTTTATGCAGTGCATCCCCACCTCTTAATTACACAAGTTCTAATAAAAACACTAAATACAAAATGTATGCTTGCTTAATTTCTTTCTATACAATGACTAGACATAATGAAAGACCTTTCCCAACCACTGAGGCTGGCCACACCAACCTAATATTTGCTCCTTTGGTGCCCCTTTGTTGTATAGCTGAGTAGAATAGAAGCAACACAGGACAGTTGATGTAAGACAAAAAGTACTCCGAAATGGCTGTGGCTTTCTGTGCCGTTAACTAGCAGTTATCTTGAATTTAAAAATAAAGTAGGAAAGAAAAACAAAAACAAAAAGTAATAATGTGGTAATAGCACATGAAAAATATAGGTTACTATTGGGATCCAAGCCGTATAGGATGTTGTGCCAGAACAGGTACTGGTCACCGCCTACATGGCAAGAATTGGGGCAACGTTTTAGCCAAACAGAATCCATGAATACATTAATGTCAGAAAAACTTAGATCGGCCTGCTGCCCAAGCTTCTATCAGCATCTAGCAAGGGAACATCTAGGCGAGTAGAAATTCCCCCCTTGTAAGTATGTCATGGACTCTATAGGCTTGCAGTTGCAAGCAACTTTAATAGCCTGGCTAGTAGTGTAGGACTTTTAAGCTCTGTATAATCGTATATTCAGCCTTGAAAGCAGAGCAGAACCATTTTTCAAAGTGGCATAATTATATGGGCCAAGATAAGAGGATTGCAAGAAGGTCTATCGGTGTGTGATGGGAGTTGCAAAGTGAATGCCAAGATTCAAAATGGCTGTTATGAGTGTGGTGAAAGCTGGTTTGGGAAATCCTGTTTAGGTAGTTTATGCATAGGAACAGAACTCAGATTTGTAAAAATCTTCTTACATGCTTTCAGTTACATGTATTTACTGCTCAAAGCATTGTTGTGAAGAACAACTCTGGTCCCACGTCACTGAAGAGTATAAGTGACCGATCAGTGCGTATGAAGTGCTTGACTTAACCATGCATGTCTGGACAGCAGCCACTTGTGAGAAACTTTGGATCCAACAGCATTAATCAAGAAAGCATTCATGAGCGGGGTTTAAAAAGACAGGTGATTCTGCAGTTATAAGTGAAAAGCTCAGTAGCAAAACTCAGTAAGATATAGCCCGGCTCAACTCTACTGGAAGGACAAGTCTGGTTATTGAGGAAATATATCAGTCTAGTCATCTGTATAACACAAGTGAAACACATAACAAAACATGTCCAGTAACAAATACCAGGTGGTTATAACCTAGAACATGTGTGCTCAGTTCTCTGCCATTTAGGAGTTAAATCACTTTCTTTATGCAGCCATATGCACACCTCCCTGCATGTGACTTACACAGCCTTCTTAAATACTTCCTGCAAAGCGTCTAATGTTTACTCTTCCTTTACTCTTGAATTTCTTATCCTAATTATGTAGTACATCGATCCAGACACACACACACAAATCTCACAGACATAAATTCAGACAAACATACCCACACTTTTCCATACATAAAGAATGTCCCATTCTCCCATACAACTATAAAAAGTTATATGGGCATAAGGCACTTCCCCACCCCATATTACCCTTGTGAGTGAATGTCTTCCTGCCGGTCACATAAATTATCATGCTTCTTTATATTTTATATGAGGTAGAGATTGGTTTAAAATACAAAGAAACATGACAATACACATAAAATATAAGGAAAGGTGGTGCTTATCCATTATTTTCGGCAAGATCTCTCAATTTCCTTGGTAGAACACAGATCACGGTGCCCCAACACAGCATCAACCCAAAAAGTAGTGGTGTACGCCACACTAGTGAAGTAACTATATGTTTATCCACACAGAAACAAATAAAAGTCAATAAAATAAGCCAATATAATACAGATTAAAATTCCTTTCTGTGTTTAATAGAACAAACCAAGTCCTGCGTGTTCTATAAAACGCTAACGTGAGAAGTTGCCAGCAGTCTGGTGCAGTCTCCCACCTGTAATATTTTACAGAAATGAACTGATCCCATATAACTTGTCTCATTCCTCATTACATAATTTAGATTCTAAGCTCACAGGCCATGGCATGCTGTCATTCGAATAAACGTGTCATGCTTGCAAATTTGTAGGCTCAAGGGCAATATTTTCATTTTCCTTTGCACCAGTCCAATTTTGTTACAATTTCATTCTCTACCTACTGTTAATGAACACAATGTAGAGTACTGAAGAAAATGTTGGCACTTCACAAATGTAGTATTAATAAGAACTTTTCAACATTTGGTGAACACAGGACTTGTTGTCAAGCACTCTGTGACCACTGTAAGATACCAGAAAATGTGAAGACTGTTAAAAGCCCCGTAGTAAGAATTACACTGAAGGACATAAATAGCACAGGAAAAAAATAGTAATTGTATAGGACAGGTACTAATGTCACCTAAAAATGTTAAGCAATTAGTGCAACAATTGGACCACTTTAAAATAACCAGGTCTGCTACATGTGGCATCAATGGATACCCTGGACCACCTGCATAAAAGGTGTGCACTCTATGGATAATAATGCATGCCTGCCAGTTTGATTAGTATGGAACTTAGGTATGCAAAGGGTAGAAAATATGGTTTCTTAAAATTCCCAGACATTCTGACAACCACCTTTAGAATACAGCTCCTCTGAATCTTGAAGTGGAAAGGAATACAGTTTTTACAGCTTTACAACTATTTTCACACTACCATGATGACAGAAAAATGTGGATAAGAGATGGAGAAGGAAGAAGCAAATATCTGTTGTATGTTCATCTTCTATCTGGGAAGGACTGTATAACCAAAACTGTAAGTACCAGGGCTGGCATCAGAAATGTTGGGGCCTCTTACACAGGTCAAGGTCTGGGCGCATAATAATAAATTAGCAGCATGTTAATGAGGCCAAAACCTATTAAATCCATTAAGGTTGTATCGGTACCAGGAGTGTCCCTTTTAAAAGGACTACTAAAGTCACCCAGATCACTTAATCTCATTGAAGTTGTCTGGATGCAGTGGCTCTATTTTTAACCCCTTAAAAGTTAGCGTTAAACAAACCTCTAGTGGCCGTCTTCCCGTGTGGGATACAATGCCTAAATAAGAAGGGAAACACTATAGCATTACTAATACATGTTCATTACACAGTGCGGTGTTCCTTTAAAGTCCACACATGTAACTTAATACATTAGTCCAAGTTCTCCTAATTAATGTACAGCTACATTCAATATACAAATACATTTTAAGACCATATACAACACAAGTTACAAGCATTAAGGACATAAAATACCTTTTTCATCTCCAGCACAATGTGACTAAATGTACTTGAGGTAACTTCAGTAATCAATTGCTGTTGTGACACATGGTAAGAAGTGTCACCCACAAGATGCCTTTGTAAAGGACTGTAAACTTTGCTGAAGTTCTGTATAAAAGCCTCTGAAAAGTAAATAGGGATATTGAAATGCATGATGTGAGTGTGAGAGACTTACGAAAATACATAAACCCTACTCTTTGCAAACACTTTAAACTATTTCTAAATGCAGAGTCGGTTTTAAAACATATGTATGTGTTAGCAATACTAGAAGCACATCTAAACATCTATACTTTTACAACAAATAATGAACTTTAAAGAGGCAATCTAATCACCATAACTACAGCTCATTGTACTGTGGTCCAGAGCAGGACAGTACTCTATTTTTATTCATACCACAGAAAAGCAATTTATATGTTTTGTAATAATAAATGCCTAAACACAACTGCTTCTTTAGTACATTTAAAGTTTGTTTCTTTAAAAGTAAGGAATAATGGAGCGGAAAATGAATCAAACATGTATAAATCACCTAGGACATCTTAAATTAATAAAATCTATAATGGAATGGACAGTGCATGCATTCTAGAAACAGAATTAAAAAGGGACATGGTGAGCATTGTAATATGAAAGTGCAAGTTCTAGCGCAACTCCTTAGCACTTCTCAAATCTATAGTCACCAATTAACTATACAAATATGGATTGTCTTACCTAGATTTGATGTGAGGAGTGGTTGACTCTGGTCTAGAATGAAGTGGGTTTCTTCCTTCATATCAACAATAGTAGCAAAAGTCTTTCTAAAGCTCACCCCAGTTGTTGCCCCCAACCTCTCAGCATAAAACCAAGACAAATTGGAATCCAACAGATAAAGGTTTAAGGTTTTGTTGGTCCTACACCTGAGGCCATTAATACCTCCACCCCCATTGTGATAGGTAGAATTTATAAATCTCTTCTCCTCAATGTGAGGCACTATATTTGGAGAATTCTTCAGGGGGTTCTTCCAATGGGAAGCAAATGCAAAGTTTGTGTTCTCAAGGTTTAACATGGAAGAAATCGATTCTCTATGTACGGTTTGACAACATGCAGTATAGTGGTTAAAGGGACTGTAGAAACTAAGGAAATTGCTACACTCTTTGACGCGAGACATAAAACCCATAAAAATATGTTCTTTGAGGTAGAAAGAATTCAATGCAGCTGTAATCTCCAGAAAGTTACACAGAGGCAGTCTTGCTTTGCTTGGTTTAATATCCATTGTCTGATTGACACACAACTCACAGACATTGTGGACCTTAGAGAGCTGATACCACTGAGGGAGAACCACTGTATTACAACAGGAAAAGGTCCTAAAGGTCTCTTCTACATTTGAACTTGTATCCGATGAAGATAAAAGTTCCGATTGTATTTTGTGCTTTTGCTGTTCATTATCATCTTCAATGGCTAGGCTTTGGGTACAGCGGTTATACTTAAGGATAAGGTCAGCAATCTGGAAGATACAATATATAGAACAACATTAACACATATTAAATATTAAAACAATTATGTTCAGGGTGATGCTTAATGAGTCACTTAAAAAAAAAAAAAAAAACTTAACTCCCATAATAAGCTCATATCTTCTACAATTCGGTTTCTTTTTAGACACATGCATTTTAAAATGTTTCTCTGTTTGATGAATTCCATGTTACAAATAGTGAATTATTTAGGAAGACAGGATATTAACTTTATAGTATCAAAATCATACTCTAGAACGGTTTTGCAGGGTTTGTTCTGTGAATTGGCAGCAAGGATTAAAGGATCACTCTAGGCACCCAGACCACTTCAGCTTAATGAAGTGGTCTGGGTGCCAGGTCCAGCTAGGCTTAACCCATTCTTTTATAAACATAGCAGTTTCAGAGAAACTGCTATGTTTATGAATGGGTTAAGCCTTCCCCCAATTCCTCTAGTGGCTGTGTTATTGACAGCCGCTAGAGGCGCTTGCGTGCTTCTCACTGCGAAAATCACAGTGAGCGCACACAAGCGTCCATAGGAAAGCATTGATAATGCTTTCCCATGTGACCGGCTGAATGCGCGCGCAGCTCTTGCCGTGCGTGCGCATTCAGCCGCATGGGAGGAGAAGAGGAGGATCGGAGGAGGAGAGCTCCCCGCCCAGCGCTGGAAAAAGGTAAGTTTTTACCCCTTTCCCCCTTCAACAGCCGGGCGGGAGGGGGACCCTGAGGGTGGGGGCACCCTCAGGGCACTATAGTGCCAGGAAAACGAGTATGTTTTCCTGGCACTATAGTGGTCCTTTAACGGTACAGCTCTTGAAATCTTTGAGTAGTAATAGCTGGAGTAACAAAGCAATGCATGCTTGTATAAAAGGTTTTAGATTTACATTGTTATTAATTATTATTTTATTTATATAGCACCATCAGATTCCATAGCACTGTACAATGGGTGGGATACATTTGATATATACTAAGATATTTGTGTCAATTCAACAGTGATCGCAATTTAACAAATAAAAAAATAAAAAATTCAGGAGAGTCTCTGTGACGGGAGGGAAACAGACTGACATGCATAAACACAGACTTTTTTTATTTAGTACTTTTCGCCATGTTTAAGACTTGATCTATTTTGTCACAACTCTTTAATTATGGTTAATTGAATTTAAAAAAAAAAAAACTATATATTTTTAAACCACACAGAAGCAGAAGATTAAGGTAACATTAAGATTAGCAGACAGTAGAGCATTCCCAGCCAAATTATTTCTGGGGCTTCTACAGTTTTGTACGGGTAATGTTCCCAGGGGCTGATAAACAAGTTGTGTAACAGAGGTCAAATGTCACCTTTACCAACCCTTTGCACTTGCAGTTCTAAAATGCTTGCATCAGAGTCTGTTAAACTATATCTGTACTTCGTACTCTGTATTGAGAACCCATTATTTTTTATGTTGCAGCTTATGTTACAAATTAGTATTAAGATTTTTTTTTTTACATCAACCAGCACTCAATACACCACAATGAAAAAGCAAAACAACTTTTCCCCCCTAAATCTTTGCAAGTTCATTAAAAAAAAGAAATAAATCTCAATGTAATATTTCAGTTTTTTCTTTGCTTTTTTGTTAGGGCTCTTGACATTTAGCTCAGATGCATCCTATTTCTCTGTGTTATCTCTGAGACCTTACCACACTTTGAATGGAGTCCATTTGTAGCAAATTCACTTAATTGGGTATGATTGGAAAGGCATACACCTCTCTATACAAGATTTCACAGCTGTAAATACAGATCAGAGCAAAAGCCAAGCCATGAGGTCAAAAGAACTGCCTGCTTTGGAAGTTCCCAGCAAGACAAATGAAAGCCTGCTTGGAATTCAGAAAATAGCACTAAAGGACACTGTGAGAAACAGGATTCGCTATTTTAATTAAATGGTGATCGAAGGCTTTGGCCTCAAATTAAAGTGTCATGCCTAGTGGAAACCAGGCACTGCTCTTTGCCTGTGTAATACCATCCCAACAGTGAAGCATGGTGGTGATAGCATCATACCTTTGTTTTTCCAGTGACAGGGTGGTCAAGGTTGAGGGAAAGATGAACCCAGCAAAATACAGAGATATCCTTAATAAAAAACCTAGGCCAGAGTGGTCAGGACTTCAGACAAATTAACATCTCTGGAGGGACCTGAAAAATGTAGATTGCCAAGCACACATCTCAACAAGCTTTTATGTTCCATAAGGCTGCTAGATATTTTAGTATGTAGTTTACAGATTAAAGGGTGATCACACAGAGTTGCATTTTCAAGGACAGCTTCACTTTGGATTTCTGGGAGGGCACTTACTGTATCTCACAAAAGTGATTACACCCCTCACATTTTTGTAAATATTTTATTATATCTTTTCATGTGACAACACTGAAGAAATGACACTCTGCTACAATGTAAAGTAGTAAGAGTACAGCCTGTATAACAGTGTAAATTTGCTGTCCCCTCAAAATACCTCAACACAGCCATTAATGTCTAAACCGTTGGCAACAAAAGGGAGTACACCCCTAAGTGGAAATATACAAATTGTGCCCAAAGTGTCAATATTTTGTGTGGCCACCAATATATTCCAGCACTGTTTTAACCCACATGGGCATGGAGTTCACCAGAGCTTCACAGGTTGCCACTGGAGTCATTTCTTCAGTGTTGTCACATGAAAAGATATAAAATAGTTACGAAAATGGGAGGGGTGTACTCACTTTTGCGATATACTGTAAGTGTGTTCATTTGTAATGTGCATTGAGGAAAGTCTCCCGTTGACTGAAACGTTGATATGCTGTGACTATCCGCTTTTGGAGTTGAAATACTGACAAATAGTGATGTCCCGAACGGTTTGCCACGGACGGCGAACATATGCGCTGTTCAGTCCGCCCCCTATTCGTCATCATTGAGTAAACTTTGACCCTGTACCTCACAGTCAGCAGACACATTCCAGCCAATCAGCAGCAGACCCTCCCTCCCAGACCCTCCCACCTCCTGGACAGCATCCATTTTACATTCATTGTGAAGCTGCATTCTTAGTAAGCTGTCCAGGAGGTGGGAGGGTCTGGGAGGGAGGGTCTGCTGCTGATTGGCTGGAATGTGTCTGCTGACTGTGAGGTACAGGGTCAAAGTTTACTCAATGATGACATAGGGGCGGACCGAACAGCGCATATGTTCGCCGTCTGCAGCGAACCGTTCGGGACATCATTACTGACAAATTGACTTAAAAATTCCCAGAGTGTGGCTTCTCCTTGCTTGGTATAGCTATGGCTGGTTACTGCAGAAGCACAGATTAATCTGTGTGCTCAGTTGTTGAAAATATAAATATACACACAGAAACTCACACAGGGCTCAACATTTTCCCACACCACTACTCCTTGGCAAGTGAAAATTTGACTAGTGAACAGAAAATCACCTCTAGTGAATGGGCTACTGTGCTACAGCCCTTCCAGGCTTGAAGTGGCAAGTAACATTTAAAGTGGCTGTGTCATGGAGACTTTTTCTGCAACCTAATCTTCAACCCCTAAATGTCCCCGTTTAGTATGTGTTTTCTCCAAAGCCACCCCCTTTTGTAACAAATGTAGTAATCTTCATGGTGCCAGTTCCTTTTTTCATAGCATCGCTATCTTGCCACCTTCTGCCCTGAGTATGCAACGGGATCTTAATTCCACGCATGTTCTTGGTGCAGCATTATTAGAAGGTCAGAAGTCATCCTTAAAGAACACCCTGTGACCATATTCTCTTTTGTCTAACAGATTTCAGCCAGACTGAGCTGTTGTGGGGAAAGCCTGACCGTATGGTATGTAAGAAGTGCTCATCAAGCCAAACCAACTTGTGGGAGGTGCTTCAGGACACATAGGGGGAAATCTCCTCAGATTACCCCAGCAAACTGACAACTAGAATACCAAAGGTCCCCAGGCTGTAATTGTTGCAGATGTAGGATTCTTTGGCAAAAGCAACGTTTGAAGGGTACAACTATTATTTAACTTAAAATTAATTATGTTTAGCCTTTTTAATTAACATTTTTTATTTAAACTCATTTAACGTATGTTTTCATGGAAATGTGAAGACAGTATGCCTGGAGGGGTCTACATCAACACCCCCTCTGGGCATTCAGCCATCACTTGGAAGCCCACCCACTACTCCCTATAAAAATTATTTCAGAAGTTGGACCTGCTTTATTCAGGCCTATCCTTTCGTCAGTTTTGGCTTGACTGCTTGGGAGTTTCTGGCTCTCTGAATTAAAGGACCACTATAGGCACCCAGACCACTTCAGCTCAATGAAGTGGTCTGGGTGCCAGGTCCCACTAGTTTTAACCCTGCAGCTGAAAACATAGCAGTTTCATAGAAACTGCTATGTTTACATTGAGGGTTAATCCAGCCTCTCGTGGCTGTCTCCCTGACAGCCACTAGAGACAGCTTCTGAGATTTACACTGAGTAAATCGCACTTATCTGACACTGGACATCCTCATGGACTTTAAGTAGTTAAGGTTGGAAGCAGTACTTGGAAGCCCTAGGTAAGAAGTCAAAACATAAAAAAAAACAAAAAAACTTTTACTACTTACAACGGACGGGTCTCTACTTTGTCTTAGATCATCTTTGGATTGTTTGGGAATCTTAATGACATTCCAATGCAGTCAAAATGATTATTTCAATAAACATGACATCTGAATTAAATACTTAAAAGTGGCCAAGCCACTTTAATCCACACCATTAACAATTAAGGCTGTATTGAAAACATATGGCTACAGAGTGTACTTATTTAATAACACACAAAACTAATTTTTCGCTTACAAACCTCATCCAGGAGAGGATGTATTTCAGATAAAGGGTTATAAGGTATGAAAATGAAGAGAGCAGGGCCTTTCTTTAGCTCATTGTCCAGTAGAAGACTTTTTCCTCCATGAGGTCGTAGCCAATGAAGTTGAGATTCCCGGTTGTCTAGAGCCCAATTGCAGATATTTGCAGCTGTGAAGTTTCTCTCTTTGTCTGGGTACACCTTTAAAAAAAAAAAAAAGCCATGATGTGCCTTTGTAAATGTGAAGTTACGTTGCAACTTTATTTAAAAAAAAAAAAATGGAGATATAACTGTAGTAGCTGGTGTAGTATTTTATAATCCTTTTATCAAGTTTTGAAAGGATAGAAGAGTTTTTCCTAAAAATTAAGTATATGTTAAAAAAAACCAAAAAAAACCACACCTTATCCTGTCATATACTAAAAGGTAGAGATACTTCAGCCATGTACAGGCACCGTCAAACAGTATTTGGAAGCCAAGAGTCTCTATAGTCTTCCTTGCTTCTGTGGAGAGAGTGACGTAAGGAAGACCACAGAGACTGTGTCCAAACACCATCTGCAAAAACAAGGCAGAATAAGCAAACTTCTATAATCGTCAAAGGGACATGAAAGCAACAATTTTACTTGTAGCGTTATATTTGTAGGTTAAAATGCTGATGATCATTGGAAACACTATTTCATAACCGTGAATAGCTTTTTCAAAAGGACTAGCAACAGTACGTCTTTTCCCACAAACTTTCCCATAAGACAGGCAGATTTTACCCTAATAATATTCGTAATTCTGCTATTAACACCTTCAACCACCTCCCCATTATGGTATAAAAGAAGGAATCCTCCCAGGAACCCATGTTACGACAGACACCAAGATACTGCGAATTATATAAATATATAATCCATACAACAAACTCTACTGAAGGGCGATTCCCATTTGAGGAATCCTTGAAGCACCTTTTGCCTGTATGATGTGTTTTCTGAGTCGTGTAGGTCCAATTTATAATGTTTGGTGAAAGTACACCATGAACTACACATTTCTGCTTTGCAAATTAGTTTTGGCTGAAGCTGCTCTATGGGATGACTAACACTTTGAAATTGCTATTGTGGAATCCGAGCTATTGGATGGAGGAGGTTTCTCATTTAAAATATATATATATATATATATATATATATATATATATATATATATATATATATATATATATATATATATATATATATATATATATATATATATCTCGTTCTAGGAATAGTAGCTTCAGAGGCTGCTTTTTCTTTGTTCTTTCATTTATACAAAACACAAAATACATTTTGTCCTTCCTTCCAATAGATTAAAATGTATGCTATTGAGAGTTTAAAGTGTTCTGAAAAATGTAGGCAGAATTATTTCTTATTGCCGATCAGATAAGGAGTGCACTTTTGGCTTGAATAAAGGAAGAAGTCTCAGCACTTTATAAATATGAAATAAAGAGAAAATTTTTCCACAGAATGAAGCCCATCCAGCCTTTTAGCAATCAGAAAAACCTGCCTGGAGAAAAAGCAGCTTAAGTGAACAATATTATAAGGGTACACATGTATTTGAGATTAAACCTAATAGGACTAGATTCAAATTCAGGGGAGTAATAATATTCCTAACAGGAGGCTTGATATTACTGACCGCTTTTCTCAAAATCACAGCAAGTACTTTTACATGGTCTGATCGTCTATTTCTCACAATTAATAATAAATAAAATAATAGGAGGGAAAAATACAAACAGAAATTCCATTAAATTGAGAAGTAGTGATGGCCTGAACGGTTCGCTGGCGAATAGTTCCCAACGAACATCGCTTGTTCGCGTTCGCCACGGATGGCGAACATATGCGCTGTTCGGTCCACCCCCTATTCGTCATCATTGAGTAAACTTTGACCCTGTACCTCACAGTCAGCAGACACATTCCAGCCAATCAGCAGCAGACCCTCCCTCCCAGACAGCATCCATTTTACATTCATTGTGAAGCTGCATTCTTAGTGAGAGGAGGGACAGTGTAGCTGCTGCTGATTTGATAGGGAAACTGATAGCTAGGCTAGTGTATTCAGTGTCCACTACAGTCCTGAAGGACTCATCTGATCTCTGCTGTAAGGACAGCACCCCAAAAAGCCCTTTTTAGGGCTAGAATATCAGTCTGCTTTTTTTTTTTCTGTGTAATGTAATTGCAGTTGCCTGCCTGACAGCCTGTGTGTCAGGCTCACAGCATATACTGTGCCCACTTGCCCAGTGCCACCACTCACTCACTGGTGTCCCAATTTAAAAAATAAAAATAAAAAATGTAATATAATAGCAGTCAGTTTCCTTCACGCATGTGCGTTTCAGGGCCTGCCAGGGCACAATGTCACACCAGTGCAACTTATATCTGGTTTAACAGTAGTGTACATTTTAAAAAAAAGAAAATACAATTTCGACTGTAATAGATTGAATAGCAGTTAGTTGTCTGCAAGCGTGTGTGTCAGGCCTACAGCGTCTACTCTACTCTGCAAACTTCTGCCACTGCCCAGTGTCACATCTGTTGTCACAGTAGCTTGCACGCATAGTACCACTAATTGAAAAAAAAAAAAATGACAGGCAGAGGCAGTCCCCCACCCAGGGGCCGTCGTGGTCGTGGTGCTGTGATTCCCTTTGGCCCTAGAATAATGCCCAGTGTTCAGAGGCCACATACCCTGAACTCGAAAAGTTCTGAGGACATAGCTGACTGGCTAACACAGGACACCCAATCTTCTACAGCTTCCGCTCAGAACCTTGACGCACCATCCTCCTCCAGCTTAGCTTCGGGCACCTCTCAAGTTACCACTCGCCCGCCTGCCGCCACCACCAACACTAGCATCACAGCAGCTTCACTTGGTATGTCAGAGGAGTTATTTACACATCAGTTGGAAGAAATGAGTGATGCGCAACCATTATTGCCAGAGAATGTAGATAACAGGGATATGTCTCAGTCAGGCAGCATTACACACATGGACATACGGTGTGAGGATGATGATGTTGCACCCGCTGCTGCTTCCTTTGCAGAGTTGTCAGATACAAGTGAAGCGGGGGAAAGTTCAGATGGGGAGACAGAAAGGAGGAGAAGGAGACGAGTTGTAAGCAGGGGGAGGTCGTCGCAAGGAGCTAGTGGCACAGTCAGACAGCATGCATCGGCACCCGGGGTCAGCCAGACAGCACGCCAATCAACGCATGCTGTTGCCACCACCAGAATGCCGTCATTGCAGAGCTCAGCAGTGTGGCATTTTTTTTTGTGTGTCTGCCTCTGACAACAGCGATGCCATTTGCAACCTGTGCCAAAAGAAAGTGAGTCGTGGGAAGTCCAACACCCACCTAGGTACAACTGCTTTGCAAAGGCACATGATCGCACATCACAAACGCCTATGGGATCAACACATGAGTACAAGCAGCACGCCTACTCTAAGCCGCCATCCTCCTCCTGGTCCAGCATCTTCAGACACGTCAACCACTGCTGTCCTCCTTGCCCCCTCTCAACCATCCGCCCCTCCGTCTCTTGCCTTGAGCAGTCCCTGCTCATCTGCCCAGTCAGGTGTCTGTCAAGGACATGTTTGAGCGTAAGAAGCCAATGTCACAAAGTCACCCCCTTGCCCGGCGTCTGACAGCAGGCTTGACTGAACTCTTAGCCCGCCAGCTTTTACCATACAAGCTGGTGGAGTCTGAGGCGTTCAAAAAATTTGTAGCTATTGGGACACTGCAGTGGACGGTACCCGGCCGAAATTTATTTGCACAAAAAGCAATCCCCAACCTGTACTCGATTGTGCAAAAGGAAGTAATGGCATGTCTGGTCAGAGCAGGTATATCACCTACACTGCGCATTGGGTAAACCTGCTGACGGCTGCCAAGCATGGAATGCGTCGCTCTGCAGAGGAGTTGGTGACACCGCCACGACTTGCAGGCAGGCCTGCTGCCACCTCCTCTACTCCTCCTACTCCATCCTCTTCCATAACCTCCTAGGCTGAGTCCTCTTTTGCTGCTGCGTCTTGCTCCACATCAACAGCACCCCCCCAGCTCCCCAGGTACTATTCCACATCCCGGATACGGCAGTGTCACGCTGTGTTGGGGTTGACTTGCCTGAAAGCAGAGAGTCACAACGGAGAAGCACTCCTGTCCGCCCTGAACGCACAGGTGGATCAGTGGCTGACTCCGCACCAACTGGAGATCGGCAAAGTGATTTGTGACAACGGAAAAAATTTGTTGGCGGCATTGCATTTGGACTTGTTGACACATGTGCCGTGCATGTCACATGTGTGTAATCTGATCGTACAATGCTTTGTGCATAAGTACCCAGGCTTACAGGACGTCCTGAAGCAGGCCAGGAAGGTGTGTGGCCATTTCAGGCGTTCCTACACGGCCATGGCGCACTTTTCAGATATCCAGCGGCGAAAAAACATGCCAGTGAGGCGCTTGATTTGCGACAGCCCGACACGTTGGAATTCAACACTCCTAATGTTCGACCGCCTGCTCCAACAAGAAAAAGCCGTTAACAAGTATTTGTATGACCAGGGTGCTAGGACAGCCTCTGTGGAGCTGGGAATTTTTTTGCCATGTTACTGGACGCTCATGCGCAATGCCTGTAGGCTCATGCGTCCTTTTGAGGAGGTGACAAACCTAGTCAGTCGCACCGAAGGCACTATCAGCGACATCATACCATTTGTTTTCTTCCTGGAGCGTGCCCTGCGAAGAGTGCTGGATCAGGCCGTAGAGGAGCGTGAAGAGGAAGAGGAAGAGTTGTGATCACCATCACCACCAGAAACAGCCTTATCAGCATCGCTTGCTGGACCTGCGGCAACGCTGGAAGAGGATTGTGAGGAACAGGAGTCAGAGGAGGAATGTGGCTTTGAGGAGGAGGAGGAAGACCAACCACAACAGGCATCCCAGGGTGCTCATTGTCACCTATCTGGTACCCGTGGTGTTGTACGTGGCTGGGGGGAAGAACATACCTTCAGTGAGATCACTGAGGACGAGGAACAGGACATGAGTAGCTCGGCATCCAACCTTGTGCAAATGGGGTCTTTCATGCTGTCGTGCCTGTTGAGGGACCCTCGTATAAAAAGGCTGAAGGAGAACGACCTGTACTGGGTGTCCACGCTACTAGACCCCCGGTATAAGCAGAAAGTGCCTGAAATGTTACCGAATTACGGCAAGTCGGAAAGGATGCAGCAGTTCCAAAATCAATTAAAAAGTATGCTTTACACAGCGTATAAGGGTGATGTCACAGCACAACGGGAATCTAACAGGGGAAGAGGTGAAAGTAATCCTCCTCCTCCCACGACCACGCCGGCAAGGACAGGACGCTTTACAGATGTGTTGTTGATGGAGGACATGCAGAGCTTTTTAAGTCCTACGCATCGCCACAGCCCTTCGGGGTCCACCCTCAGGGAACGACTCGACCGACAGGTAGCAGACTACCTCGCCTTAATTGCAGATGTCGACACTCTGAGGAGCGATGAACCCCTTCACTACTGGGTGTGCAGGCTTGACCTCTGGCCTGGGCTATCCCAATTTGCGATAGAACTTCTGGCCTGCCCAGCTTCAAGTGTCCTGTCAGAAAGAACCTTCAGTGCAGCAGGAGGTATTGTCACTGAGAAGAGAAGTCGCCTAGGTCAAAAAAGTCTAGATTACCTCACCTTTATTAAGATGAATGAGGGATGGATCCCGAAGGGACTGACTGTGGGCGATACATTCGACTTAAAAAGGCCTGATGAGGGGGACGTAACAGGGTGTCGCGGCTGCCAGCCTGCCGCGTTATATTTAAATCCCTAGCTCACCCCAGTACCTTGCCCTGTCATGGTTTCCTGTTCCTGGTTTCCTGAGAGTGCTTTATCATTGTGAATCTGATTTTTCTGGTGACCTGATCTTGGCTTTTCCCTGGTTATTCTGAATTCTGGTTTCCCTGACTTGGCTTGTGTAAACGGTATTGTGTATTTTCTGGCTTCCTTGACCTCGGCTTTTCCTTTGACCATTCTCTGTCTCTAGCGTATTAGTCCGGCCATTCTAAGGTCCGGTTTACGCTCTGTCCTTTTCTTTTCCTTTTCTTGCCTATGTATAGGTTTACATAGTTTCTGCGTGCTGGACCACACTAGTAGTCGTGACATTGGGATTAAACTGATAAGAATAGTACTACTTAACACACCACTCCTATCTGGTGGCACATTAGACTGCACGCGCAAATTTGAAGTAGGAGGACCGACCAAGCATCTTTTTCCATCTCCCGGTTCCTAATGACATCAGTGAGGGCAAGGAACGGGACATAGCTAGCTTGGTATCCAACCTTGTGCAAATGGGGAGTTTGCGGTTGTGCAAATGGACTGTTTGCGGTTGTTTGCGGTGCGTTAAATGGGGAGTTTGGTCTGTCACTGTGAAGCAGGCGTAACCCTTACACTACCTGATCGATACAACATCATACCTGATGTTTTAAAGCACGTTATTCCAAACAATTTAGGAATGTTAGGTGATTTATGCCCTTTATGGATTAAAACCAGACTCTGCATCAACTATGTAATTTTCCATGGGAGTTTTGCCATGGATCCCCCTCTGGCATGCCACAGTCCAGGTGTTAGTCCCCTTGAAACAACTTTTCCATCACTATTGTGGCCAGAAAGAGTCCCTGTGGGTTTTAAAATTCTGCCTATTGAAGTCTATGGCGGTTCGCGAACATTTGCGGAAGTTCGCGTTTGCGAACCGAAAATTTTATGTTCGCGACATCACTATTGAGAGGGCATCCATTCAGGTTAGATTACCCAATCTGCAGAGGGAACAAGTTTACCTTCTTGTGATGTTTGGATACCATAATGTAGTGTTTTAGAGAACCAAAAACAATCCATTATCTGGTTTAAACTTTGCTCGAAAGAGACCAATCTTTTTGTTTTAGATTGTTTCTGTTTAAGCAATCTGCCAAGTTGTTGTCTGCTCCTCCGATGTGTATTACAAGAATACAATTTTCTGACCATATCATAATTCTGGGCAATAACTTAAAGCACAGTCTAAACTGGTTTCACCCTTACTTGTTGATGTAAGCTACTGAGGTTATTTGTATAAAAAAGTGTACTGTAAGTGCTTCTGACAAACTATGGCTTTCCAGATTGCCTTTAGCTCTCTAAAAGGCTTGAAAATTCAGTTTTGTCTGATTTGCTTTAAATTCACTCACACTTGCCTGGCGTGCATTCCAGTGAAATCAAACACACTGCAGCGTGTCGGTGTCATGTTCCCTGTGGAAACATTCAGAAAGCTGGGGTTCCAAGGAGGATTATATTTTTTAAACCAAAATATATAATAAGGAGGAGTTTGATGATGTTACCAACAGGAAAAAAAAAAAATAAAAAAAATTTAACACTAAAAATCTGCTTGTACCGTGGGAAAGTCTGGAGGTAAACCCATGCTGTTGTGTACGGTCATTATCCGTATGAACACAAGAATAAAAAATATGTCGTTAAGGAAGAAAAATAAACAGGAGACACAAAATGGAGACTGAAAACTGAAGCAAAAAAAAAAAAAAAAGGGCTCTCCTGCTGGTATGCCACCACACCACAGTTAAACAAGGCACACCGCATGGACTAAACAGTCAGATAACTGTTCCATCTGATCAGAATCTACTGGTCAGAGAATGAAGTGTAGATTGTGAGGTATGCAAGTAAATTACATAACTTTTTACTTATATTTCATTTAAAAAAAATATTCAGTTTCACAAATGAAATTTACAATTTCATTCAGTTTAAAATGTTTTGTTATAGATGTTTACAAAAGAGATTATAGGTGAGAAACAAACATGATTGCTACAGAGAAAAATTATATATATAATTTTTAAAAATGTAGTAGACCCTTACCAAGGAAGAGTTGAGATTCCTGTGTAAATACACAGTTCCTGGGTTGGTGAGGGAGATTTCCTTGGCAAGTTTACGATCAGTAATCACTCCAAAACGGATGGTTTCCACATAATCTGAGAAGAATACAGCACACTTTATACCACACAGTTTATTTCAAAGTGGTACTCTAATCACCCTGCCTAACACTACACCAATAGATTATTTAGCATGTTGTCATTTACAATGAAATGATATACCACCCATAAGATTACCCGAAAAATCATTTTGCAATTTATTAACATGATTTTTGTGGATTTGGGAACAGTGACTAAAACGCTCTATAGCAATCATGTCTAAAATACAGTGCTCTCCGCCAATATTGGCACCCTTGGTGAATATGAGCAAAGAAGGCGGTGAAAAATTGTCTTTGTTGTTTAATCTTTGAAAAAAAAACAAAAAAAAAAAACCACAACATAAATATTATAGTGTCCATTTAAGTAGAGAAAAATACAATAATTATATTGGAGGTTGAAGGGGTGGGGAATTATATCAGTGGCTCTTAATCAAAATTGGATTCCCATGCAATGTCTCAGGATGCTCAATTGCTGAAAAACAGTCCGGTGTCAAAGGGATCTCTAATGCACTTAGAAAGGCAGTGAAGTGTCTAACCAAGGGCTTTTGCAGAATATAATTGGTTATATTTAATAGTTAAAAAAAATGGGTACATGAAATCAGTTTAAAATTTGAACACTTTGACACCTAGCTATTTAACATATTTTAGAAAGATTATAAAATTATAGAATAAATATATACAGATTTTATAACGTCAAAGAAAACCCCAGGGCATGGACTTACTCTTGGGAGATTATTTGCTACTACAGAGACTTAAACTAGCACAATCTTTAAAATACATTCAACACAGGAAACTAAATTTTCTGTATTTTCAATTAGTATGCACAATCCAGTTGATAAGGCATTTGGTTTTATAACTTTAGACGCACTTCAGCTCAGATGTGTAAACATTTGCAATGCACGCTTAACACCTTATGGACCAGACAACCAGCTATCCTTTCATCACAAACCAATTGTTAAAGACCCCGTGGAATATACTGGTTATTTGCCAACAGTAGCTCTATGCATGCCAATTGATTAGGACATTCTCAGTTAGAAAAGGGTGTCTATGGATCAGATTGATATGATTTTACAGGGTCACACCGGACTTTAAGCGCTTCGGTCAAGTTTTTTTTTTTTTTTATTCATTCACTTTGAAATGTATGTCCTTCTGTTCCACTCCCCTTAAATAAATATTATTAATCCTTAAAACATGAAAGAAATTAGGGACAATGATTTTGCGCGTTGCAATTTTTGGCAAAGGCACTAAAAGAAGCTCACATCCTTGTTTCCGTGACAGTTTCCCCATAATCCGTCAGGCAATCTGTGGTTGACAGATTATGCCATCTCTCTTCAGTCCAAGGTCTCGCAGTAACTCATAGCCTGTAGGAAAATGTATTGGCATGTCTAACTACAATTGCATCAGTGTAGCATTCGTTTTTGTGATAATACTGGCTACCGGCACCCTCCTTGTTCTATTTAAAAAATAGAAGCGGCTGGGAGCTGTGCTCCCTGAACTTCCTAAACTCCCCCATACCACCTAACAATATGGAGGTTAGTATACCCCATATTAGTATAAGGAAGGTTAAATATTCCCTCCTGCTCCTACCTGCTGTGCCATTAGTAGGGCCTTGTCTATTAAAGAGTAAAGACCTCCATGACTGAGATCAAACTTGATGATCCCAGTCAATCCAACGCTTTCCTATAGGAAAGCATTGGAAGGCTATTGCACATGCTCGGTAAAACACCACTCTGTACCAATCAGCATCTCCTCATCAAGATGCATTGCTGCACATTGTGCAGCACCTCGAATGGCCTTCTGAGTGACTGCCACTATAGGCGTTTCTAGGCAGGAATGTAAAAACTGCCTTTTCTCTGAATTACAAAGGGTTTACATTAAAAGCCTGCAGTGGCAGACTATATACACAACAACACAATTACATTAAATTGTAGCTGTTCTGGGTACTATATTATCCCTTTAATATTGAACTCTGATCTGGTGGTAACTGGACTCTAGACATCATAAATTACCACTTCAAAAAGATAAAGTGTTTCTGCAAAACTTTTGGTTTTATTTACTAAGTCAGGAACATCTAAAAATTGTAATTGCAGCATTTGCACATTTTAGGTTAAACATTATCGACATTTAAAGGACCACTATAGTGCCAGGAAAACATACTCTTTTTCCTGGCACTATAGTGCCCTGAGGGTGCCCCCACCCTCAGGGTCCCACTCCCGTCGGGCTCTGGGGGGAGGAAGGGGTTAAACTTACCTCTTTCTCCAGCGCCGGGCGGTGAGCTCTCCTCCTCCTCTCCACCTCTTTGACTGAATGCGCATGCGCGGGAAGAGCCACGCGCGCTTCAGCCAGGCAATTCATAATGCTTTCCTATGGACGCTGGCGTCTTCTCACTGTGAAAATCACAGTGAGAAGCGCCTCTAGTGGCTGTCAATGAGACAGCCACTAGAGGCTGGATTAACCCATTTATAAACATAGCATTTTCTCTGAAACTGCTATGTTTACAGCAAAAAGGGTTAAACTAGCTGGGCCAGGCACCCAGACCACTTCATTAAGCTGAAGTGGTCTGGGTGCCTATAGTGGCCCTTTAATTTTGATATTTCAATTCTTTAGTAGATAACTCCCTTATTTGTTATCCTTATGTAGGATTGACATATTTAACATACAAATGTATATACATATACACACACAACCTCACCTCTATACACTGTCACAAACACACACAATCAAAAAACACAATCAGAAATCCCCACCCCTCACACAAAATCATATCCACCCGCGCGCCAAAATATCAGACCCACATATAAAAAGTCACACAAACAAAAATCACAGACCCATACACACATAAATGCGCATAATATATATACATATATATATATATATATATATATATATATATATATATATATATATATATAATTTTGAAAAAGAATATGAAAAATTTGTTTCAAAGTATTAATACGGTATAAATATTTCTGTAAAATAGATTAGATAGCACTTTTTTGGAAATATTACACTATAAAGATTAATATATGTGCATAATAGTAGTAATTTGGTGTAGATTTAATAATACATTTTCTTTGAAAATCTAAGAAAGGTGAAGAAGATATAACCTACAGGATCGTTTTAGAGAATAGATTTACACAATAGTGTTTAGTATGAAGTAGATGTAAAAATAGAAGTCGAATAGAAGTGGTATTTTTATGCGCTATATGTTGGGAGCATCTTAAATAGGATGTATAAATATAGGCTTAATATATGTATATTAGGTGATATTATGGTTAAAAAAAACTGTGCTTTATGAGAAAGGCGAATAAATTGAAAGTATAGTGAAGACTATTATAGTATATTGTGCTTAGATGAATGAAGAAATATGGTATAAGATTTTTAGTTAAAGGATGCTTTTAATTTGTTGATTGATGGTATGTATGCTCGGGCGCAACTCTCCGCTGTGCATAAGTAAACCTAGTTGCCAGGGTGCCGGTAATCATATCGGGTAACCCTGGCAACGGTCGGTGACGTCAACACGCTACTTCCGGGTTGCAACGTGTTTGCACATGCGCAGGAGTGATGGAGAGACGCCGGGGAAGCAGCGACACAGGTGGTGAGTGATTGTATGATTGAATAATTGGTTTGTTTGGCTATATATTATGTAGTAAATGTATTTTGCTGAACTGATCCTGATGAAAGCCACGGACGATGGCTGCAACGTTGATTCTAATTGAGATTATGTTTTAACAAGATACGGAATAAAGAAAGAAAACTTTTATACAATAAAAAGACAGTGAGTGCAAGCCTTCATTTACTATTTTTCTATGATATTTGGCTTTGGCTGGAATGCACCCAGCATTTGAACAATTTGAAAGAGTGTGTGCAGGGATAAAAAGGAACTTTGTGTATGTATGTATATATATATATATATATATATATATATATATATATATATATATATATATATATATATATATATATATATATATATATATATACACACACACACACACACACACACACACATATACATACATACATACATACACACACACTGGCAAAACATACATAAAAATCCCATTGCTTAGTCTTCCTTTACCAAGCTGCACAAAACAACTAGAAAACACATTAACCAATCAGAAATATAGGAGACTGACAAAGAGGCAGATCAGGGGCAGAGCCAGCACGATTCAAACACAGCCCTGGCCAATCAGCATCTACTCATATAGATGAATTGAATCAATGAATCTCTATGAGGAAAGTTCAGTGTCTGCATGCAGAGGGAGGAAGTACTGAATGTTTGGCTGCATTTTAGGCAGCAATGACCCAGGAAGGATCTCCAACAGCTATCTGAGGAGTGGTCAGTGAAGTTATCACTAGGCTGTAATGTAAACACTGCATTTTCTCTGAAAAGATAGTGTTTACAGCAAAAAGCCTGAAGGTAATGATTCTACCCACCAGAACAAATTCAATAAGCTGTAGTTGTTCTGGTGACTGTAGTGTCCCTTTAACCCCTTGATGCTTCCCTGTCCAGTCTCTCCCATCCATCATATTATACTTTGTGTACTCCTGTTCTTTCCTCCATCTGGCTGAGCGCTTTCTGCATCAGCTGCGCTCCTTTCCCCGGTTTCAGGAGTGTTGCCAGAGGGTTACTGCAATCTCTTTGGGGTTTTATTCACTTGTCCCAGCCCACAGAAGCTTGGCTCCTATTGGACCATTCCCGATCCGCGGCCATCTTAGTCTGTCTGTTGGTTGTCGTAAAGGGAGTCAGTATTTATTACCGATTCTTTGCGCTATAGTCCCTTCAGCATCTATTTCTGCACAATGTCTTGCTCCTTCAAGCTTTAGAGGATTTATACATTGCTAATATAATTTACAAGGGGCTGCTGCATAAAGACAGGGGTGATACCGTTCTGTATTACTGGGGTGAGCCCCCTGTAATTTACCACAGTTCACTTTGTATACACATGTCAATTCTGTTTTAATTTGGCTATTTTGGCCTTAAATTTGAAATGTACCTCGGATTCCTAGCATTTCTTACTTTAGTGAGTACCGCTGTAAGTTTCCTATAAACCCCAGATCTGAATCTCTCAGAAATCCATTGCCTTCTGAGGGAGAATGAACAGCAGTACATGCATAGACATACACACCATTCACTCATTTGAGTGTTGCTTCTTCATCATTATTGTGACTCAACCCATTGTGAAGTGGTCCTGTAAAAAGTGTTGCACAGCAATGACGAACATCTAAATTCTATGTGAGGTTATATTATAAAAGAGCTAGATGGACAAAACTTTGATTTTCCAATAATTTTTTTTTCCTCTAAGGAGAAAATGCAATAAAAAATGGACACATTTGCAACTGCAAAGGAGAACGTTTCCATACCTTTTTGTAAGGAATGCAATGCTGAACTGAAGAATGTCAAATAGCCAGGAGGCTGAGGTGAGGCATTGAACTCAAAATATCCTAGAACTCCAGGCTGCAATGTTTGTGCGGAAAGAACAAAAACAAAAAAAATGTATACATCATTAATACACACAGAACATGAACAATAACATTTTATAAGTGAAATGACTCAAATTACTTCAAAGTACAAATACATTAATTTGTTTTATCATGAGAAATGTACACACAATCTTGTGATGGAACAATCTGGGAACAGAGCCACCAAATAGGTTTGCACATTATTATGTCTCTGACAAGAAGGAAGCAATGGAGGTTAGTGATATCACGGAGTAAATATTTTTAGTATAAAGATTTCCTGGATTAAAGCAAGATGTTCATGGAAGCAAATTCTCACATGCCGATGTCGTTAATGTCGTGAGACCTTCCCAGCAAGAAAGCATCTGTGACCTTGGTCTCTTTAGCAGCAATGTGACTGTCTCAGGACAACTTACAGAACAACGAATTCCCAGATTTCTGCACTTAATATGCATATAAAACGCCAGGAATGAGTCAGACATCACAGATTTATTTAACATCCCAGTTTCTTAAGGAGCAATGAAATTTTACACATTTCGAAAGCAGAACACTCAGATCCCCAAAAGTGCTTTAGATACATAAATTATGTTGGAAAATGTTGGGGGGGAGGGCTATTTTTTTTTTATAGATTTAACCAAGGCAGTATTATTATATGTTTAATAAATAAGATCTAAAAACTTAGTATATTTTCTGTGAACAATTAAATTAACCCAATGTATTGTAGAAATAAAACACTGTTATTCAAAGGGTTAATGCAAGCAGAGGTGTTAGTCTACAGACTGTATAATACAAATTCTTGGTATAACCACTTTAAAAAAACACTATAGGCACCAACTACTACATCTCATTGAAGTGGTGATAGTGTTCAGTTCCTTGTTACAGTCCTTCTGTGAAGTGTTAAACTAGCTAATGATTGGCTGTGAGTGTCAGCTGACCCAACCACTGCTAGCATAATTCAGAAAGATTGTAGATGAGTTGCCTTAGCCATACCTCCCGTGGGAGACCGGCTGTGGGCAGACAAGGACTCTTATACGGGGTTAAACTGCTCGAAAATGGTTTGATACTGAACGGATAAAAGGATTCCAAGCACTGTGACCATTTCAATCAGATTAAATGGATTTGGTGTCCAGAGTGTTACTTTAAAGTTCTGCTACCATGTTGGCCAGCAATTACTTTCTTATTCTTCTACAATACAAAAAACATATTTACAATTTTGAATGAAGGTTATGTGTGTTATATAACCAGTGTAAAAGATTGTTGAGTTGCATGCCAACTGTCGTATTTCAGAGTCACGTTTTCAGTTTCAAGCAAGGTCACATCTGTGTTCCAAGGCTGACAAAATGAGAAACATTGCGTTTGGTAAAAACAATATCTAGATCTCTGGACACACTAATGAAAAGCTAAGTGAAACATTTCTGGTTAAAACCTTGAATAGTATACAAACCTAAGGAATTTGCACCCTCTGCTGGTCAAGATATGCAAATATCTACAAAACCTTTAAAATAGTCCAGTTTTATTTGAATAATAAAGGAGGTATGAAATTACTGCAGAGACCACTAACAATTTTATTGCTGCTAGAGGGGGAGTGATGCATTGTAATAGTTTGGGTTAGGTTGTCCACTGTCCAATATTGCAGCTGCTTGCTGAAGTATATAGCAGTGTTTACATTAAAGCCTAGTGATAACTCCACTTGCCACTCCTTCAGATAGCTACTAGAGGTGCTTCCTGGGACAGTGCTGCACTGCAATTCGGTGTCTCCACCCTCTGCATGGAGACCCTGAACCTCTCTCATAAAGATGCATAGATTGCATTCATCATTTTAAGGAGATGCTGATTGGCCAGGGCTGTGTTTGAATTGTGCTGGCTCTTCCCCGATCTGCCTCCTTGTCAGTCTCAGCCAAGCCTATCGGGGAAGCACTGTGATTGGCGCAAACCATTACTTCTGATGATGTCAGCAGACAGAGGCAGTTCACAGGCAAACAGAGGCAGAGCCAGGAGCTGCAGACTTGAATACAAGTAAGATTTTACTATATTTAAGGAGACAAGAGGGCGTCAGAAGGGCTAGATTGTGGTTTTAACACTAGAGGGTCAGGAATACATGTTTGTGTTCTTGACCCTATAGTGCTTCTTTAATACATTTATAGTCATCTTATACCATTATGGTTAAATACATACACGCAAAGGAATCAGAGAAAGTGTCAATATATTTAAAAGAATGAGAGCGTTTGTTCCCACCCTCCTCATTTTGTTATATTTTGTAATTTTGTAAATATAGACTATAAAGGCTGGTATCTATGGCCTTTAGCTGCCCTCCAAATCAATAAAGTGCTCTAGAAAGTAGTTTCTGGCACATTTGAAAGAATATATGATCAATGAGGATATCAAAAATATGTACCATAAGTGTGCCCCAAATAGAGGGGAACACCACTACAGTATAAATAAAATTATAAAAAAAAATTTGGGAAAGTTACAGGGCCAAATACAACACATTAAACTTTTCAGTTAATACACATTAAAATTTGCCAGACTGGTTATGTTGCCTTTGAGACCATATGGTAGCCCAGGAATGAACATTACTCTCATGATAGCATACCACTTGCAACCCAAGGTATTACAAATTGGGTATGTCCAGTTTTTTTTAGTAATCACTAAGTCACAAACACTGGCCAAAGTTACTTTTGAAAACCCCATAAAACCTGTACATGAGGGGTACGGTTATATTCGGGAGACTTCACTGAACACAAATTTGTGTTTAAATAGTAAAACTTATCAAAACAATATAGTCAGTGAATGTACAGTTTGTGTACTGCATTTTCACCGATTACATAATTGTGATAGGTTTTACTGTTTTTAAACACTAACATTTGTGTTCAGCAAAGTCTCCCGAGTAAAACAGTACCCCCATGTTCAGGTTTTATGGTGTCTTGGAAAGTTACATGTTTAAATATAGGGCTTGCAAGCCAAATTCTCTGGACTTTCTGCCTGGGTTGTCTGGCACGTCCCTCAGATTGCAATTAATAAAATATGTAAAATTATTATATAAATATATTTGTAGAATTTAAATATATTACACACACTTGTTTATAACGTCATTCTAAATGTATTTTGAATTGAATATATATTAATATCAAATTACAGTTAGCACAAGTTTAAACCAGTATCTCTTTTTTTTTTATATTTAATTGTATTTTATTCATTTTTCTCAATGTATTGATTTTTTAATAAATATAATAAGGTAGACTGTACCTTGCACCCAGGCTCAAAAATTTGCCAAACCAGGTGCAGTACCAGGGGTTAAACATCCAAATAGAAAAATAGTTGGTTGCACTCTCGGAATTCCATTAAAATATAACATTTATTCCAGCTTCTAAAACAGATCAACGTTTCAGTCCATCTTGTGGACTTTCATCAGGATCACAAATACATGTTAAAAACATTTCATATATAGGATGCAATAATTGTAATCTAACTCACCCCAGGTGCTGTGTGTGAGAGCCGGCATCCTACCGGATCGTGTGCGCATGTGCATTAGCTCCGCCCATTTTTGTGACGTCATTGCGTGAAACTAGCGCCGTTGCCATGGTGACGCGGTATACCGAAAAGGTCACCACGGCAACGTCTAACTACAATAAACTTCCTCACCACCATGCAGAAAGAGCCATAATAAGTGACAGCACTTGTAAATGGGGATAAAGCTATCCAAGGGGTTATAACAGGACAAAAGAAAAGTGAAATCAAGCTTTATCCCCATTTACAAGAGCTGTCACTTATTATGGCTCTTTCTGCGCGGTGGTGAGGAAGTTTATTGTTGTTAGACGTTACCGTGGTGACCTTTTCGATATACTGCGTCACCATGGCAACGACGCTAGAGTCACAGAAATGGGCGGAGCTAATGCCGTACATGCGCACATAATCTGGTAGGACGCCGGCTTTCACACACAGCACCTGGGGTGAGTTAGATTACAATTATTGCATCCTATATATGAAATGTTTTTAACATGTATTTGTGATCCTGATGAAAGTCCACAAGATGGACTGAAACATTGATCTGTTTTAGAAGGTGGAATAAAAGTCCTCAAGTACCCCCTAACAGTCCAGCATTTAGGGATTACCCTGTTGTGTCTAAAGTGTATTTTATTTTTTCTAAAAACACCTTTGACAAAACTGGGTAATCCCTAAATCCTGGACTGTTGGGGGGGGATTTGAGGACTGAGTTGGGAACCACTGACCTAGGATATTGGTACATTATTACTATCCCCCCCCCCCCTTTCCCTTCCTCTGCTTTTTTGGGGGGTTTGGACTTTCATGGGTCTTTATCGGTGTAGGCATACAATGCCAAATAAACACTGGCATTGCAGATACTACACTGAGTCTAGATTGGATGCATTCCTGTGCAGCTATTATTAAAGTTCAAAACAACCTCTAACTTGAAGTAAAGTTAATATTGTACAGTGACATCTTGGCTCTAGCAAATACCATTGCAAGTCACAGACACTGAACTTTCCTCAGAGGTACATTGATTCAATGTTTTTTCCTTTTGAAGTTTTATTTTAATGACCTCTAAATTTCAATAGCCCTGTGCCCCCTACACATGATGAAAAGTTCTTACCTGGACACAAGACAAGGCTCTACTACCATCTTTAGGATATTTGAGAGCATTATTCTATATGCACACTGGTTTTTAGATAAGGAGACCCTTTTGCTTGCTCTATGTTCCTTGATCATACCCATGGTATATCACCCCAGGCTATTCTTGTGGACTTCCATAAAATGGAACATGATTATTTAAATTGCTACTCCCTTAAGAACCATTATAGTGTTGTTTTCCCTTGTGATCAATGTGTATGTTATGCATGCCTATTTGTATTACTTTAGGCTTTACATAACAAGTCCTCAATATTGGGTCTTTATACATTTAGACTCTTTATAGTAATTGCATATATGGATTTGTTTAAACTTCTTATGTTTTTATCTATTAAATATCGCAGTATTTGCCCCAAGGCCTCATTTCCACTCATATCCATATCCACTCGGCTGTGGACCGCAATCCCATTATGTATATTCATTAATATCTATTGAACACATGCATTACATTTAATGATCCGTTCAACAGTTAAGCTCTTTATATAGATACAAATGTAACTTCAACTTTTGTACCCTTCAATGTGGCTTGGTGGCAGTTCACAATGGGTTTATCAGTGCTACCTGCTAAGGGGGCTGCTACTTCAGCCCGTTTTTTTATACAGTGGCTGAGTCTTTAACAGTGATTCCTATTGTGGAGTGTGTTCCGTTATTTGGTCCCTCACAAAGGTGCCGTGAGGCAGGAAAACGTGCGTCAGACCTTTAATATTTTTGTTTGAGGGAATTTAGCACAGTGTGACCCTGAGGTATTAGGGATTAGATGGGAGAGCTTATTGATATGACAATGTGTTATTTAAGGAGTGAGCAGCGCTCACTTGGAAGAAGGAAAGAAAAAATAATGTTATGTACCTGACTCTTTCGCTGGTTTCCATTATTATATTTATATAGCGCCAACAAATTCCGTAGCGCCATGGTGAATAGCCTATATTTAGTACTAAAGACCACATTTCATACATAACCCCTAATGTCCAATTTATATAAACAGTGAACACTGGTTTATTTCCCTAAAGAACCAAAATATGCAGCCTTCCAAAAGGATGAAATAGTGAATGTTATGGAACTGGGTAATAACATCAAACTGCACTGTTGCGCTATCTTCCAAGCCATGTAGGCGGCATATAGAGTCACAAATAAAATTTAGACGTAATGTTATGGATAGGGTATGGTGCAAACAGATGCTTATAGCTGGAGCGATCATAACATTTTATTATGCAGAGAATGGATGGTCATAGCCCACCTGTCACGGCAAGGGTGTATAATTCGTTATTGCACTATGGAATACTATCCTTTAATGTAATTTGTGTAGTGCCTGCCTTGTAGAGATGGAATATTGTCAATGTCAAACAGAGTTAATTTGATTGTATGAAAGGTCAGATGACATAAGGGGTAATGTAAATTGCATAAGAATGTGAAAAGAGTTTTACCGTAGGGATGGATCCTGTGAATTAATCAAAGGCTCTGCAAGGTGTGAGATTCTACACTTTAACCCCTTCCCGACCCAGGACGGTTCCCGTTACTTACCTGATCGCCGTTGTTCCCCCGGCGGCGATCAGCGTGGCTCCGGTTGTGGGGAGACTGCCTGCAGCCCAGACAGTCTCCCCACACTGATTTAGGACCCCTGTGGCCATGTGATCGCTCAACACAGCGATCACATGGTCACAATAGGTGTCCATGTGTCTGCCTGCAGGGGGACTGTCTGTGCTGACAGGCAGTCTCCCTGCTAGTGTAAAATCATAAAAAATAAAAAAAAAATAAAGTTAGTGTTAATAAAAAAAATAAAAATAATTATATGTGTATATATATATATATGATATATAGACATTTATTATATCTATATAATATATGTCTATATATCATATATAATGTCATACTAAGTGTATTTTTAGATTAATATGTACTTATATTAATATAAAAATACACTTATTATATATACACGTGTGTAATTTAATTATAACTATATATTGTATATATATATTATTATAAAATATAAATCATAAGTAATTTAAATTAAATTTTTTAAATAAAAAAATTTAAAAAAATTATATAGCTATATGAAATTTTATTCTAACTGTATTTTAAAATTAATATATATATATATATATATATATATATATTTATATCAAAATACACTTAGAATGAATTTGTATATATATCTATGTATATAAAAATAATAATAAGAAATGTCCATATACAAAATTACATAAATAATTATATAAATATACACGTAGACTTCAAATATATAAATATGCATATATATTTAAATTCTACGTGTGTATTTATGTAATATTTTTACATAATTCAGTAATTTTATTGATTGCAATTTGAGGGACCTGCCTGCCAACCCAGGCCGAAATTCCAGAGAATTTAATTTGCAAGCACTGTATTTTACCCTGTAACGTTCTACGACACCCTAAAACCTGTACATGGGGGGTACTGTTTTACTCGGGAGACTTCGCTGAACACAAATATTAGTGATTCAAAACAGTAAAACATATCACAGCGATGATATTGTCAGTGAAAGTGACTTTTTTTGCATTTTCACACACAAACAGCACTTTTTACTGATGATATAATTGTTATGATACGTTTTCCAGTTTTTAAACACTAATATTTGTGTTCAGCGATGTCTCCTGAGTAAAACAGTACCCCCCATGTACAGGTTTTATAGCATTTTTGAAAGTTACAAGGTCAAATATATGGGTCAAATATTTTTACATTGAAAATGGCCAGGTTAGTTACGTTGCCTTTGAGAGCGTATGGTAGCCCAGGAATGAGAATTACCCCCATGATGGCATACCATTTGCAAAAGAAGACAACCCAAGGTATTGCAAATGGGGTATGTCCAGTCTTTTTTAGTAACCACTTGGTCACAAACACTGGCCAAAATCAGCGTTCAATTTAGTTTTTTTACTTTTTTCACACACAAACAAATATGAATGCTTACTTTGGCCAGTGTTTTCGACTAAGTGGCTACTAAAAAAGACTGGACATACCCCATATTGAATACCCTGGGTTATCTACTTTAAAAAAAATATGTACATGTGGGGTGTTATTCAGAGATTTATGACAGATAATAGTGTTACAATGTCACTATTGATAAATTTTAAAATGTATGTTTTGAAACCGCAATATCCTACTTGTACCTATAGCCCTATAACATGCAAAAAAAAGCAAAAAAGCACGTAAACACTAGGTATTTTTAAACTCAGGACAAAATTTTGAATCTATTTAGCAGTTTTTTCATTCGCTTTTGTAGATGAGTAAAAGATTTTTCAAGTAAAAGTCAAAAAACATGTATTTTTTTCAATTTTTCATCATATTTTTTTTTTTTTTAATTAAAATACATGAGATTATATAAATAATGGTATGTAAAGAAAGCCCCTTTTGTCCTGAAAAAACAATATATAATTTGTATGGGAACAGTAAATGAGAAAGCGGAAAATTACAGCCAAACACAAACACCACAAAAGTGTAAAAATATGCCTGGTCGCAAATGTACAACATCGCAAAAACAGTCCAGTCCTTAAGGGGTTAAAAGCCTGAATGTCTGGCTTCGGCCATATGGCCTGTACCTCTTAAATGAGAAGTGGATTTCTTTGATATGTCAATGGCCATTAGCCTTTTTCCAGTATCATATCCAAAAGGAAAAACACATTAATATTTACCCACAGAATAATAATTAAGCCTTATTTTTGTTATATTTGGAAGGTGACAAGCACCCTCTTCTAAACAAGCCCAAACATGATTTGCATAACTTAACCATAGGAGAAGGGACTGTGATGTCCGCTATATTGGGTCACAAGTAAGAAATGTGACATGTCTATGGAATGGGAAAATAACAAATTTGTAGATGCAATGATTTCTACATAAGAAGATATAACAAACTGTTTCCATGTGGATTGATGTGGGTCTGGACGCAAGAGTGTATATACCTTGTATATACTCCTTAACTCCACCTCTGGGTGAGGCGTGGTAATCCACAGGGTACATCTCTAATGATCCTGAAGGGTGCATTTGTACTTGCTTGGAGCCAGAATCTAATTCTAAGTAAGAGTCACCATCTTTCTTACCAAGACCCCCTGGAGCAGAAGTGTTATTTTGATAAATTTAGTAAGTAATTAGGACTTCTGTTATTTCATCCCTTTTGTTTTTATCTGTTTTTGGTGTCAATTTTGATTGTGATCGATATTTGTATGCACTGTGACAATTTTCTGCTCATAATAAATATTCCTTTATTAAGTTCTGCCTTTGTCTGGTAAAGAATCATGTTACCTGAAGAGACTAAATTAGTATTTTTGCAATGTCTTAGATATTGTGCTAGGTTGTATTTGGTGGGTTTTAATTATTGATTTACCTGGGGGACCAAGGCACCCCATTTATAAAAAAAAGTCTTCGTGGTGGCAGTGTTAAAATAGTAATAGTTATATTGGATTTAAGTGGTGGTGGTGGTGTTAAGGGGGATTTTGTCATTTTTGGTCTACTGCAGACAAATAGTGAACTGTAACCCTTTCACCACCGCAACTATGTCACGCACACTCTTGAAGTAGGGAACGTTTGTGAAACCACCTACAAGCCATTCTTCTGAGCTCTTACAGTGAGCGCTGTGCATGTGCTGTAGTTGCAGTATTCACACCTTTATTCGTGCAATAAATGTGCAGAATGCAAATATAGTAAGAATAAAACTGAAAAGGAATAAATAAATTTAAAATAAAAATACAAGGATAAAGAATTTAGAGATTTTATTAGTGGTTATCTTATATGGAAATATATGAAAATACAGTTGGCAGGCTAAGTAAATTAAACTAAATTAAACTAGAATAGGTGGAATTAGAATGAATATAATTCACAATGGAGAGTCCGATGCAGAATTCACATAAACTTACTTCACTACCAATGGTTAGATGAATGGGGCAAAAGAAAAGCATGTGCACTGGCTTTGCATCTCTTCCTGAATTGTGTTTCAAAGCAGTTGTATACAGCAAACAAACTCCAAGCAATACATGCTTAAAATGGAATAATGAGTCAATAACAGGGACTCAAACTTATTTGTACCAGAAAAACTATAGTTTAATGTAGTTGTTCTGGCGAGTTTCATATGTCTCTGCAGGATTAAAAAAAAAAAAAAAGTTTACATTAATGCCTAGAGACAAATCAAGTGGCAGTCACTCAGACGGATGTTCAGTGTCTGCACGCTTTGCATGGAGGCGCTGAACTTTACCCATAAAGATGCATTGATTCAATGCATCTCTATGAAGAGATGCTGATTAGCACAGTGTGGCATTTTGCAGAGTGTGCACATTAGCCTCTCTTGCATTCCTATGTATAGCACCGAATTGGCTGAGATAGTCATTTATGATCTCAGCCAGGATGGAGAAGCAGGGATGGGATAGAGCCAGCAGATCTGCACGGCGCTGGAATAAAGGTGTACTTCAACCCTTTCTAAGGCAGTAAAGGGGGGGTCTTTAACACGAATACACATTTTGGTTCCTGACCCTATAGTGTTTTTTTTTTTGATATTGGAATATCCCTATTACAATGTTGCTTCTTTGTTCCTATTCCCTCAATGGGAAATCAGGGAGATGCTTTTTATTCTAGTTGGACTTTTACATAATAAGTATGTGATCAGACTACGCAAATGAGTTAGATTTTGTGAAGTATCTAATAGTATAGGACTATTCCATCGGAATCAATTATGCACGCCCTCAAAGATGGACTGAAACAGGCAGAGACACAGGCAACTGGCAGATGTGATGAAGCCTACTCCAGGTGAAAAGAATCATCATGCTGCCGACATTAAGCCCCATTTCCCGGAAGCTGTGAAGTGCGCCCGAGAACCAGAAGAAAGACCGAGACTGCCGGCGTCCGGACACCAGGATTCCAGCATGGCTTTACTGGAAGGAGTAAAGCTACGATGGGGGTGATTTTACTCAAAGGTTTTTATCTGTGATGATAAAGTTTTAAATTCATTGGTCATCTAGGGTCTCTGCCTGGATTACTGCATGCCACAATTCCACAGTGCCAGCAGCTGATTGGAGCTTTTAAGTTTGAGCAGACCGCCACTGCTCTTTGCATATGAGGGGCTTATCCATATACTTTCCTTATTTTATATAATATATATACACACACACACACACTTTTTTTTAATTATGGTATATCATAAGGACTGGTTTTACCGGACACATTTACTGTAAGTGGTCTCATTTGTACACTTTAATGACACCTATTGCACAAGTGTATTGACACAATTAAGGTTGGTTAATATTGCACAAGTGTGTGTGCACAATTAGGTATTGTGGTATATACACTGCACAATAAAATATTATGACATCTAGCACATAAGTGCATCTGCATGGTAAAAAGATTTCACCATTTGTTTTTATGCACTCTGCTGAAGAGGAGTTTGTATTGCATGGTATTGATATGCACTTTATATTAAAAAAGACCCATTTGATCTTAAAGACAATGTACACTTTTATAATATTTTGTTTTAAAAGTGTATAGTGTACTTTATGTTTTTATTTTGGTGTCGTCTTTTAACAGTGAAAGTTTTTGAGCCAGTTCACTTCATAAGATGTTGCTGTATTTGGTATTGAGTAATATATTTTCTCACCAGTCATTTGTATTTTGGTTTATAGTAAACACTCCTTGTGATGAGCAGGCAATGAAGCAAGACAAATCAAAATTGAGGGTTTAGGAAGTAGGTGGCAGTTGTGGTGAGCGTTATACTATGGGAACATCCATGTAGTATGAACGGACAACACCAGGAGCACTGGAGAGGAGATGGCTTATCATTTACATCTCATTATGCAATTAAATACTGCATTTAATCACTATGACAAAATGATATAGTAATTGCTCAAAGAGAAGTTCTGGCTTAAAGTGAACCTGTCATTTGTCAGTCTTTCACCCATGCTCCTGATCCAAGAAGCACACATTACAGACTCTAGGTGTATTTGTCCTAAAAAAAAAAAAAAAGGAGCCTAAGCACTCCTATAAATTCAGAGAAAAGGAGTAGAGGCACAGGTAATAGCAATACCAAAAGGATTGAAAATACAAACCATTTCTTAAAAGGTAGGGAAGCTAGGTGGATTTAAAATTAAAAAAATCTGAATGTTGGGAGAATGTGTGTGTGAGTGAATGTATGTCGGTCAGTGTGTATTTGTGAGGGTGCCTGTGTGTCTGAGTGAGTTACTGTGCGTGTGTGTCAGTGACTGTCTGCGTCGTTGTGTGTATATGTCAGTAATGTCAGGGTATTTATATCGGCAGACATCTTGTGCTATGATAGAAATTAAAAGTGTATATGCTGAGTCACTTTTGAACAGAGCAGACTCCATTTTATTTTCAAGCTAACAAAAGACACAAGATTTCTATCTGTAAAACTAACCACTTTCCCAGAGCTAAAGGAATGCATAGTATATACAAACCAAGTGATAAGGAGAACGGGGGTTGGACAGACTGTCTAAAATGTTAATGGAATAGATGCATATCTAAACACAGACACTAGTGACAGAGAAGACTAAGTAATTAATTTTACTTTCTAAATTTTATAAGGTACCATTGTAGTAAAGGGTTGAAATTGAGTTTAGTACTGTCAATTTTACAAGTTACGATCAAGTAGATGCCAGAAAGACTGGCACAAATGCTTTGAACTGACAGCAAATCTAAGTTATAGTAGTCATTTTAGATAAGCCAAATAACGTCAAAATTGTCATCAGGAAAAGTTAACTCTTTCCTGGATAGGAAGGTTTCGTTAGACGAGACTGCCATCTATGGATCAAATATCTAAATCGCGATCCCTAGATTGGACACACCTATGGCTTACTATTGGGTTATCAACTAATGACGTACAGAGAGTCTGGCCCTTTTAAAGTTAAGACAAAGAGAGGAGAGGGGAAGAGGAATTGGAAGTTTGGGGACTCCAACTCGGACATGCAGAGAAACCCAGGACAACATCTGAGACTAACACTCAACTCACAAACTCTTTGACACTTTCTAACCAACACTACATTACACTCAGAAATTCCTACACACCTCCATGCAGAGAGACATCCAAACAAGTTCCTGAGACTACCAATTTGATGAAAATATCTACTCAACTGGTAATTATACTGGTTTCATTTAATTAAATTAATTACAATTTACTAATAGCATGATATATGACTGGATAAATCACGGTCAGATTTCCATATTAAGAAATCTTAGTTAACTAAAGAATATATAGTTATAAACATTCCATTCAGCAGGTGGAATTAAGAATAATTATATATTAATGTGATATTATCACATGTTAGCACATCGTGATATTTATCCAGCTGTATTGATTTGCTCTAAAATAAGATAAAAGATCTGTTTAGGCAAATTAAAAACAAACTCTGCTTATACAACATGGTAGATTCTCTTATTGGATGGTTCCAGGAAATGACTAATGAACTGGTTTAAATGTTATTTTATTTAAAGTTACATAAGAATAGATCTTAATTACCTAGGAGGATCTAGCCAGCATTGAAAGTGTTATTCAGTTGATCTAACTGTTAGCCAGGGTTTTATGGCCCTTCGCTGTGAAAAGCTTCGCTTTCTGTGTCTGTAAGGTTACCTCATAAATCGTGTAAGTCTTGACAGAAAATGCTGTTTAGCCATTGAAATGTGTATACCCATTCCATTGTATTGTATACTATGTTGTACTAAATACTAGTTGATTATTGTCACGCATGTTACATAACATTATTGTTAATTATTGGTCATAATAAATCTATTTTTATAACAGATTGTGATTTATTTATATGAAATACTTTTCAACTTAACACGATAACGATCTTTGGGATCTGAGAATTGAATTAGTGGGCAATTCTCACTGTTTACTATTATTATCCCATAAATATCCCCACAGTAATTGAGTGAGTGTGTGTGTGTCAGTGTATCTGATAGTGTGTTTCTGTCAAAGTGTATGTGTTAGACTTTAACAGGAAGAGGTGTGGCATTGACAGGAAGGGGGTAATGTATATTAGGGGGTGTCCAGGTTCTGCCATGCTTAGGGCAGCACATATCCAAAATACACCAATGTGCTACCAAGTATTTATTTGAAGGACTTAAAAGAGGCAGTCTATTCACTTAAAATAACCCTTCCTCAAAGCCTTTACACATCTTTTATACAACTGAATTGTTTTTGTCTGGGAGAAAAAAAAAGATATACTATTGTTCATTAACTAGCTTATTAGACCGTTTGGTCCCAGAGAAGAGAAAGATTATCCGGATACAAGTTATTGTATATACTATGTAAGCTGTACAGAAAGTGACACTAAATCAACAATGACCTAGCCATACCCAAAATGACATATATAGCTTCAATATAACCACTACAATAAGCTGCAGTGTCTACACAATGGATGTCTGTGGCTCCCCAAGAGAGAACTCTTCTAGCCTGTAAGCAAAGCCTAACAGGCATTGTGAAAGGGAGAGGCGGCCGATCTCCCGACCAGACACGAACTGACCCACATTAGCATGGAACTGAAGCCCCGGTGGGGGTGATCCCCGGTCCCCACCATGAGGGCTCATTAACCACCAGAGAAGGTTTGTGGTGCTGCCACATTTCCAGCAGCGATTCAGTCAGACACATCCAACAAGGCAGAAGCCGGATGTCTCTGGATTCATATGAAGGAGAGGTCCGGAATGCTACAACAGCTGAACTGCCTCCGTGATGAGTTCTGGCAGGGCCTTATGTGCCGGTATTTCCCACCTGCCCAGTGGGCCGCAACACATTGCTTACCTGCCCGGCAACACTGAAGCCTCAGAATCACACACAGGGTCACGGATCTCAAGGAGACCCGCCTCAAGAGGCGCAGACTGCATCCGGGGAACACCGCACACAATCAAGCACCAACCTAGACAGAGATGTCCTTGGAGACTTACAGCTCGGAGAGGAATACAATGTGCGACGCAGGGCCTGACATACCAAGAAGGTGCTGCCTCCAACTCGCAGCCTTCTGAATAGCAACATGGAGAGGGGCTGCATCTTGCCTATGGCTGGCATAGGCTGAAGGTCACACATGAGCTTCATCTTCCCCATGCCTAACCTGGCTTCAAACCAGAGGAATGTGATTCGGATTCACTCTTCTCTGCTGAAACAATATTTTTAGTCTATTCTTTTTGTTTTTTTTCCTATTTACAAAAGTTTCTCTTTGCAAATATTACTTACCTAAGTCTTGTGGTGTTCTGGACTCTCCCACCTTTCTCAATCAGAGGCCTCTGCAGTGATGCCCACTGCTTGATATCCAGCGTGTATAAGCTTAACATCAATACTACATAGACTCAAAAGGAGCTGGTGATCAAAAGGTACCGTGCAAAGAGGGTCAACCCTTAGTAAACACTTATGAGGAAAGCAAAAGGTTGCCCAGACGAGAGGGTAGTTTAAAACTTAATGGTTAAAAATTGTATATTAAAAAGGAATTCAATAATCAAAGTAGTTGAAAAACTCAGAAGAAGGTTTATTTGTAGCTACTAAACTTTTTTGAAAACGTGTATACATGAAACAAAATTATAAAGAAAATCTATTAAAATATATACACATCCTGCTGGTGTCTCAGAGTAGCAATTGTTGGCCAGGCTATCTGAGACGAAACGAATGTAAGAGGCTGTTACAATGCCAGCAGAGCGCTAAATCAGATGTTGTCTTATGCAACGCCCTTGAAGTTGGCTACAATATAAGATTGCAATAAATGCTCCTAAGAAAAAACTAAAATAAATAAATAATATGACTGGAGTCAGTTTCAGACTGCCAACTAAACAGAGCTATAGGAGGAAACAGTGCTCTGTGAAAAATCAAGAAAAGTGGGTGTGGGAATAAATAAAAGAACAGGAAGGAAAATGTATTTTTTTAAGCTGCAAATGTAGAAACAATATAGGATGCTAGACTGTGCCTTTGAGGGCACGCATACGAATAATAAAACACCAGCTAACTGATCTGCTTGCAGCTCAAACTTCGACTGTAAAAGAGGGCTGCTCCATGTCCCAATAACCAAGATAAATTAGCTAAATCAAAAGGAACTCAAAAAAGTATTAGAAGCTGCTAGTAAATGAAACAGAGCCGAGCCGCGATGCACATTTCGCCGGTCAGGTGGCTCTTCAAGGAAAATAGGTACACTTACGTGAGGTAGAATAAAGATCAGATGAAAAGACCCAATATGTCATTTCAATCTGACCAATCAAATCATTGTACAGATTAGTGACACTCGAGTGGCCAATCCAGACACAAGAATTTGGTGAGGGGGTGGTGCAGCATTAGTAGCATAAAGGTCTTGAAAAGGGGACTAATAGTTGAGCCTGTGTGGTTGGCAGATCGAGTTACTCCGTGTTAAGCGGGGACACAAGCCCTGCCTCTTGGAGGTCTAAACGAGGTGAAACCTCAACGCCTGCCAGCTGTGCGGTTGTGAATGAGTGAATTAGTGGAGGTTACAACCTCCAGAACCATATAAGGAAAGTAGAAACAGCCGAACATGTTTATATCAACAAGAGATGTAAAGGCAATTCTAGGTGCTACTAAGCCACTATTAGATAAATTCAATCAAAAAAAAAAAAATAGAGAATTAGCTAGAAACTGGAAGTCCAGATGCATTACAAAGCTGGTCCATTGGAGATCAGGTTTAATAATCAGGGCAACAAGAGGTGTAGAAAAAGGTGTGTGAGAGGATAAATGACATACCCGGACGAACTTAACGGTATAATGCTACTGAAAGTTGCTTAGGAAGTATTAATAGGTATGTACAAAGATATTAATTTTAGAAATATATTGACAAGTCCATGAAACGTGCCAATCTTATATAGATATCAGCAAGAGGTTTAACATCGGAGTACGGGATCTGTCTGCTAAAAGATCAAAACAATAAAATGAATAAACTTAAGAATGGATCAGAATTTGCCAATAAAACTCTAAATAGCTGGTCTATTAAGGAACCAGATATATATGGGATTTGTTAGGGGGGGTATGTATAAACGTTTTAAAAAGGAGTTCTTGGAAATTGTTGCATAATATAGGAAATTTTAGGAAGAAATTGGACCCCTCGTGGATTGGCTTCTTGGTATACATGAAATCGAAAACAGAATATTAGTCGTATTTACTTCCTTTTAAGATAAAGTCATTAAACCTTAAGTTTTAAACTACCCTCTCATCTGGGCATCTTCCTGCTCTCCTCATAAGATTAACACCAGAATTAGTCTTCCAGAAAATTAATACAATTAATTTAGAAGCATAAGGGGTGAAGCTGCATACCAATTATGTAATCCTGTAGGTGCTGTATTGCTCCCTCCCAGGAATGGTCTACAAGTGAAATGAGGATGTAAAATGGCAGAAGGTACACTGCAAACGTCCTTTATAGAAGATTGACAAGATAATATCAAATATCAAGTCCAAACAGAGATGGAAAGAAAAGAAAAGTAAAAACAAGAAGTAGTAAATTATTTTTTTCACCTCCCAATATGGCTACTTCAGCCTAAAATTTGCGGTTCAGTAAATAAACCCCATTGTATTTAAACTCCACTAGTTGGACCTCTGAAAGCATGCTTCTTATACAAAACATACCTTTATAGTATCGTGAAGCAGAGTGAGCACTGGTTTGAGAGGGACACACATAAAACAAACAGGACTGTTACCTCAAGAACAAAACACATTTTGCACCATATAAGAAAAAAAATAAAAAACACTGGTAAGAGGTTGAGGAGTTACTCTACTAGTCCGTGGTAGGAGCCTGCATAGACTAATCTAGCAACACTTGTCCTAAGCATGGCACATTATATATAACAATTACCTTTAAGTTCTGCTCCAGCTTGAGGAACATGATGTATATAAACATAAAAAAAAAAAAAAAGCCAAGTACCTCGTAGTGCGATAGGAAATTCCTTAGTTTTGCCAAAGATGGAATGTATAATAGTGGACTCATTACTCGTCGAACAAACTTCTCAATGTATGCAGCAGTCAATGGTCCTTTGTACTCAATGGGACCAAAACTAAAAGGGGAAAAAGTAAAACTTTAAAAAAAAAGCTGAATATAGGAGGCAAACAAAGCAAATTTGTGAGGGATGCAGAAAGATTTTCCAATATTTGACAGAAACATCAAAACCAAGTCATATGACTATCCATCCTTCTTTAGACAAAGAACGTTAACAGGGCTTATTATGTTTGTAACACTTTACAGCTTAGTGTTTACCAGGGGACCTCTTGGGTGGTCTAACCCTCTCATTCACTGTGTCCATGTTACAATACTAATCATCTAACTATATAGGAGGTTTTGTTTAGATACATGAACCTCAGCTGGTTTACTGGTATACCACAACCATTACATTTTGTGCAACTGCTCTAAATGCCATGTTATACTCTTGTACTGACTGGGTTGTTTTGGGGTTATTTTGCTGGTCCTGCTGCTGTTGCACTACAAGTGTGAATGTACTCATTTACACAACAAAAACAAAGAATTTTAAAACTAAAAAACAGATTATAGAGTGCCCATATGCAAACCTTTTAACAAATAATGACTGTGGCGGAACCAGCCTCGCCACTGGGCATTGGAGAAGACTTATTGCCAGCCTCCTGCCCTGTGACTATGGCCCCATGTTGAAATGCTGGATTTTCCCCTGCAAAGACCCGATAGCCGGGTCATTCTGTACTTTCGCTATGTGAGCAGTGTTACCCCAGATAGCTATGCCATGGAGCCCATGTGTATAACGAAAGACTATGTGAAAGACTTTGGCTCCATGGCAATTGAACTGTATGAGTGTGCTCTGAGCGCCATTCAGTAATAATTTGCACTCAGATCTAAGCTATCTGGGGATATGTTGAATGTACCCGTTTTATGCAATCGCTGCACAGTTATATATTTTTATGTATTTTATTGTATTTTGCTACCATGTGGCTAATGGAGTTTTGCCTCTGTCCTTGGAGATAATTGGATTACTTTCCAATTATCTCCAGGATAGAAGACTCTGTGGAACTGGTTTTGGGCAGGAAAAACCATGCTTCATTTTGTCAAATAGGACTTTTCCCTTAACTTTTTAACCCCTGAACCGATTGCCCTGATTTTTGAGTATGTGTATATTTCAAGCATGCGGATTCTGAAAATGTATGTTTTATGTGAATGGCATGTATATTTTGGAAGTTATTACTATTTTGTAAAAACTGTATTTCTTTGCCTGTGATAATTATATTACCCATTGTGTTAAGTAATCATATCAAAGGCAGAGGGGAGGATTTTGTGTGGGAGTGTGTGTGTATTGTACGGAGTGATTGGTTGTATTTCAAAACCCTGTGGGCAGTACTATGTTTGTGGCTTGTGAATAAAAGAGGCTGTATGTGGCAGTACAGTCAGTTCTGCTTGACCTCAAAACGAAGTGTTGTCTCGTTATTGGGGGAATTGGATTGTATGCTGATTGCCAGGAGTGTAAGCTTTTCCTGTTCAGCTGCATACAGCATTCATATGCTTCTCCTGTTCGGTGGTTGTGGTGTCTGCTGCAGTGCTTGGAGTCCTCAGCAAGCGCTAGGAGCATCCTTCAACGGAGGTACCCAGTCGGGGTGCCAGGTGATCCGTTACAATGACAATTCAAAATAGAACAATTTGTACATAATGTATCCATGAGGTGTAGGTTCTCTCAAAAAGTATAACAAAATACAATTACTAGTTTCCTGCAGCTGCTTTCACAGACTAGAACTTTCATTTTACTTATCTACAAGATAGCTGCCCTACGATAAGACACGTCAAATATGGCAGATTTTCAACATTTAACAATTGAGAAGAAAAAAAAATTAAAAAAAAATTTTACGACTAAACTTTAATTGTTGCAGTTGCTCACAGTACTGCTAGCACAGTGTACACATGAAACAGGATTCTCTCTCTACACTTTATGCACAGCAGATATGCTTTCACTAATGATTAACACCTGAGTGGATTTACCATTATTTAGCATGTTTGAGCCCTACTTCTAGCCAGATGGGTCAAAAAAACCAATGCAGAGCATTTGCATAAATCAACTGAAATTGTGCACCATATCTTGAATCAACGTTCCCAAACAGCTGTAACATGCACAAATACACGTAAGCTTTAAATGTAGCACACAATTACTAAATATTTTTAAAAATTAGCATATGGCAAGGGGGGGGAGAAGAGTAAGGAAAAAAAAAAAATGCATTATTGGGAAAGTTCTTCCATAATTAACATCTTATTCATGAGAAATTAGACCCAAAAAGAAAAATATAAAAAAAATAAATAAAAAAAAAAATTAAATTTATCTTTGATTAAAGCAACGGTTTTTAATACCCCCAGTAAACCGCACTGAAGAGGGAAAAAAAAAAAAAACTAAAATGCACAAACCTCAGCAATTCTATTTTAAAAGGTAAATTGATCATGTACCTACAGAAAAATGCTGTTCAAGCGCATTTGTGCTCAGCAATACTTCCATAGTGCTGTACATTCAAGAGATACTCGGCAAAAAAAAAAAAAAAAACACACATCTTTATGCTGGGGATCAAAGAGAAATATTGGCTTCAGTGCTTCTCTATGAAAAGTATTGTAGGACAGAACAGCAACGCTCTGTGAGAAGCATCAGAAGAGCCAGAAGATAGTCAGTGCTGGAATACTGAGAGGAGCAGCAGATCTGTGGAGAGGTACCATCTCGCCACTGTACTTAGAAGTATGTTAACCCCTTTTAATTGCAGGTACTGGATGTGGGGGCTCAGGGGACTCCCCAACTCTTTAAACGTATAAATAAAATTAATCAGTTGCAAAGAGATGCACATTATGATTTACTATAGGAAACATGCAGCTGCTGTGCAGGGGCTTATGAGATATGCAGTGATTTAGTTTAAAACCATGAGAAAATTGTTGGCTGCTAAATGTCAGTGATATACAGGGGGAAATATTCATTATAAACAAAACAAAAAATATATATATATTATTTATTTATTTTTACACATTTTTAATAACATTAAGGAGGCAGTTAACTTCTGAATGAAGATGCCATTTAAACTTGGAGAAATTACTTCTTCCACTAGAGACTGATGATTGTTAGAACAGATCATTAAGTCAATGTAATCAATTTACCTCTTATGATACAAGTTAATCACAGGGAAATAATAGAAGTGTTTTTGTTTCCTGCACGTGCCCTGGTGCCACCAGCAGTTGATTGCCACAAATAGTACCTACAAAACAAAATGATACATGAACACATTTTTCACATTTCAGCATCCTGCAAAACGAAAACTTGTTTTCAATTTATGGCAAAATGTATGCAACTGTAAGTTTTGAACAGTAAATTTGTGTTTTTTTTGTGTGTAATATAACATTATCAGTTGCAAGATTTATCCCCCTCCATGTTCTGGGGTGACATATTCACAGATGTTCAGACCTGGACAAAACTTCCACAGAATTTGGAGTCAGGTCCAAAAGTAAGTAGCTGCACAAAATTGTATTAACCATTTCACTTCCAGATGTGGATTCACCTCTAACAGTCGAAGGGAAATCACATTCTTAGTCAATCATACTCATACCTAATAGTCAGCCAATTACACACAATATATATATATATATATATATATATTCCATGTCATATCCTCCTATCTATATTTCCCCCACCCCATATAGTTCCAGTAGTCTTATTTAGCCTCACATTTACCCTGTGATGTAGTTGTGTAACGTGTGAGAGCAGCTGCAGCCATATCTGGACTCCACATACAGTGCTCCCTTTGCTCCAGCGCAACGTGAATCATCCCACATTGCAATGAACATGGACAGCAGAGTGTGTGCTGGGTGAGCAGCTGCAGCAATCTGCGTTTTTCGGAGCACAGAACACTAGCTTACAAGGATCATTAGACTTGAAAATGACAACAATCGCAATGACTTCTTCCTATACTATATAACCAGGGCTCAAACGTTTCACTCACAAGTAACGAGAGAAAATTTAGCCTTGGCAAGAAGTGTAAAGTAATGTTTAAGGCCTGGCTAGTAGCATAAGACAACAAATTTTAAAGGACCACTTCAGCTCAATGAAGTGGTCTGGGTGCAAGGTCCCCCAGGTTTTAACCTTTCAGATGTAAACGTAGCAGTTTCAGAGAATAGCAGGGTGAATCCAGTCTCTAGTGGCAGTCTTCCTCACAGCCGCTAGAGGCGCTTCTGCGACGCTCAATGCAAAAAAAAAAAAAAAAAAAAAAAATTTGCATTGAGCACACAGAACATCCATAAGAAAGCATTGAGAAATGCTTTCCTATGGGTGTTTTTAATGCGCGCGCGGCTCTGGCCGCGCGTGCGCATTTGGCTCCACTCAGGAGCTGACGTCGGAGGGGGGACCTAAGGATTTTATAGTGTCAGGAAAACTAGTTTGTTTTTCTGACACTATAGTGATCCTTTAAGTACAAAATAAAATCAAAAGTGAACTGGTAAAACACACACACACACACACACCACCCCATTATGATGGTGGACACTATTAGGTCCTCTTTCTGGGTGGCCATTGAATTGGAGAGGCAAGCGTTAAAAAGAACATGCCATATACCATAAAAACGTGTACTTATTACATAGATTATGGTGCAAAGAGGTCATATTTGCAGGGCAAGGGAGTCTGGATTTCTACATTTATTTTAATTTTTCACACCTCAAATGTACATTTTAAGTATAGAGATAAGAAAACATAATAGAATCTTGGAAGTGGACAGTTTTCTTTAAGGTTATAAAACACAAATTTATTTCAACAGTTACTATTGTCTTTAGATTCAGTTTCACCCTGTGGACCTTCATCCAGCAGTATCCCAATATTACAGGAACCATCGTTCCTCCTTTAATCGGAGATCATCCCCACACCGATGAGGAGTACTTCTATTCAACAGAGCCTGTTCATACAGACGGCCAAGTACCCAACAGGGGATTTGAACCTGGGTACTTTGCTGTCCTGGGCCTGCTATCTATCTTTGAGACACAGCAGTTCTTTTACAGTATTCACTAGGAAGTGCCTGTAGCATGTCATATTTATTATGTTTACGGCAATGAGCAACTAATTCAAAAGAAAAATGTGATTTAGCACCCCACAATGTTTAACCCATTAAAGACACATGACATGTGTGACATGTCATGATTCCCTTTTATTCCAGACGTTTGGTCCTTAAGGGGTTAAACGTATGTTAATATTTTTAAATGTAGCCCACAGGTTTAATTGATCATTTACCTGGTCTGAAAGCCTATTAGCCACTTCCTCGATTTCAGACCTTGCCATGATAGACCGTCCACACCAAGGGGCGTACAGGAAAAACATTGTTATCTCAGAGTCCTGGCGAATATGTTCTGCATAATCCAGCTGTCCATGGTAAAGATCCAAAACAAAGGATTTCTTAGAGAAAAAATGCACTGGTGGTCTGGCTGGCATAACGACATCTTTAGCTCGGCTGAAGAAAGAAACGAGAAACTTTGTCGCAATCATGGAAATGTGCTCTGTTAGGAGTGTAACCAGCAGTAACATATACAGAATTAATTTAATTACAATTTAAAACGTATTTTTATCTTAGTTTACAGTGCTAAGGAGTTCCCCTGTCCCCGTCTCCATGCACAATCTTTCTTAATACTGCAGCAGTTGCAAAACTCACTACAGCTATAAGCTCACTTCTTCAATTACATGTCACATGAAGAAGCTCTGCTTTGTTCTTCTTGTCCAAATAATTGTATATATTGCTATACAGATTTACATTATTTCTCACTTAAAGGGATTCTCCAGTGCCAGGAAAACATTAGTTTTCCTGGCACTGCAGGACCCTCTACTGCCCCTCTCCCTCCCACCCCCCATCCCAAGTTGCTGAAGGGGTTAAAACCCCTTCAGTGACTTACCAGAGTCCAGCGCCGATGTCCCTCGGCGCTGGGTCAGGCTCCACCTACTGAGACCTACTGCGCATGTGCGGCAATGGTTTATGAAAACTGCAATAATTACACTTGCAGGGTTAAGGGTAGTGGGAGTTGGCACCCAGCCCACTCCAATGGGCAGAAGAGGTCTGGTTGCCTGGAGTATCCCTTTAAAATCTGAGAATGTTTTGGTATTAAGTGGATAGCATTTGCAAAACAGCATAGACACTAATTATTTTCTTCCTGTGTGATCATTAAATTTGAAATCAATATATATGGTTCCATGAATAAATACAATTTAGGAGTGTGTAAGAGAATGAGTTGTCTGTCAAATCAGAGACTATATGGGTTTGCCTCTGAGTGTTTGTTTAGATGACCGGACCTCCTCCCATCACATTGGAAAGGAGTTTTTATTGTATTTTTGTCTTTGAATATAAAGCGGTTAGCTTAAAAAAAAAATTAAAAATATATATATATATATATAAAAACCTGGATCCTAACTCTTTAAGCTGTCTCCTAGATTGAAAGTAAATTTCTCAGGCCTTGATATATTTATTAAACAGTTACTCCAACATTGTTTATTTTCTAAACATTCACTTTTACATCTTTATGCCCTACTGTGCACTTGGCACCTAGTTTCCACCACCTCCTCTGACTATATGCGCTACCAGTCTTCAAAATAAACGGTTACATATGAAAGTGTGGCAACTGTGCAATAATATGGGCCTGGAAGGATGGATTAAAGGACCACTATAGGCACCCAGACCACTTCAGCTCAATGAAGTGGCCTGGGTGCCAGGTCCATCTAGGACTGTGTGATTTTCACAGTGAGAAGACGCCAGCGTCCATAGGAAAGCATTGAGAATACTTTCCTATGAGACTGGCTGAATGCGCGCGGCTCTTGCCGCACATGCGCATTCAGCCGATGACTGCAGTAGGAGGAGATTTCCCAGCACTGGAAAAAGTTAAGTGTTTAACCCCTTCCTCACCCTAGAGCCCAGCAGGAGGGGGACCCCAGGACCCCATAGAGCCAGGAAAACGAGTATGTTTTCCTGGCACTATAGTGGTCCTTTAATACCAAGCAGAGGTCCCAAGCTCCCTCTTCATCTCAAGAACAGCATTAAAGAATGGTCCTTGGGGCCATTTGGCCCAGCCATTAAACAGAGAAAGCTTCCTAGACCCCTGCGTTGCCTGAGACCACTACCTGTCATGTTTAACACCACCCCTGTCTAGGTGCAAGTCACAACCCTCTCTTCTTTCCTAAAAGTGTCACTTATCCCACCATGTCTGGAACCTGTAACGCTTCCTCCGCCAGACAGCTCTCCTAACAGTAACATCCATCAATAACATCTGTTAACTGGGTAAGGACCTACACCTACTCAAACTCTGACATCCCAGTCTTAGTAGCTAACCTACAGGTAGTCAGAGAAATCTCCCAAGTTTTTAAATACGAACAACCTCCATTATGCTTTGTAAACCTCAACGCCGACAAAGCATCATGGAAGTTGTAGTTCTACCACCAGTATTGTGCATGTTTGTCCAACTCTGAGCTATACAATCTCCGATAAATCACATCTCACAGAAGGCATTCTTTAAGGAAGGAGTGGGTTCAAGCTTGTCCTAGATCACACAGAACGTTCTGTATCAATGCGTGTTCTATGGAATCCTGTGTATCGTTACAGCCCTAGTACAGGTGTGTCGGTGTTACATGGGACAGGCCGGGTTACCTGCAGGTGAACCTGAGGGCCACGAGGAGGGCGCAGCTCAGCGCTATAGCCCCACACAGCAGCTCGGGCCTGCGGCCCATCAGGCAGAACAGCCGCTTAACGTGCTGCCGGACCGGCCTTTGCATAGCGCTTATAGAGGCGGGGGGCGGCCCGAGCCCGCGGGGGGCAGGCCGCTCCGTGTCCTCATCACAGCCCAGGGCTGTCAGCAGCACGAACCGAGCGCCGCCACGTCTAATAGCACGACTTCCGTGGCCCAGCCGGGGGAGCAGGGCGGGGAGTGTGGGCAAATAGCAAGCACGTATGCTAGGGAGCGTCTAAACCTTCACACCCTGCCAGGGCGCCGCACTGATATGGCTGGGTACCTTACCAGCTCAGGAATAATGGCAGTATGTGCTGCTCTACATAGGGCTGCAAAATCTCAATCTGATCACCCAGGGCTTTCAGGCCCATGGTGCACAAGGATTGGCCTTAAAGGGACAGTTTAGGCTGATTGAGGCACCATAACAAGTTCATCTACATGAAGTTGTTATGGTGCCAGGAGACCCCAGGTGCACTCTCATCATCAAGGGTTAAACCGTTCTTGATGCACAGCAGCACTCCACACTTTATGAAACTTGAGATTTAAGAAGCTGGATGCTGCCTTGGACGGATCGGCGCTGGAGGTAACTTTTGAGGTTAAACCATTCAAGAACTGTTTAACCCATGAAGGCGAGAGTGCGCCCAAAGGCTTCCTGGCACCATAACTTAATTTAGATGTAGTTGCTTTGGTACCTAGAGTGCCCCTTTTGTTATTATTTATTTATTTATTTTAAATAAGGGCTTTTTCTTAGTTGTATAAGTTAGCAATGGACATGTTTAACTAATGCTTGTTCTGTGACTGTCACTCCCCTAAAAAATGTATGCAGAGCTTCACTGAGTGTTAGTTTGAGGCCTGAAGAACAGAGATGGAGATAGAACAGTTACATGAGGGTATTTACAGCCAGTAGGAGCTGGAATACTTGGATTTACACACTGCCCCTTGGTAATTAGACAGACTTGTGGTCTGTATTCTGTTTGTATACTTCTTGGTATCTTGCATTGGATTGCACTATTATTTAATTATTTTTTTTCAAATATAGTCTGCTTTAAATATTAAATATTGATGTTAGCAATGCAACAATATGGAATTCAGGGCTCACTGGTTTGGACATTGCAGTTCCCTATGGTTGGAAATCTGCATTTATGTGTAGTGATTTTCTGGGTATGTTTATCCATGTATACAGTTTGTTTAGTACTGTACTGTTTGATTTTGTAGACTCTGCTTGCCCAACAAGGCAGATACCAGTCCTTTGCATCTTTGGCTCCACAGAGGCCCTACAACAGTTCATAAAAGAAATCCGGCTCTGGGGAGAGGAAAGGGGTAAAACTTACCTTTTTCCAGCGCCGGGCGGGGAGCACTCCTCCTCCTCTCCTCCCATTCGGCTGAATGCGCACTCGCGGCAAGAGCTGCGCTCGCATTCAGCCGGTCGCATAGGAAAGCATTTGCAATGCTTTCCTATGGACGCTTGCGTATTCTCACTGTGATTTTCACAGTGAGAATCACGCAAGCGCCTCTAGCGGCTGTCAATGAGACAGCTACTAGAGGCTTTGGAGGCTGGATTAACCCATTTATAAACATAGCAGTTTCTCTGAAACTGCTATGTTTATAAAAAAAAAAAAAAATGGGTTAACCCTAGCTGGACCTGGCACCCAGACCACTTCATTAAGCTGAAGTGGTCTGGGTGCCTAGAGTGGTCCTTTAATTATATTTTATAAAAACAGTATGTCCAAAGATAAAAGATAAAATTCAGTTAACCCATTATACAAAAAGGTAAATATACCCCCTGACAATTTTCTGTTGTGTAATTGCGCCATCTACTGACCAAAATCTAAATTATAGTCTGCAGGGAAGACACGCCCACCTTACTCTAAGGTACTGGTTCATGCTGTTGTTCTCTCTTGCCTTGACTATTGCAATCCCCTTCTCACCGGTCTTACATGTTCCCAGCTTGCACCGCTGCAATCTATAATGAACACGGCTGCGAGGCTTATTTTCCTGTCCGGTCGCACCTCCCACGCCTCCACGCTCTGTCAGTCCTTGCATTGGCTTCCAGTTAGATATAGGGCCCAATTCAAAATTCTGGCGCTTGCTTACAAATCCCTACATAATGCTGCTCCAACATAGCTATCCTCCCTCATACTCAAGTATGTCCCGTCGAGACCCCTGCGCTCAGCCCAAGACCTATGCCTATCCTCTGCCCGGATCCCCACCTCTGATGCTCGCCTTCAAGACTTCTCCAGGGCTGCACCTATTCTGTGGAACTCCCTTCCCTCCTCAATCAGACTTTCACCCAGCCTCCATTCTTTCAAAAAATCTTTGAAAACTCACTTCTTCATTAAAGCGTATCAATTAAACTGTCAGCAGGTTTCTCATCCCCCACCCCATGACTCCGTTCCTGCACCTGTCAAAAATAACCTACCAAGCACTCAATAAACCCTTCTGTAACAAACTATTTAATTCCCCTACTTTAACCCTTTGTGTCACTATAGCCCACTCCCTCTAGCATGTAAGCTCATCGAGCAGGGTCCTCAACCCCCTCTGTTCCTGTACGTCAGTGGTCTGATCTCAATTATGTGTCTGTTAGTCCACCCATTGTACCGCGCTACGGAATTTGTTGGCGCTATATAAATAATAAAATAATAATAATAATAATTGGTCACTATCAACTAGTGACGTATAGAGAACTTTTTTTAAAAATTAAGGACAAAGGGAAGAAAGATCTATATTCAGGGCGCCGCCATCTTTGTGTGGGTAGGTGAAGTCCCTGTGGGATACTTCATCAGCCCACACTAGATGGCGCTGTGAGATTCCCGCACATGCCCAGTGAAACACCTGGACATGCGAACGGGAATTTCATCTATTCATTCATTCATCAGACAGACGAATGAGTGAATAGAAAGATCAGCCGAACAAACTAACACTACGTATCAGTGTTAGTTTGTTCGTTCAGTTTATTACAAGGAGGGAGCTACCGGCACGCAGCTCCCTCCTTGTAATATGTAAAGATAGAAGCGGCAGGGAGCACTGCTCCCCACCACTTCATAAGCCCCCCCAGGTCCCCCTCTCACTCTATGGGGGTCAATATGACCCCCATAATAGCACAAGGGAGATTAAAATCTCCCAAATGCCCCTACTAGCTATACCGTGAGTAGGGGCATGTCTACTAAACAGTGAGCAGCCTGTGGCTGCTCACTGTTGAAAAAAAATGACATAAATTACAATAAGGGGGGCGGACCTATTGTCCTCCCCCCCTCCCCACCCTGAGCGGCGGGTGGGGGCCATGAAGATAATGAGGGGGGGGACCTACTGTCCTCCCCCCCCGGCCCCCACCCCTGAGCGGTGGGTGGGGGCCCTAATAAAACAATAAGGGGGGGGGACCTACTGTCCTCCCCCCGGCCCCCACCCCTGCGCGGTGGGTGGGGGCCCTTATAAAACAATAAGGGGGGGGGACCTACTGTCCTCCCCCCCCTGCACGGTGGGTGGGGGCCCTTATAAAACAATAAGAGGGGGGCCTACTGTCTTCCCCCCCGGCCCCTACCCCTGCGCGGTGGGTGGGGGCCCTAATAAAACAATAAGGCGGGGGACCTACTGTCCTCCCCCCGGCCCCCACCCCTGCGCGGTGGGTGGGGGCCCTTATAAAACAATAAGGGGGGGACCTACTGTCCTCCCCCCGGCCCCCTCCCCTGCGCGGTGGGTGGGGCCCTAATAAAACAATAAGGGGGGGGACCTACTGTCCACAGTGGTGAGGTGGGGGGGTATACAACTCTTCAGAACCAGTGTAATTACTGCTAACGGAGCCAATTCAAATTAAATTAGAATTATAAAAAATTATAGAAATTATAAAAACAATTTAGTGTCCATGCTAACACCCAGGGAGAGAAGTGAGCTCGCTTGGAGCTTGTATGGTGGGATGGATGATGTGATGTGTCAGTTCTTTTCGCGGTGGCGGGTCGCGGGATCCTCTTTCGGTCTCTCTTGGGACAAACTGAGTAATCCGGTCCACTGACCAGGAGGGCTGTTGCGGCAATGGGAAGGCGCTTTCGGGCAGTCCTAGTTCCCGTAAGAAACGGTGTGACTCAGATAGGTGAGTAAGTGAGTGTATCTTGCCCTCTCTTTCAACTGTCAGCTTGCGTATGCCCCATTTGTATGGCGCTTTCCCTGAGGTGCTGGGAGAGTTGGCGGAGTGTCCGCCGCCAAGCAATGGTATGGCGAGATATGTCCCTATAGAATGTCAGTTGGTGCCCCTCAAATGTGGTACTGAGGGTATCTTGTTGCCGTCAGAATAGCGCTTTTGTCTGAGTCCCGGACAAGCTTTACAAGAATGTCTCGTGATGTCTCTCGGGGCTTTAGGTAGTCGGAAGCAGTGGTCTATAACAACTTGTTTCACCTGTTTTGGGGGGGGCAATGTAGTAAGAAGTCTACGCACAAAATTAGGCAGTTCTCCAGCTGTTATGGTCTCTGGGACTCCCCTAATTTTCACATTTCTTGCTTTCATCTTGTCCTCCATATTAGCCATGCGGTTGAGTATGTCCTCATTGCTCTTTTGCAGCAAATTAAGGGCAGTATCTGTGGCAGTTTGAGCCACTTTCGACGTGTCCATGTCGTCCTCCAGTCTGATAACCCTGTCAGTTAGGGCGGCCACTTGCTCCCTCACCCCAGCCATGTCCGCCTGGAACATGGCCCTTATTTCGTGTAAGAGGGCTTTGATGTCTGCTTTGGTTGAGGGAGCAGTGTCTCCCTCATTTGGGGGCTGGTGGGTGGCTGGAAATACCTCTGGGAAGGTGGGTAACTCCTCCGGTAAGCTTTCTTCCTCAGATGATTCTGAGGTGGAGGCCGCCGGCGCCATCTTTGTTGGTGCGGGCCCTGTCGGTTGCTGCAGGAACATGCCGATATCTCGGGTTCCCGGGCTCTTTTCGGCCCGGAGTTTTTTGGAATGTTTCCCCATCGTGTGAGGTGCAGGTTAGTTCTCAACCTGGGCACCTGCTGTAGGTTTTGGCGGCCAATTACAGCCGTTAGCAGGGCTGTCGTTCCGGAGCTCCCACAGTGTTCGTCCGGCTCGATCGTCAGTTGGGTCCGCCTCCTCATTTTAAATATTTTTATTGTATCACAATATAAACGCAGATTTCAAGTATTAATAATTAATGCAGTTAGTCGCTTACGCAGAGGCGTGCGTGTTGAAATTATGGTTAGCCTGGTGTACACATATTGCGGTTTTATCTGATTATCATGTGGTTGCCTGCGCAGAGGCATATGTGTCAACGTAGGCAAGTATTCCCAGTATTAGGTATACATAAACTTTATGAAATTAAACATCACAATCTAAAGCATGTCGTAATAAGCTAGTATAATAAAGGAAGCGATTGAAAACTATTTGACTATTCATAGGATAGTGTGCATTGTAGGCAGTTACACTATTGAGCACTCTAACATTTCTCTGGGTACTTTTAAACAAACGGTCTTGCGGTCTAATATTTATTGCTGTTGACCTGCTGAGAAGGCACACTTGTCTGATAACCCATATATCGCCCGTACAGCAAACATAACAACTAAAAATGTAGGGCTTAAGAACGTGAGGGCAAAAAGGTAATTTCTATATCAGGATGCGTAACTTAAGACTGTGTCTGGTAAGTAAGCATTATGGACCTACAGTATGCTTGAGCCCATGCGGGCACTGTAGCATTAACAGCGTGTTCATTTTTAACCTGAATAATGAGAGAGTAAGTATGCATCACGCTGACTGGGGCCTTCAATTCTCATGTATAAAGTGGTATATGTTTATCACTAATACTAGCCAACATGTTAAGCTAAACAATTGCTGAAGTTTGCAGTTGACTTCATACTTTAGCCCATTAGGGCTCTGATAACATAAAGAACTTATTCAGATTTAGGCCGCGGTACGCTCAAATAAAAATTCAACATACAATACTGCAATCAGGCGTATACAGTTGCTACATATGTAATTATTTAAAATAAACAAACTATAAATACTTTATAAGGGCTCAAATATAAGGGCTCAAATAATTGCTTAATCGTATGGTACGGTAAGCGTATTTGGCAGAAGCAGTGTGTGTATTAATCAAGCATCATAAGGCAATAAGGAATCATAGCTATTAGCGTTATAGCAGTGTCTAATTAATTAGGAAATAAGCATGCTATGAAATGTATAAAAATGTAAAACTTTCAAACTTTTGACATTAAGGGAGCAGGGCTGGCCTTAGTGAAGATCTGTTGCATCAAAGGTAAATAACAGTAAGACTTGAGTCACTTCGCTGGCAGGTCAATAAGGTGCCCGGCGTGGTAATGCTGTGCGGCGTGGAGTCGATAATTTATGAATGTCCGCACTGCGGATCTCCCTCAGTCACTATTCTTGGCTAAGGGTACGCGGGGTTGTTATATGTGCAGCTGGCATGTTGAGTGCTTCTGAGTCCCCCCTGGCTCCCCCAGTCTGGCAGGTCCCCCTCCAAGGCAGGCCTCCGTGTCGGTGTAGAGCCCCACTGCGCTGTGGGCATTCAGAGACCCTGGCAGTCCAGCAGTCCCCATCCCCCGTTAGGTCCGCGTGTCGCCCGTCTCCTGCACCTCCCCAGTCCCAGCGGAGCCTCCCCGGAGCTCCAGCCCCATCATGCCTCACCCACTCCCGGTCTCATGCTTGGTGCCGGCTCCTCCCCCCGTCCACCGGGGGGCTCGCACTTCTCAGCTCCACAGGGCTCGCAGGATCGGTGGCATCTTCTCTAGGACCACCACCAAATCCGGATGTCTGGGCCGGCTCCGTATCGACCGGTTCGACGTATAGCCGAGGGATCCGCCATTCCGGGGGCCAAGGCATCCCAGCATAAGTTCCCGCCAATGGTAAGCAGAGATCATCGTGCGGGTGTGGCTGGTCAGTCGACCATCTTGGTCCCAGGTGCACCAGGGCTCCCCACCAGGTGAACCTCCTCCCCCAGCTTCCGAAGTCTGGACTCTTTGGTCGAGATTACCCCCACTGGCCTCTTATGCTCACGTGGAGCTACCATGCTCTTTGCTTGCTGTCAGCGGGTCAAAAGTCTCATCGCACTGCTCCTGGGTGTGTCCCCCTTCGGCTCCCGACTTGTTCCTGATTGCCGGCGGGTTTTTAAGGCTGTTTAATCTGGGTTTTAATCAGTGTATGGCCGGAGCTAGCTTGGTGTGCTGCCGCTCCGCTTGGCGGCCCGGCCCCCCTTAATAAGGCCATATTTGGAGTCAGTTTAAATTTCTGTTCCAATAAAGTTGACAAATATTGGTTTGTCGTCTCCCATAAGGGTCTGATTATCAAACAGTCCCACCAAATATGTTTAAAATCTGCAATTGATTCAGTACATCTCCAACAATTAGTGGGGACTGTGGGATACATTTTTTGCTATTTTTTGAGGAGTTCTATACCATCTGTTTAATATCTTATAGTGAGTTTCATGTATATTCAAACAGTGGCAAGCTTTGTATAATGTGTTGAGGGAGTTATTCCATTCTTTCATCGTTATATCTATTTTCAAATCATAATTCCATTAAATTATTCCCGAGGGAATTGGTTTGATCTGAGCCTTTTATATTAATTTTTGGCATTTATTGACTAGATGAGTATAGTCTGATTGTTCATATATAGCTGAAAGAAACTTGGCTGAAGGTTCAAGAGGATTAAATCTCAAAAATGTTTTTAAAAAGGATATTGCCAGTATATAGTTAAACCATTCAATGGATGGTATACCATATTCAATTTAAAGTTGTTCAAAAGATTTTAATGTACTACCTATCAGGATATTAGATATCTTTTCCATACCCTTAAGGATCCATGTTTCCAAATGTATATTTGTCATTAAATTTGATAAAATATCTAGATTTATACCAGGAATTATCTTCATTTTTAAACTTTTTTTTTTTTTTTAAATTGAGGCCAGGTGGGGAAAATTTGTTGGACTATCAGTGATTTAGAATTTTTAATAAATTGATCTGTTTCTTTATCTATGGACCATAAGAGGGATTTATAATCCCTGTCTCCCGAAGTCAGGGTCTGTTCTCTTTTATATCAATTTTGAATTATAGAATCTTCCTTGTTTACTAATAAAACATGTGCTTATAGGTTGGCTTGTGCAATATGTGCTTGAATAATTGGAATACTCATACCTCCTTCATTTTTTTATCCTAGACATGATGTCTTTTTTTTATTCTGGGTTTTTTACCTGACCAAATAAATGTAGTAAATGATGACTGAATTAATTCTAACCAACTGTCAGGGATTTTTAAAGGGATCATTCTCATAATATATGAAAATATTGGTACAGTATATGCTTTTAATGTATTTATTTTCTCTGACCAGGAGATTTCCAGATTTTTCAATTTTTTTTAGATTGATGTTCATTTCTTTAATTACTGGTAAAATATTAATTTCTAACCATTTCTTTGGGTTTTTTGAAAATGTTATACCCAAATAGATAAACTTTTTAACTTGTTTAAATCCATATTTATTTTCTATATTATCAATATTATTTTGAGGTGTATTTAAATATAGTGCCATAGATATTACTCTATTTATCTTGTAATTAGAAAAATTACTATAATTTTGAATGATTTGCACAACATGGTCAATAGATTCCTCAGGTTTTTTAATAGTTTTCAGAACGTCATCAGCATATATCTTAATTTTTTGGTTATTATTATCTCTAAGCCCTTTTATATCCTGATTAGCTCTTATATCAATAGCCAGGGGTTCAATCGATAGAATATATAAAAGCGGTGATAAGGGGCAACCCTGGCGTGTACCATTTGTAATTCTAAACCATTTAGATTTAATACCAGGGCCTACAATTCTACCTTGGGGATCACTATATATGGCCATAATGGCACTGAGTATCTTGCCTGTAAACCCAAAGCATGGATTCTCTAACAAATGCCCAGCTGACTCTGTCGAATGCCCTCTCGGCATCCAATGACAGGGTCAGCATGGACGTCCATTCATCTCTGGCCTGTTCCAGTATTCCAATCATATTTCTTGTTTGGTTAATAGAAAGTAACCACTCGTTTAACTCTATCTGCCAATATTCCCACATATAACTTGATGTCTTCATTTAGTAGGGAAATTGGTCGGTTACTGTCTACTTTGTCTGGATTCTTTCCTGGTTTTAATATTGGGACAATGTTGCCTTTAAGCATTTTTCTGGAATTTTAGTTTTTAATATGAATTCATTAAAAGTAGTCTCTAAGTTGGGTGATATTTCATTTTTAAATAGTCTAAAGAAGATCCCTGTGAAACCATCTGGGCCTGGTGCTTTATTAGGTTTTAAAATTTCTATCCTTGTGTGTATTTCATGTAAAGAGATCGGAGCATTCAATTCCTTTAGTTGGGATTCTGAGATCTTTGGTATAATCATGTTTTTTTTTTTAAAAAATCCTTTGGGTCTGCATTGAAAGCCTTCCCAATTCTCTCTGGAGATAGACAGGTCTCGCCCTTATATATAATTTTTGAGATTTTTTTTATGTTTAATTTCTTTTTTAAGTCTGTTGGTTAACAATCTATCTGCCTTATTACCTCTATAATAAAATGTTGCTTTTAATCTTTCAAGTGTTTTGGAGACTTTCTTTATTAGCAAATCATTAATCCTATCTTGTAGAATAGAAATTTTATAGGATAACTGCTCAGTTGGGGATATTTTATTATCTCTTGAGCGATTATATAGTTGAATTTGTAGATTTGTTAAATCTTTTTCTCTATATTCCTTATTTTCAGAAGCTAGTTTGATTAATAAACCCCTTATCACAGCTTTATATGAACACCATACCCCTGAAGGTTATGGAATAGTATATGAACACCATACCCCTGAAGTTTGGTTCTCTTTAAAATAGTATTCGGTCTTAATAAATTCTATATTGTTTGTGTTTGACAAAATATAGTTGTTTAATCTCCATTTTGGCCTTGGGATTTCAAAGGTATCTCTAACATCCAGAATAACTGCATTGTGATCTGACCATGTAATCTCATTTATTGCGATGGCTTTTGTTTGTTGGGCTAGTTTAATATTTCCCAGCACAAAATCAATGCGGGAGTATGCATAATAGGACTTTGAAAAGCAGGTAAAATCTAAATCTATTGGATGAAAAATGCGCCAAATATCTAATAGAAAATAGTTTTGAATTAACTGTCTAAATTTTTCAGAGTGTTTAAAGAGTCCTCTGTCTGTTATCTGACCTGTAATAGTTTTTTGTCTAAAGATGGATCGAATACTAAATTGAAATCCCCAAAGGTCACCAAAATTCCTTGTTTGACCATATCTATCCTTTTTAAAACCTTTGATACAAATGATAATGAGGAATGGTTTGGAGCATAATGATTAGTTAATGTATATGTGATGTTATCAATCTCACGTACTACTATAATAAATCTTCCCTCGATATCTAGTTCTGTATATATATTTCAGAAATTTAGATTCTTAGATATCAGTATAGCAACTCCACGTTTTGTTTTCTGTTCAAGAGATGCGGAGAGAATCGTCGTTTAAATTAATATTATCAATCTTTCTCCAATGCGTTTCTTGAATTCCACAAATGTCAATTTTCTGTTTCCTCAAATATTCCAATAGAATGGATCTCTTGAAAGGAGAATTAAGTCCCTGAACATTTATCGAAGAAAGTCTAACCATAATCCCTAACTATTTCCTTCTTCTGATCACCGGGACCCCTCGCCACGAATCTGGACAAAAATATTCAGTTTCCACCAAAAACCAAACAACAAAAACACATATAAAACACAAAACCCCCCATAAATATTGGGGTACCAAGATGTCCCTGTGGGCACCTTACCCAAACCAGGGGCATCCAAATAATAGCCATTAAACAATGGCATATCCGAGGTCTACTTTGGGGAGCAGGTTTCTCTCTTTCTACCCACGTTGATAATTCCTTCCTCCTATTCCCCCTCTAATACTCATTGTACACTCAATAGTCTTCCTCTCCACGCTACTCTTTCTTTATATTAACTGTAGAAATTATATTTAAAATTCATCTTCCTTTCTTTAATAATTCACATCTTTCTTATCTGATCAACTGTCGTCTCTCTCTCTTCCTTTCCTTTGTTAATTTTCCTAATCTCCTCTCATTGCGTCTAGGTGGAGGGGGGGATGTGAAGGTGATGTCCTAGTGGATCAATTGTTCATTTCTTTGTGTTGGGATATGTGATTAATGTTCATATTTTAATCTTAATATGTGAAACAGCTTTTTAATTATATAGTTTGTAGTGTCGTGGTGTTCTATGTTGTAGTTCCTTTAAATAGCAAAATTAAGTGGAAGTGCAACGCGTCATATTGATTTATTCTTAACTTTTTTCCTTTCCCTTATCATTCCTTATAATTTTCCCTTTCCTTTCTTTTTTCTTCCCCCCCTTTTTTTCCCTTCTTTCTCTCCCCCCTCTCCCTATTTCCCACAATTTACATCATACTTGCGTTCACAATTCCTGGGACCTATCTTCAAGTCTGATAGCAACTCTACAACAGAACTGGTAATTATGCTGGTTTTATTTAATTTAGTTTAATTAATTTTTTTTTACCAATAGCAGGAATATATATCTGGATAAAGGTTGGTAAAATTTCAGTTATTAGAAAATATAATTAGCTAAGGAATGTATGCTTATAAAAAAAAAAATCAATTTCTGCAGGTGGAATAAAGATAACAATATATTAATCGTAAATTTGCCAAATGATAGCATACCAAAACTTTTATCCAGAGGTATTGACTTGTTCTGAAATTAAGGATAGTAATCTTTAATTAGTGAAGTTAAAATTCTGCAAACGTAAAAATCTAATTAGAATTATTCTTATTGGATGGACATGGGAATGGTCAAATGATCTGGTATGAGAAATATTGCATTTGTAAAATTGCAATATAAAAGGATATCTTGCCTATGAGAATTGTAGCCAGCAGTGAATTAGTTAATTCAGTGTGATTTGACTGTCAGCCAAAGTTTTTATTGCTTTACGCTGTGCTGTTGTAAGATGCTGTGTTCTGTGTTAAAGGATCACTATAGTGTCAGGAAAACAAAGCGGTTTTCCTGACACTATAGTGCCCTCAGGGTGCCCCCACCCTCAGAGTCCCCCTCCCGTGGCGCTGAAGGGGTTAACACCCCTTCAGCAGCTTACCTTGAACCAGCGCCGGGCTCCCTAGGCACTGTTGACCCCCGCCAAGGTCAGCTCCCCCGTCCTACGCCAGCGGAGCCGAATGTGCATGCGCGGCAAGTGCCGCGCGTGCATTCAAAATGTCCATAGGAAAGCATTTCTCAATGCTTTCCTATGGAGGCTCTGCGCGATGGAGGCATAATATGCCTCCAGCGTTGCAGATGCACCTCTAGTGGCTGTCCGGAAGACAGCCACTAGAGGCTGGCTTAAAGGACCACTATAGTGCCAGGAAAACATACTCGTTTTCCTGGCACTATAGTGCCCTGAGGGTGCCCCCACCCTCAGGGTCCCCCTCTCGCCGGGAGGAAAGGGTTAAACTTACCTCATTCTCCAGCGCCTGGCGGGGAGCTCTCCTCCTCCTCTGCTGAATGCACATGCACGGCAAGAGCCACGCGCGCATTCAGCCAGTCTCTTAGGAAAGCATTTACAATGCTTTCCTATGGACGCAGGCATCACGCAAGCGCCTCTAGCGGCTGTCAAGAGACAGCCACTAGAGGCTGGATTAACCCTAACATAAACATAGCCGTTTCTCTGAAATGGCTATGTTTATAGAAAAAAGGGTTAACCCTAGCTGGACCTGGCACCCAGACCACTTTCTCTGAAACTGCTATGTTTGCATCTGAAGGGTTAAAACTTGAGGAACCTGGCACCCAGACCACTTCATTGAGCTGAAGTGGTCTGTGTGACTATAGTGACCCTTTTAAGGAATGTTTAGCAAGCTGATTTCAAAGTTATGTTTCCTGTCCTAAATCTTGTTGGAAACTGCATACATGTCGATATAATGTTGATAGATTGAACTATCTATAAATTGTGTTAAATCACTGCCATATTGTATACTTATGCTATACCTAAATATTCACTGATTATTGTCATGCATGTTACTTATTATTATTATTATTGTCACAATAAATTGTATTTTTATCATTAGTTTGTGATTAATGTGTGAAATAAAAATCCACTAATAAAACGTACTCCGGGATCTATGAGAATTAAAAATAGTGGGTAATTCTCAGCTTTACAGTAATAATCAAAAGGAACAGTGCCAATACAGTATATCAATTTTGATATAATAAAAATGATTAAATTAATTTTTTTTATTATAATTATTTATTTTATTTTCGTGCATGATAGACTACAATACAGCCCCTGTGGCCACAACAGCCTTCCAGGGTTCGAGTTTACCTTGCGACAGTATTTAGCGTATAGACTTGTGTGCTTCAGACAGATGCATTCTAAGTTATCTGCGGAATCAGCACGATTTTTTAATTTAAAGAAGGTTTTAACAGTTGTTGAGCTGAGGATAATGACCTGATGCCCAGCTAAACCCGCTTGTGCCTTGCCAACGTGTGTATGTCAGTCTAGCATGGTGGACATGGTGTCGAGTACGGTCCTGGGTGGTGCGCACTGAGCAACTATTAGGGGTTTAAACAAGGACCTTAAGTGCTTAGTGGTGTGGTGGTCAGACAGGCCTCCGTTTTGTCAGTGGGTGACCTATTGTGATTTAGGTTTTTGTGCCACCTAATATGGCCTGTGTTAGTGCCGTCCATTCGAGTGAGAACCTCGGTTTAGCTGGGGGTAAGTCTGGTGTTACAGTCAGGACTGTGAGACGTCAGTAGGTCCTTACTGACCTGCAGATGGGCGTTTATCGCCTGTCAGGCGCTGTCAGGTGTGTGCATCAGGTGGATTGCGTGTTGACCCCTTACCCTGGGGTCTTTGGGGGGGAGGGGTGTTTAGCTCCTATCTGGGGCCAGGGTTGTCGGTGAGTGTGAGTTAGCTTGGCATTGTCCCCCAGCCCAATTGTGCCGAGTCTAGTGGGTGAACTGCCCGTGCGTGGATTAACGTTGGCACAGCTATGGGTGCATACCTGCAAAGGAAACATAAGAAACCATAGGGATGGGGAATAACAAAGGGGTTCAAAAGCAATACGTCATATTATGTTTGTTTCAGAGGACAGTTCAGCTCAGGGCTCTGCATCTCTCCGTGTTTCTAGGGATGAAAAGGATTGTTCTCTCTGGGTCCTAAGTGTGTGTTTTCATGGGGTTCGCCCGTGGTTGGGCTTGGGTTGGTATCCCTAGTGCCCGCAGGAATGGTTCTGCTTCTTGTAACGAGGAGAGACTGAGCGTGGTGCCCCCTTGGTCACTGTCAGGGACCTCGGGAATGTCCATTTGTAGTCCATCTTTGCGTCTTGTAATTGAGTTGAGACCGGGGCTAAGGACCTGCGCCACAGTAACGTGTTGCGTGTCAAGTCCTGGTAAAAGGTGACTTGGGAAGCTTCAAATGTGAACCAGGTCTTTCCTCTGACTGCCGCGAGGAGCCTGATTTTGTCTGACACGGAGTGGCACCAAATGATGACATCTTGGGGGGCGTCAGTCGGTGCTTGTCTGGATTTTCTGATCCTGAAACAGCGGTCCAATACAAACTTTTTTGCCTGCATGGGTGGCAGGAGAGTTGCCGTGAGGCGTCTGATGTAGTGGGGCAGTTCTGATGAGTCAATGCTGTCTGGGATCCCCCTTATTTTTATGTTGGCACGTCTGTTGCGATCCTCTGCTAGGTCTATTCCTGTGATAAGGGTGGACTGTGTTGCTTGTATGTGGTAACAAGTGTCTTTTAGCTCCCTCACCTCTCTTTTAAGGTCTATAATATCCTCCTCTGTGGCCTGTGTGTGTGCGGTCATCGCCTGCATTTCAGTCTTAATGCGATTGAGATCCGCTGCATGCATTCTTCTCATTTCCATAAGAAGGTCGGCTATGTTTTTTTTTGGTAGCCGGGGTGAGTGTGTTTGGCTGGCCGGTATCTCCGTAGCTGGAGGAGCGGTGGATGGTTCTAATCCGGCCCCATTCTGTTCCCCCTCGTCTATAGGTGCTGGTGAGCGCTCTGGCCCTCGGCCGCTGTAGCATGCCGCCTATATCTTGCGTGTCTCTGCTGCCGGTTTGTGGGGGCCTTTGGGACCTGCGTAGTGTGACTGCCCGATTCTGTGGGGTCAGTTAGTAGATAGGTGCCGTTGCGGATGTCGAACGTTGGGGTCTCCGTCACGTACCTCGAACAAAAACGGCATCCGCTTGTGTCTTGATCTCCGGGGGTGCTCGGAAGGGTGTTTGAGTCGCTTGATGTTACCCTGGTGTCTCAGATTTACTTGGATTTTTGTCGATTGCTCGGAGCTCTGTGAATGTGCGACAGTTCAGGTTGGGACCTGCGCCGCATGGTGTGACTGCCCGATTCTGTGGGGTCGGTTAGTAGATAGGTGCCGTTGCGGATATCGAACGTTGGGGTCTCTGTCACGTACCTCGAACAAAAACGGCATCCGCTTGTGTCTTCATCTCCGGGGGTGCTCGGAAGGGTGTTTGAGTCGCTTGATGTTACCCTGGTGTCTCAGATTTACTTGGATTTTTGTCGATTGCTCGGAGCTCTGTGAATGTGCGACAGTTCAGGTTCGGCTCCAGGCTCAGCCCCCGATTAAATTCTTTTTTGATAATTTTTATGAAAATATTATTTCTTATATTTATCACCCCATAAATCCTCACAGAAGGGATTGAGCATACTCACCAGAACAACTAAATTAAGCTGTAGTTGTTCTGGTGACTATAATGTTCTGTGGCAGGGTCAGAGAGGCTTTTAATGTTAGTAATAGATTGGAGCGCTCTCTATTCCCAGCATGATGGGGTTAATTGGTGGGAGTCACCCCTTGAATGTTATCAACCAGGTGAATGTAATTAACCAGCACTAGGGTTTTAAAAGGTTAACCTCTGAAGACATGGGGGAATCTAACAGCTGGGAGAGAGGAGGCAGTTAAGCCTGAGACTCTGAGAAAAAGGTACTGTGTGAAACCTGCTTAACCCCTTAAGGACCGCGGACGGTTCAGGACCGTCATCGGCATTTTTGCCTTGCTGACGGTCCTGAACCATCCTAACGGTCTTAGTTACTTACCTGATCGCCGTCGTTCCCCCGGCGGCGATCAGCGGTGCTCCCGTTGTGCGGAGACTGCCTGCAGCCCAGACAGTCTCCCACACTGGATTAGGACCCCTGGGGCCATGTGATCGCTCAACAGAGCGTTGTAAAATCATGCATGTGTAAAATCTAGTGTAAAATCATAAAAAATAAATAAAGTTTATGTTAATAAAAAAATAAAAAAATAATTATATATGTGTATATATGATATATATATAAAAATACACTTATAATTAAATTACACACGTGTATATGTGTATATATATATATATATATAAAATAACTATATATAGTGTGTATATATATATATATATTATAAAATATAAATAAGTAATTTAAATTAAAAAATGTAAAAATAATTATTTTTAAAAAAAATTATATCTATATGAAATTTTATCCTAACTGTATTTTGATATTAATATATATATATATTAATATCAAAATACACTTAGAATGAAATTGTATATATATATATCTATGTATATATAAATAAAAATAATACGAAATATACATATGTCCATATACAAAATTACATAAATAATTATATAAATATACACGTAGACTTCAAATATATAAATATGCATATATATTTAAATTCCACGTGCGCATTTATGTAATATTTTTACATAATTCAGTAATTTTATTGATTGCAATTTGAGGGACCTGCCTGCCAACCCAGGCTGAAATTCCAGAGAATTTAATTTGCTAGCACTGTATTTTACCCTGTAACGTTCTACGACACCCTAAAACCTGTACATGGGGGGTAAATTCCAGAGAATTTAATTTGCTAGCACTGTATTTACCCTGTAACGTTCTACGACACCCTAAAACCTGTACATGGGGGGTACTGTTTTACTCGGGAGACTTCGCTGAACACAAATATTAGTGATTCAAAACAGTAAAAACATATCACAGCGATGATATTGTCAGTGAAAGTTACTTTTGTTGCATTTTTCACTCACAAACAGCACTTTTACTGATGATATAATTGTTGTGATACGTTTCAGTTTTTAAACACTAATATTTGTGTTCAGCGCAATAAACTATTACCTACAGGACTACTCTTATTTAAGTTACAAGGTCAAATATATGGGTCAAATATTTTACATTGAAAATAGTAGGTTGGTTCACGTTGCCTTTG